TAATTCTAAACGAGTAATGACGTCTTATTCACCAAACATAGAATTGGTAGATTTTCCAAGCCAGTTATATTTGCAGATCAGCTATTTTGGCCTATACCAGTACAGTCTTCAGCGAATAACCCCCTGTGTTATTCACATTTACAAGCCGTCCGATGATAAACAGAGGAGCACAATTGAAAGTTACATTGATACAACAGAATCCCTTTAAGTAGATCTGTAAGATGTCACTCTAAAAGAAGCCGCACCTAAGGTTTGGAATCCAATCCAGACCCTGCGGGCAGAATTAATTGGAATCACGCTGTTGGAATTTTTAGCAGGTAACATATTCTAATTAACACTGCGATCTTTTGCCTTTTAGCTATTAGATAGAATGCATTATTTTGTACAGTTGTGTGTACTCAAAACTCACATGTATCCTAAAAACGTTATTAACTAAAGTTACTTGATTTACAGGGCAGTTTGTTTATTTGATTATGCAGTGCTCATAAACAGTTTAACCCCTTAAGGACCAAACTTCTGGAATAAAAAGGAATCATGACATGTCAGAAATGTCATGTGTCCTTAAGGGGTTAAAAAAGTTACAAAAGCGTGGCGAAAGGGAAGACTGCAATATGAGTAATACTTAATAACTTTTTTTTTTTTTTTTTCCTTTTTTTCTAAACCCACATTGTGGTTTGTTTACAAGGAACTACTTCTTGTTTTGTTTCTGGTGAGTTTTTAACAAAATCGCAAATGTGCTCAGCATTGCGCATTGGATCAGCCGAGTGTCCCCAGAGAGTTAGAAAATAACTGTTACCAGTCCCTGCTGTGGGTTACTTGCCTAAGGCAATGTGTGGTGGGTTGAGTGCTAAAAAGACTTCTGCTGAAACGGCTTGAGAAAACAAGTTTTGCATCCTACTCATCACGAAGCCTCCCTTGTATTCTAAGTTGACAAATAAGTGATCTAATTGTGCTTTTACGAAGAGCTCATTTGGCAATCCCAAAAATCTCACAAATACAATAATGTAGCCCAAATTAAGTGGCTTCTTCGGGGCTTCTATATAAAGAGGCCATGGAAAATTGTGTAGCTGGCTCATAGACGTTGTTGATAGTGGGCTACATTAGCCTGTAGGTCTGTGTCATTCTATTTTGTGAACATTTGTAATTTTTTGTTTATTATATTTACAATTTTTTGCTTAGCTTTTCAAAAACAATACTATATGTTTAAAATATAATATTATTTTAATAATCTCCAAAATGTTATCTGCTCCAGTATAAATTTGTTTTGCATTTTTGTGCTCTCGTTCTTTGAATTTGTCTTTGTGTATTTTGAATTTTATTTATTTTGTAGCAGTTTTCTCTTTTCCACCTTTTGGGATAACTACTGATCTCAGGACTTACAGAACCCAGGCGACCTGGTGCTTGGGTTTTGTAAGCCCTTTCCGTTGGAGGCAAGCAGCCGGACGGCTGAGGGAGTTTGGAGGCGGGCCGGTGGCTGGTTCTAAGGAATGGAGCCGGGCGGCGAGGGAGCTATAATCTCCTTGCTCTGCTCCCTTGCGCGACTAGCAGTGATGCTGTGAGCCAGAATATGACTTCACTCCAACCTCTGCGTCACTAACCAGCACTCTAGGAAACAGATCAAGAAGTGCTTTGAGATGACAGCAGCCCCACTGGACCCCACGAAAAGCCGATCCCCTCCAGCTTTCCAAAAGATAGGGGGCCCAGGTGGAATTAAATTGAATTAAAACAATTAACTTATGTGTGTGTCTGTCAGTGCGTGTGTATGTTTAGGTGACCAGCCCCTCTCTGAACGCATGGAAACGGTGTTTTCACTCACCTTTTTTTCCCCCATGCCCTGCCAGTCTCGCTGTGACTGTCCCATCTCCATGTCAGAGAAAATCAAGCTTGATGATCTCAGCCAAACCAATGTTTTCCCATAGGATGCGTGGCAAAGTGCTGCACCAATCAACATTGCCTCATAGCGATGCATTGAATCAATGCATCTCTATGTGAAACATTCAACGCTTCCATGCAGCACTGAGGAAGTAAACACTTTAGTGGCCATCTGAGTGACTGCCACTAAATGCTGATTGTTCTTGGAAAAGCCTGCAGGGACAGGCTATAGACACCAGAACCACTACATTAAAGGACCACAATAGGCACCCCGACCACTTCAGCTTAATGAAGTGGTCTGGGTGCGAGGTCCCTCTAGGATTAACCCTTTCTGCTGTAAACATAGCAGTTTCAGAGAAACTGCTCTGTTTACATTAGGGTTAATCCAGCCTCTAGTGGCTGTCTCATTGACAGCCGCCAAAGGCGCTTCCGCGCTTCTCACTGTGATTTTCACAGTGAGAAGACGCCAGCGTCCATAGGAAAGCATTGAGAATGCTTTCCTATGGACTGGCTGAATGCGAGTGCGGCTCTTGCCACACATGCGCATTCAGCCGATGACGGGAAAAGGAGGAGGAGAGTCCCCAGCGCTGAGAGAACCCGGCGCTGGAGAAAGGTGAGTTTTTAACCCCCTTCCGCTCCATTTAACCCGGCGGGGGTGGGGGCACCCTCAGGGCACTATAGTGCCAGGAAAACAAGCTTGTTTTCCTGGCACTATAGTGGTCCTTTAAGCTGTGGTGATTTTGGGAACGATACTGTCCCTTTAAGAATTGGACTTTTATTGTTGGGAAATAAAACCTTAAAAAAAAAAAAACTGGCTCCTAGATTCCAAACAAATTTGCAGAGCCCTGACTTATCATACTGCTATTTAGCTTGTATTCGCCAAAATCCGTCATTATTTTGGTATTTGTTGACTGGTTATAATTTCCATTTAAAAAAATAAATAAAAATAAAAAATTGCCATTATTTTTTTCCTTATACATTTATTCCCTTTTGTGTGCCTAGTTGCAAATTGTTTGCTATAAGTCAGGCATTTAACATGTGCTGTGTGCATTATCTTTTATACACAGGACTCAAGTCAAATATCAGGGGATGTTTGAGTCAAACAAGAAGTGAGCAGGATTTTTACAGAACGTTGTGATAAGATGTAAAATGTGGAGACAGTGCTGGATGAGCAATTTCTTTTGTATATGTCTACACAATAAATATGGAGATAGTCGATTTAACAGGTCTAAGATAATGTTTGAAGGATACGATCGCATTCTTTGTTTTGTAGTTTGCAGAAGGCCATGCCTAGAAATATCACTAGAGACACTACACAGAACGAAAAAGCAAAGTTTCGCCTTATATGGACTTAACATTCCGTAGTAGATGATCGGCAGTGGAACAGTGACCTGTGTTCAACCTCGCATACCACGAGTATTGTCAGTGGTTTATTTGTGTGGTGTTATTCTCCTACGAAAAATAGGGAAGCGATCTCAACTGCCTTCTTAAAAAGCTTACTTTAATTATAGTGAAACTTGGAAATGATTTTTCCTCTATGTGTGTGTGGTCAGTGGCGGTGTTAAACAAAATTAATCGAAAGCTGGTGAAATTTGTCAAACCGTAACGGTGACCTTGTGCTTCTTTGTGTGTGTTTTATGAGGGGGAGTTTGTAATTTCCCCTTTTACCAACCTTACGTTTTGAAGTTTTTTGGTAGGATGTTGGCAGCAAACTACAGATTTTATTTTATCCAATGCAGCCCTGCAAAAGTGTCCCCAAATAATTAGACTTTTGCGATGAAGGTAGCCGTGGCTACATACCAGCAATGGGAGCAAAAAATCCATGGCCGCAGGGGGTCTGGGTATTATTTGTGGCACTGATTTGAATAGGTGCGTTATAATTTTAATTAAGTCCTGCAGAACATGATCGTCCAATGATAGAACTACAACACCCATAGTGCCTTGACAACCTTTAGAAAGGTGCATGTCATATGCTACTCATGCCTTGCTTTTAGATCCTTGTTCTTTCTGTTTATATAAAAGACGTGTACAATCATGTTAAGGTATTTGCTTATATGTCACGAGTTACAGAAAGCAGAGTCCATGTTCGGGTTTGAAGGAATGACAACATTGTTAACACTCAGGACATTAGGGGTCAAATTTAATACAGTTGTCCTTGAAGTGTCATTAACCCTCTAGGCTTATTTTATTTTTATTTTTTTCCCACTTTGTTTTTGCAATGATAGTTTACTTAGGTTTTTATTTTAACGGTTATAAAAATAGAAAATACAACAGGCTTCATTATTCCTAAACTCTGCAATGAAATGAGTGTTCAGGTCATCTCAGTCATTTTACTTTGTTGTAATATTTAGTCAAGTGTGTTGCTGGGAGACTATCAGTGGACGGTAAAAACTCGGATTGGGATTTGCAAAGCTTTAAAAATCATACAACAGAGGCAAAGCTTCATGTGTTATACACTAAAGCAGACATTGATAGATGTAGATCTCCTACAGTGCACTATATCCCTTCTTCTCACTCTCTATTTGTGCTGTCTTTCCCAACACCTCAAGGACTAATCTAAAACTTTTATGTTAAAAAAAAGATGGATGCAAATAAATATGCAGGTTAATCTTTGAACGTAGCATGTATTTTTGCAGATACATACTTTAGAGTTGGTCAGTTAATCAGCATCTACAAAGAATTTGTTGGCCTGTTTAAAGCCGCCGCAGCCCGCCTTCTTGACTGACATCAGAATTGATGATCTCAGCCAATCACAATCCTTTCCCATGGAAAAAGCAATGGATTGGCTGAGATCATCAATTCTGATAATCTCCGCCAAGATCGAAGGCTGGGGCGGAGCCTTATGTTTGTTTATAACATTTTTTGTTGTGGAAAAGTGTATGTTCTCTCTGCAGACACAATATACATTTTCTTGGTTTAATTAAATCAGTTTACATAAAACGTATATATTGCATAAATACACAGCCTCATGCTACAGAACTAATCGTTATTTAAAGGAATACTGAACAGCCCGGAAGTCCCCCTAGTCGCTGTCTGGTAGAAATGCTAATGTTATGTTGAAGGTTTGTTTTGTTTATTTAATGAACCATATTGTAATTTTCTTTACTTTTTTTTTTCTTGCACTAGATATGATGGAAAACAAAGAAAGCTTGGCAGAAATCATGCCAAACATTGAAGATAAACCTGGACGGCAAGTACTCCATGCTGTGCCTAGCCAAACTCTTGCAAGTGACGAGAAGCTTAAACTTAATTACCCTCTTATTAACATGATCCAAAAACTGACTGCCATGGTGAACAGTGACAAATCTGACAAATGTATGGAAGGGAAAAAGCGTTCATACCCTGCTGATTCCACACAGTCGCCCGAAGTCTCGGGGGCCAGTTCTGTGCCACCCAGAGGAGGCGATCCCGTACCCCAAATTTCCAAGAAAAGTAAAGTATCCCAAGACGGTTCCTCAAGTGACTTAAACGAAATTTTACAAAGTAATAGGAAAGTAATAAATTATCAGTGTAACATTTGTAAATTCACATCATCCTCTTTTGAGGTGCTCAAAGTACATGTACTAAGTCACGGACAGCAGAACGAAATCATTCTAATGTGCTCTGACTGTCACCTGACTTTTAAAAGCCATGATGAGTTGGAGCAACATATTAAAACACATTGCGAAGCCACAAGTGTGGCACCTCCACCGCTTAAAGACCACGCGGCAACGGATAAGCAAACATCTGCATGTTCGAACATACCTGAGCCCGGGCGGAAAAAATGGTATGCCTACGAAGAGTATGGCCTATATCGGTGCTTGATTTGTAGGTATACCTGTGGTCAACAGAGGATGTTGAAAACGCATGCATGGAAGCATGCTGGGGAGGTGGACTGCTCTTATCCTATATTTGAAGAGGAGAATGAGTCTGCTAGTCTGCCAGATTTCACTGTGGCACATACCCCCCAGGAAAGTGAATCTGTATTATCCCAAGAGGTGGAACATGAAGGTACTGTTCAGATGCTTGTCTGTGACTCCCTTCAGGTGCAGGAATCTTTATCGTTGGAAGGAGCCATAAAAGAACACAAGGTTGTAAGCCAAGCTCCAGCTCCAGTGACTGAAGTAATTGTGGTAGAAGATACTTTATTGGAAGCAGACCAAGAAAATATGATTGCCAATAGCCTGCTCTCCTCTGCACACCAAATAATTAATTGTAGTCCAAACAAGAAAGGCCATGTTAATGTAATTGTGGAGCGTTTGCCTGGTAGTGAAGAGACCACATCACAAAAGACTTTCTTGATGAATTCCGAAGTTGTGGTGAAAAGAACGAAGATACTCGAAGAATCTCAGGTTGTGTCGGATGCTCCTCCTGATTTGTATCACGCAGACAAGAATGCTGTAGAAAATGAAGAGATTGTTATAGGTTGGAGTAGCACAGTTAAAAACGGGGAATTCCAGGACACAAATGAAAATTCTCCACCTGTACGTCGGAGGACAAACTCCGAATGTTTAAGGCTGCATTCACTGGCTGCTGAAGCCCTTGTGACCATGCCAATCAGAATTATCGAATGTCCCAAATCCAATCTTCGACTTTTCAGTGATCCCAGTTCCATTGACCCTGACACCGGGCAGCAAGAATGCAATGCAAACCTCGTAACGTGCCCTAAAGTAGATTCTTCTGACGTACCCAAAAAATGTAATGGCTTTTCCCCAAATCTTAAACAAGAGGACGATAAAGTAAAACATGAACTGACAGAGGAGCCTATAAAAACTGGTATTAGCATGTCATTGCTAAAAGTGATTGAAAAGTTAAAGGAACGGACAGATCAGAATGCTTCGGATGAGGATATTTTGAAAGAGTTACAGGACAATGCCCAAAGTGAGTCTACAAGTGATGTTAGCACAGGCAATAGCCTTGTGGAGTATCTGCCTACTTCTGAGCGACCTTACCGATGTCGTTTGTGCCATTACACTAGTGACAATAAAGGGTACATAAAGCAGCACTTACGTGTCCACCGCCAGAGACAGCCCTATCAGTGCCCAATTTGTGAACACATTGCTGAGAATAGTGATGATTTGGAGAACCATATGATCAACCATTGCAAAACAAGGACTTATGAATGCAAACATTGTGCAGAATCCTTTTACTATAAGGTAAGACAACTTAAAAATATAAAAAAAAACTTACTGTTTTTATTCTTAAATACTGCAACATTTTCTTAGTTTACTGGTTTGCCAGTCAACAGCCCAAACTAAAGCTGTTGGTACATTGAGTAATTGTGTACTATAAAATGTACATTTGCCCTTTTCTGTTTCTTGTCATAGTTTCACTTGTCTCCTTCGCCCTCAGCGTGCTTCCCTCCACATCTTCCTCACCTGTCCTGTCTTTCTAGACGCCCGAATCATGCATGCCATCTACACTAGTCTTTAAAGGGATACTGTAGGTAGCCAGACCACTTCATCTCAAAGATGTTGTTTGGGTGCCGTGCTTTTTTTTTAACCCTGCAACTGATAACACTGCTGTTTAGCACGATTGGCAATGTTAACGTTGCAGGATTTAACGTGACTTTTCTTGCTGTCACACTGACCGCCACTAGAGGCACTTCAACCTCAATAGAGGAGTTAAACTTGGCTATTCAATCAGATGGTCTTCTCTAGACTATTTGTTTGGCGTGGTTAGTTGCTGTGCATGGACACTGGCCTCCCAATGCTTTCTTGTGGGAAAGTATCGATTTTGCTGAAACCATAAAGATTTATCTCAGCCAATGAGGTGGGGACAGCCCCCTTGAGGTAGAGAAGATAAGTACGTGAGGGGGCGGTACCCCAACCAGTTGGCAGGTCACTACAGAATTTGGAATACATGCTTGTGTTCCTTTAATCTCCTCCCCTCCTCCTTTGCTGTGTGTAGTGTTGTTTAACTGTGTTCAGTTAAATGCTTGCAGGACAGGATGTGCATACAGAGGGCATGGCAGTTTTGTGATTTATTGCCACAGGCCTGATTCTGCTCCCTTGGGTGTGTTCCTTTTAAAGGGACAGCATCTGTGCACTAAAGCCACTACAGTAAGTTGGAGCTTAGACAGACAGTCTCTTTAAAGTGCAGCAGAAGTGGTGCATGGTGAGCTTGGTTCATTAGGGCGAGTCCAGGAAGGAATGGAATTATTAGTCTGCAGAAGACTAAGCTGCAAATGAGATTTACTATCACAGTCACAAGCGTGTCCAGTTCACCATCTCTTCCTGGATTTAAGAGGTTTGTAGTCATGTGACTTGTACTTAGACATGTTCCCCTTTTTTGCTCCCTCTCAGTTGTTTCAGCTCAGTATCAGCCGAAGGGAAAGTTAGTGCCTAGCCTCCGTACTAGTAATATTGTGTGTAGTACCAAGTACTAGTCCTCATGTCATGTCTCTCGTAATAAAAATGGATTCCCCACAGAACCAGTTAAGAACTCATGAATTGGAACATGGCAGTCCTCCAGATGTCCATTCTCTGTCTGTGTCTACCGAAGAACCACAAGGCAGCAACGATGATACTGAAGAGAAATACTCCACAGAAGGTACGGTGTCCTCTGGGTGAATTTCTTATTCTTGAAATTTCGTGGACGCGAGGAAGAGATGAGATTGGAGGTAGTAGGAAATAGTGCTATCAGAGAGGGATAAAGTATGTATGATGGTGAATGTGAAGAACGAAATGTAAAGGAAGAAATTAAATTAAAAAAACAATGCATATATGTTGGTTAGGGACAGAGGGAGACTTTAGCGCGAGGTAGAGGTTTGTGACAACTGGGGAATCTGGTTTTGCTGGGAGAAACCTGAGAGAGGATTAAAATACTGATGCATGAGACACTTGAAAGACATTTAGGACAACGTGGTGATTGAAACACAAGTCTGGGGAGACAGTGGAGGGCTTTAGGACCATATAGAAGAGGCGAGTAAAAGGGCACTGCGAGTTCCATAAACGTTACAGCTTATTGGTGGTGTGTAGAGGAATTCCTGAAAATTCTGTGCCTGTGTGAGAATGGTAGGGACAATCAGTATAACAGAAAAAAACACGCAGCATATTCATTTAGCTCCTCAAAACCCTTCTTTTTTTGTTTGTGGAAGCAAATGCACGTAGATGTATCCAACAAATCAGCATGTATGGGTTTTTATGGTTGAGTTTATGAAATCTTAGCCTCTTTCACAAACCGTACTTGTTTTAACCAATGACATAAAAGGCACCAGTGGAAGTTGTGTTAATTGGTCAGCCTCTGCTCGCTGGGTGTAGAGGTTAATGAGCAGTGTCCAGCACAGTCGACAAAGGGGGATTTTTTTCGTTTTTGTTCTTCTTAGTAATCTGCTTACTTTTATGAAGAACATTTTCCTTGTTCTTGTGAGATTATCTCAATATGGATTTAGGATTATTGGATAACCTTTTTAGAGCAGATATGCTGTAAGACTGAGCCTAAAGCAAGACCACCTGCTTGAAAATTAAGATCTGTATAATATTTTATTTTTATCTCTGAGGAGCATTGGGTAACTGGCACCCTAGGTATTTGTGAACTACATTTCCCATGATTCTCAGCAATTAGCACCCACCTACAATGTTTTGTAGTAAGACAGTCTAGATTTTTATTTCTGTGTATACAACTCTGCTCTTTAGTTTACAACTCACCACTGCTTACTGTGTAGCACACACTAACGAAGTTGAAATAGATTTTGTTGAAATATATGAATGTGAAAACATTATATTAATCTTTTTTTTTTTTTTATTAAAGCTAGCAAAGTTAGCGCCCCTAAGCTGTACAAATGCGATGTGTGCAACTACACAAGTTCTACGTATGTAGGTGTTCGAAACCACCGAAAGATTCATACTTCCGATAAACCCTACAGGTAAGATTATTTTTAGAATTCATTTTAGTAGTGTATAATATATATATATATTTTTTTATTTTGCAATGTCTGTTTGCGTGTAAATGTGCGCATTGCATGCACGTGCATCTGGGTATGTGCCTTTACTCAAGGCTTCGTGGAAGCACGCACTGATATGCTTAACTTAGCTTATTCCATTTTTAACTGGCATCCCGTTACATTGCAAGTCCAAAGTATGTGTTTTCTTGGACTGACCACAGCTGGTGCTTTTATTTTTGTTTCGGAAGATGTCAAGTATGCAATTTTGCAGTTAGAACTGTGAACACTTTAAGGCGTCATATGAAATGCCATCCAAGGGAATGTGGAGCAGCATGGTTTACGTTCCTTCTTCTACATAGTATAGTAAGAGGCAGCGTGTGTATCACATAGCTAAATCAGGAGGGAAGTATGTATCCTTTATTGGTCCTTAGTTGGCAGCTTACCCATGTGGCAGTGACCTAGTGAATACCTGCAAAGTGTAATATTGGCATTGTGGAGTCTTCATGTCCTCCGGTTTAGTACAATCAATATCACTGTCCAGTAAGAAAATAATTCCCTAACAATATACCAAGCAATTGATATATTAACCCCTTAGTGACCAGACCACTTTTCAATTTTCTTGCCGTTAAAACCAGGGCTGTTTTTACATTTCTGCAGTGGTTGTATTTAGATGTAATTTTCCTCTTACTCATTTACTGTACCCACACATATTATATACCGTTTTTCTCGCCATTAAATGGTCTTTCTTAAAGATACCATTATTTTCATCATATCATATAATTTACTATAAAAAGAATTATAAAATATGATGAGAAAAATGTAAAAAAAAAAAAAAACTTTGACCCCCAAGATCTGTTACGCCTCTACAACCGCCAAAAACCACCCGTGCTAAATTGTTTCTAAATTTTGTCCTGAGTTTAGAAATACCCAATGTTAACATTCTTAGCTTTTTTGGAAAGTTGTAGGGCAATAAGTACAAGTAGCACTTTGCTATTTCCAAACCATTTGTTTTTCAAAATTAATGCAAGTTACATTGTAACACTGATATCTGTCAGAAATCCCCGATTAACCCTTCACATGTATATATATTTTTTTAAAGAAGACAACCTAAGGTATTAAACTTGAGGTATTTTGACTCTCTTCATGCAGCCATTTTACCACCAATCTGATACATATACCAATTTGTAAAAGTAGACAACCTACGGTATTGCAAATGGGGTATGTCCAGTCTTTTCTAGTAGCCACTTAGTCACAAACCCTGGCCAAAATTAGCATTTATATTAGTTTTTTTGCATTTTTCACACACAAACTGCCATTTCACCCATGATATTATCGGTATGATACATTTAACTGCTCAAAAACACTCATATTTCTGTAGAGCAATGTCTCATGAGTACAACAGTACCCCTCAAGTACAGGTTTTATAGAGATTTGGAAAGTCAAACATAAGATTTGCCAATTTCTGATTTTGTAAATTGCTATTTGCCAGATTGGCTATGTTGCCTTGGGGACGGTATGGCAGCCCAGAAATGAAAATGAACCCCACACCATGACATACCATTTGAAAAAGTAGACAACCCAGGGTATTCAAAAGGGGGATGTCCAGTCTTTTGTAGTAGCCAGTTAGCCACAAACGCTGGCAAAAGTTAGCATTTTTAGTTTTGCTTTTTTCTTTCTTTTTTTTTTTTTTTTTAAACACAAAAACTGCACTTTTACTGGTGATTTCAAAAAGCTCTAACTAGAAGTGAAATATCCTGCTTCCTTTTTGCCTGGGAGAAGCTCTGAAAAGTGCCAACCCTATTAAGCTGCTTGTTGTAGTCATTGGTGGAAATGTCTGTAAGCTCATTGGAAAATACTAAAATTGTTGTTCCATGGATTGCATCTTCACATTAATACAGCCAGATGAGGCGTGTGTTACAGTGCACAGTGAAGCAGTGCAAAATACTCACTGTGAATTTAAAGCGGCACTGTCATGGCCGAATCCCGTTTTAAATTTTTAATTTTTTTTTTTTAACACCCCTCCCCTCCCGACTTCACTACATTGTATTATCCCTCTAGTTGTCTCCAAACGCCCCTAAGCCTCCCATATTACCTATTTTTTAATCTTTATTTCGTGCCCGGACCTAGGTCCTGGGCGTCCCCATCTTTGTGTGGGTAGATGAAGTCCCTGTGGGACCTCCCTCCCCCTCACCCCCCCATGTCTTCCCTCACTCTATGAGCGTCAATATGACCTCCATAATAGCATAAGGGAGATTAAAATCAATGCTGCTATGCCACGAGTAGGAGCATGTCTACTAAACAGTGAGCAGCCAGTGGTTTTGGACAGGACGTTTGGGAATACTTACAGGAAGCATCGCGAGATCACGGAGGAAAGGTGAGAATTGTGGGAAAATTTTCTCAGACCACAGGAAATGGAGCACACTTTGCTCCTCCGCTGGTCATAGGTGGTCAGATGTAGGAAACCTCCATAAGACAAAATAGTCCCTACTTTGTCTTATGTTTTAAAGAAAACTAGAGCAGATCCTGAGAGAGGGAGAGAAGAGGAATATATTGGGGAAAGGTAAGTTCGTCATGACGGTGACGCTTTAAGGTACAACTTGAAAACAAAACGCTTTAAAGAATAAGAAAAAGATAATAAGAAAATTGAAATATGATTTGTGGTGATTTGAATCCAATTCTACTTCTTTTACTCCTCTTCTAGAAACGATATGTGGAAAAGTGTAGTTGTGTTCCTAGTTTAATGGGATTTTAACCCTTTGCTGATCTGTGAAAGATTTGGCAGTCTTTTAAATTAATCACTTGATTTCCTTTTACATTTCTGCAGGTGCTCACTTTGTGGATATGTTTGTAGCCACCCTCCCTCTCTAAAATCTCACATGTGGAAGCATGCCAGCGATCAGAACTACAACTACGAGCAAGTCAATAAAGCTATAAATGAAGCAATGTCTCAGAGTAGTAGGTATGTTTGAGAGTTTGCAGAATGTGAGTGTTTGTGGACAGGGATGGATTTCCCGTAAGGCCGCTGGGGACATGGCCTCGTGGTGGCACATGTGAGTGGGGTGTCCCTGCTGAAACCCTGTATCGTTGGTGGTACAGCAGGAGTGCTCGGGCGAGAAGGGAAATACATCTTTCCCCTTCTCGTCTGGAACCTGCAGTGGCTAGTCCTCTCTCCCCCGCAGCCATGCGAAAGAACTGCAGGAGAGCTGGCAGAGATGACGTTGGTGTCATAACACTGCACGACCTCCTAAACCTGCTGAACGCAGTTACTTCTGATGCCCCCACACCACAGGGCAGGGGGGCGGTGTGGGCAAGAATTAGAGAAGCAAGGGAAGGAGGGAAGACTAGAAGTGAACGAGGGGGGACATAATAGGAGTACAAGTGACTGAAGGGCAGAGGAAACATAAGAGAAGAACAAGTAATTGAAAGGAGAATAGAGGATGGGGGAGAAAAGAGGAGAAAAATTTTGTAAAGCAGGATGGAAGAGTGAAACAGGTGATTTAAGGAGGAAAGAAGGGATTCAAGTGAGTGAGGGGAACAAATGAGAAATGAGGTGGGAAAGAAGAGAGGGGGATGAGAAGAGTTAACAATTGGAGAAGGGCATAATTGGGGGAAAAGTGGAGAGGAACACATGTGCATGGGAGATAAATAGAAGGGCATGGAGAGATAAAGAGGGGCAGATAGGAATTGGAAACATTAAAACGTTACACAAATATCCTCCTAACTACACATTGCCATTCAGCCACATACTCCAAACTGATCATATTGCCCTATCCACACAGTCAAATAGTCCCATCTTACCTCCCAGTCATACCCACTCATCCTATAACACTTACACACTTGGCCACATAACATGTCCCCTACCCCTCACCCATGTTGCACTTACTGCCATCCAGCCACCCACCTAGTCATATTCACCATACAGGCATACCCCAAATTAGTTACATTCATCCATTCACATACCCCAAACTAGTCACATTCAACCATCCAACCACCTACACTAAACTATTCCTAGCCAATCACATACCCCCAAACCAGTCAAATTCATCAATCCAATCACATACCCCCAAACTAGTCATATCCATACTATGGCATGCACCACATTAGTCATATTCACTATACAGTTATACTCCAAACTAGTCACGTTCATCTATTCACATACCCCAAACTAGTCACGTTCATCTATTCACATACCCCAAACTAGTCACGTTCATCTATTCACATACCCCAAACTAGTCACGTTCATCTATTCACATACCCCAACCTAGTCACGTTCATCTATTCACATACCCCAAACTAGTCACGTTCATCTATTCACATACCCCAAACTAGTCACGTTCATCTATTCACATACCCCAAACTAGTCACGTTCAACCATCCAACCACTTACACTAAACTAGTCCCAGCCAGTCACATTCATCCAACCAATCACATGCACCAAATTAGTCATATTTACTATACAGTCATATCCCAAACTAGTCACATTCATCCATCCAATCAGACACCAGGCTTCATATAGATGACATATTGGAGTGCTTTGAGAAAACTGGCCTTTGGGCAGCATAGAGGGTAAATCCGGCCCTGTTTGTTCTCCCTATATCATGGAATACACTTTATACTGATTTTGATATAGAAAGTGGATTTAATTTTTTTAAGATCTCCTTTAACAAACAGAAACTAATTAAAAGAATTAAAATGCAATGCTGTAAATATGCTGTGATGTATTTAGGTTTTTTTTGCAGTTGAAGAGTTTATTAGATTGTAAACACAGCGTTGGAACATATGATGTAGATTTAAATAACTCTCGTTTGAAGCTCTTTTTTAAAATTAGAAATACTGCAGTATACCCATCTCGTGTTCTTCTCTCCTCCCCTTTACAGCGAGCTTTATTTGATTCATTTTTTATTTTCCTGCTATATTTATTAACCTTCCCTTTTCCTTACAGTCAGAGTATATAGAGATCTGTAAGGAAAAAAAAAAATCCAATTTTATTTTTAAATTTTTATATATATATATATATATATATATATATATATATATATATATATATATATATATATATATATATATATATATATGCCTTCTGCATACTGAATTTTAATTTCAGATTACAAAACTGGCCACACGTTTACTTTGAATGTCTTCTTAATTAACGTTGTGTTGGGAATATTGACGACCATAATTGATTTTAAATAGTGTCTGTCTGTAGACCAATACAAATTGCACTTGCATTAATGACTGCATATAACCCTGCAATTTTTATTGCTATTTTTCCTAGGGCTCAGGGAGAGCCGCTAAAGGCCACTTTGCAAGAGGATACTGGTGTCAAAGAAGAGAGCGATGGTGGACATACAGCCAGCCAGTCTGCAAATGAAGGAACAGGTCCCACCGAAAGTTCAAAGGTCAATATTGCTCAGATTACTATATGTAAAACAGAGGATTTACAGAGTCCCACCCGACCAGAGCCAGAGATATGCGTTCTCCTGTTTTGCTGTTGCATTTGCGGTTTTGAGTCTACAAGCAAAGAACTTCTGATGGAGCATATGAAAGCACACGAAGGTGAAATTATTAACATCATCTTAAAAAAACACGACTCATCGTAAATGAGAGCTGCGACCCCGCTCAACGCAAATGGTGTGTAGCTGGTATACGTATGTGTCAACATTCGGAAAACACGCAGAAAGGGATTGGAATAATTGGAAAGTGGGAAAGAAATCTTTTTTTTTTTTTTTTTATCTCGCACACAAAAAAAGTAAACCACCAAAAAAACTAAAATACAAAATATTTATGAAGAACGTTGTATGCACTTGGTATACTGCATCCTTAAGTCCGACATTTCACGTTATATTGTTTACCTCTTCTATATAGACATTTTATTGAATTTTTTTTTTGTGAAAGAAACCCATAGCAATTGCTTTTGGGGTAGACAATAGCTAGAATTTCCTGTTTTGCAGCAGAGTACATAATACTCGAGTAAGGGTCTGATAGCCAAGAGAATGTTTAATAGACTTGCCTTATGAACAGTATCTAAAGGATGTATAAATGTTTGGTTGAGTCTCAACGCTCGTAGTAACGAAGCCGTCTCTTCCGAAAAAACATCTTGCTCTTGACATCCGCATAGGTTATTCTGGAATATTGATTTGTTTACGAAAATACTGTATTGATTAGAGTTGATCTCTTGCACATTTTTTAAGAGTTGAGTGCTACAACATGCTAACGTATAACGCAAATAAAATTAAAAAAAAAAGACTTACCCTTTCATAGTTAGAAAGGTCTCTGCGCCCAAAAAACTGATGCAGTTTTTTGTGAAATTTTATGGTCTACGGACAAAATTGCACGTTACTTTAGTCGTACATTATTGCGGAACTGGGTACAGTTTTGAACAAATATTTTGTAATTGATCTTAACCATTTCATTTTAGATTTTTACATTTGCATTTTGTTTCCTAAAACATTATTGCAGAGTAATTTTTTTTTTTTTTTTTTTAGTTAAATTATTTGTAGTTGTCTTTTTAAGTTTGAGATTTATGAGAGAACCAGAATTTTCCCAAATCACAAATAAGCATTCAGTGGTTGATTTAATTCTGGGCTGATTTAATTCTGCTCTCAAATTCCAACCTTATTTTGCTTTATCGTGTTCCTCCACATTTACAAAGCACTTGTATAACTGACAAATCCTGTGCTTGGTTACAAAAATGTAGCTATTACCTCTATATACAGCACAATTTATAAATGCACTTCTCACTTAGCGTGGCTTAATGTATTAAAGGACTGACCTTCAGCAGGTGCCGTCTACCTACGACCTTTGTATATTGATTAACTTAGCTTCAAGCGAAACTGTATGAGTGGGGGCAATGACTCTGCTTACAGGAAAACACTTTTACATGTGCATTCACAAGAGTGGCCATTAACTAACGAGCATATGTAGATATTACATAGTTCCCCCCCCCTTTTTTTTTTTTTCTCCCCCATCCCTATAGCTTTGTGGTCATCAGAGATTTTGACCGGTCATACTAAAATCTCTATTGTAGATAACATTGGCATTTATTTGAACTAAACCATGTCTTATTACAGAGCACTTCTTAATTCAGATTTTCTGAAAGGAATTTAAATATCCAAAAATTAAAATGACTCTTCTGAAGGAGGGGGAAGCCAAGTCCCTTGTGATTTTTTTTTTTTTTTTTATATATACCAACAATAAAAATGCCATGTATTCTATTGATATTTAATATTGTGCTGTTTAAACAAAAGTGCTTAAAACATGGTATCATTTGCCCAGTTTATGAAAATCAATTCGGTGACCATATAAAAAAAGAAAAAAACTAGTCTCCATTTTTTTTTTTTATATATAGCATGTGTATTTGTATAGTTCTCTTGAGATATATATTTTTTTAGCGTGATACAAGGTGTGTAGTTTTTGTTATATTTATTATTCAGTATTTATATGTATAATTTGACGATGTAATCCTCGTTGGAGATATGGTGGGTATGTATTCTCCTTGGTGCTACGTCCATAGGCAAGATTAAAGAACATTATGTGCTGAAGCTGCTTTAGTGACTTATATTAAGCATTTGTTCCTGCCAAGGAACGATGACATAACACGTGGTACTATTTTAATTTTTTTTATAGCTTTGGAACATAAATATCCATTTTTTTTGGGAAGCCCAGAGCTATTTAGGATTTTCCCAAAATTTCCTGCCAGTGTTCGGCAAAGAAATTCTGGGAGATTTAGTATAACAAAAAAAGAGCCAATGGTAAGCAACCCTGTATGCTTGTATTAGACTGACCCCGTGTGCTTTAGTTGAGGTCAATGGTGTGGGTACAACCTAATATTGAACTGTTATGTAAACGACAGTGGATATTAAGGCCTGAGACCTCAAGTTGCTTATTTATAATATATTGTGATTTTTTTTTATTTATTTTTTTTGCTAGGAAAATGCGTTTTACTATTTCAGGTTCTACAGCTGCGCGATTGCTGTCAATATTCAAAAATGTGCTTGCCGTTCTGCTCTGCCTTGCAGAATTTTGTAAATTCTCGTTGCGTGCAAATATGTACCGAGTGACGCGCTTTTTATGAATTACTTATGTTAGTATTGGTAAGACGTCCATTAAAAAAAAATCAAAACAAAACACAAAAAGCTTCAATACGTATAAATGAGTTCTATTTAACTTTTCTTAATTTAAGCAGTCTGAACAAATCCGTGCTATAGTTAACTTGTTTTTCAGCTGAGGTCTGTGTAGGAGATTGAGAGCTCTTCTGAGTGTCTTTTTTTTACCTTGAGAATTACAAAGGGGACTTGTACTTTGTATTCTCATTAGAGGACCTAGACATTTCTTTCCATCGTTTGTTAGTAAAAGGCTAAGGCGACCGTAATTCTATCTAAGCTACGAGTTCTTGTTCATTGTTTACCATATTTTTACCTCTCTGTCTTGTGCAGAATGTCTGGGTTTTATTGCATAAGACCTGGTTCATTTGATAAGACACTGATGGAGACACATTTAAAAGCTTTTGGTTTTAGGTTCTGTTTGGCCAACTATTCCTTACTGTACGGTTTGTGACATTGGTTAATTTATAAGACTAGCTTTTCTGAAATTAAATAGTTTTACATTTCGAGACTAATATTTTCCATTTGTGCCTATCTGAGTAATAGTCGTATGTGATAATCCCTTTCAAAGCTGAGTCTGACAGTCATATAGAAAGGTTTTATTTTTTTTATATATATGAACAATAGTTTTATGCCAAATATCACTAACAGTTTCATCCTCCAACTAATGTAGCACCAATGCTTACTCTTAAGTTACTTGCAGTACATTGATCTGATAGTCCTTTCTGTCAGTAAAAAGATTGACTGAGCCACAAGTAGAACGAGCATCTCAGGTGCCCAAGCTAGCCCTTTGGGACACACTTTATTGGCTTTATATACCTGTTTGAATCCATATGACTTTGTTTATGGACTTATTTCTAAATGACTTCCCTAAATTCATGCAGAGAAGGGACATTCTTACATGTTAAAGGGATTTTAATCAAAACTGTCTTCAGTGTGTGGTTGAAGAGTATAAGAAAGAGATACAGATTGTGTTGGTTTAGGAAAAACTGTCCATGATTCCCTGGCTATCTGTTTCATTGAAAGAATCACGGGAGTTAAAAACTTTAAGATGACTGAAGACACTGGACTATTTAACTGTTGCTCCATCTCAAAGTATACATGTCACCTGCCATGTTTTTGTTGCATATTTTTCTCATTTCTGTCTGTATATCATATTATTTTCCAGTGTATCCAGACTTCAAGTTGCTGTTACGCTAGTGTAGGCTTTAGTATATATAATTTTTTTTTAAATTTAATTTTTTAAATTTTTATTATTTTTCTTTTTTTTCATACATCGCAGGATTCCCTTCCTGACCGCACTATCCTGTGATAATTGGCTTTCTCTATTGTGGAACTTGATTGATGCTTCCCAACAGTCAAGCTAAACATATTAGGTTGTGTGGAGGTACTTAAACCCTTGGAATGTATAAGTTTTATAACTTACTGGAAGAAGGGCTATACGTATAAATAGATTGTAAATTTGCATAACTGTAACAAGAGTAGGGCTACAAAACGTGGCATAAAAACCATATTATAGACAAAGTAAAGAGAAGAATTTTGTTATACACAAAACAATAACATGACCAATATACACTTTAATTGGCTCTGTAGGGGAGAAAGGAAGCATTGCACCGGATTGTACAGAGGTTTGTTCACTTAGCGCCTAATATTATTTTAGCAAATTCTGCCAATTTAATTTGATGGAATTTCACTTTGCTTGATAAAAATCCTCTTGAGGTTCGCTGTATTCTCTGTTGACTGAATTAAAACTGCTTTTAGCCAAAGGGTTCCCAGCTATTTTCAATCGGGTCTCATGGCAACAGTGAGCTTCATTTGAAAATAACTCCAGCAGAACGGTAGTAAAATGCTTTCGGGTGCGAAATAGTCCATCTTTGAGGAAAAACCACTGCTATGGTAAAATCAGAGTTAGGGTAGTGTTTGGGCATTTTCCTAGGTCTTTGTCAGGGATAAAATGAATTAAGAGAATACTTTTTGCAGTGTGTGAAATGGCCTAATTAGCAAATGCATTTAGAAATTTGGCTGATAACTGGACAGCAGCCAAATAGTGCGAAATTGCAAAATGTGTGAATAACCAAATGGGTTTCAGGTGGTGTATAGGTCTCACAATATGCGTGTTTTTTTCCCCTCGTCACCCCACCTCATTTTCTTAATGGAACAAAATTACCTGTTAGTGTTTATTGATAACTTCTGTTTCACATTAATGTGTTTCAGTAATCCTGTGGTGCTCTCTAAAGAAAACAAAAATATATATTAAACAAGGAAAAAAAACCTGTGTAACACTACAAAAACAGCCAAAGTATTATGCGTAAACTGACATTTCTAGACAGTAGGCAGTCCCATGAGTTTATAGAAATGCCTCATCCATGTGAGCTTTGCATGCCATACATGAAGGACTGGATACGACCTGGGAAGGCTCTGAATGGGGCAATCTATGTAGTACTTACTATGTTTCGAATACTGTAAATTGTTTAGAATAATTTATTTTGCTTTACAAAGTATGTCACATATTGACTTTCATATTGTATTTTGGTAATAAACACTTTTTAAGAAAAAAAACTTGTGTGCACGTTATTTTTAAACCGTATTCTCAATGCAGTCAGTCTGGTAATTTGGCACCATTTTCAGAAAATAAGTGGCAATGAGATTTATTAGCCTGTAAAACTTAGATCATAAGTATATAAAGTACATTGCTATCAAAAAGTATGCATTTTAATTTTTTCTCTCCCTCTTTCTCCCCCCCCTCTCTCTCGCTCTCCCTCTCCCCTCTGTCTCCCCCCCCCTCGCTCTCTCCCTCTCGCGCTCTCTCTCTCCTCTGTCTTCCTCCCCTCCCCACCGTCTCTCTCGCTCTCTCCATATTCTCCTCTAAACCATTGGATGAAATATGGAAATTACAACACCAGCATGTAAATATTAAGTATGTTGTTGCCAATTGCAGTTTGGCATAAATAACGGTAACTGGTCTAATTACAATTTAAGAGACCAGAGACCCAACTCTATTCTAAGCATTTTAGCTAATAGTGTGCAGATATAACCTGGGTTGCTATTACTGGCATCACAAGCATTGGAAGATAAACTGAAGTTGACAGACATACTTGTGCCAACTGGCAATACACTGTTACTTGAGTTAGCAGTATTAATTTAATGGCTAACCCTTATCAAATAATGTTTGCCTGGGGCATTACTTTGCAGATGTATCTTTATTTTTAAAAGATGAACTTTATATTGGTATTAAAGGCCAAAATCTTGCCATTTGGATTCACGAGCGTGATGCCCGGATACACAGGCATCACTATCTGAGTGATGAGTCGATTGGCATCATCTGTCCTGTTTTGCTAGTAATGGTGCCTGGAGTCTGTATGTGCAGCATTTCGCATGCAGAATTGAACCCCTCAGTTGCGAATGTGTTATTCAACCTTTGGCTGTGCCATTGGGGGGGGTCATTATTCTGCCCAAAACAAGAGTTCCAGGCTAGCTAATGACAATCCTGTGCATATTTGGCATTAGAGGAAGAGACGTAGCAGTTCCCTGACTTCAGTAATCCCAATAAACAAGGCTGTCATGAAAATCCTTGGGGCTCCTTACAAGCCCACTGGCCGTGCCCCATGACACAAAGACTATCAGACAGAGATAGATGCACATACACAGATATACATTTCAGACAATCTCACAGGATACAGACACAACATGGGGGTACACACAGTTACAGATGTACACATCCCAATGCATACTGCCAGGCGCACACACAATACTAAACACACAATTGCACTGATACATATAAACACCCTACTACGCATATTTACATTGCTGAACATACATTACTGTACTATACACACAATGCTAAACACACATCCATCTACACACACACATTTCTATATACACAATTCTACACATAAATAATACTATACACAGACATACAATTAAATCGTTTTGAAGTATATTTTATTTAGCCACCCACTTTTTAAGCTACATTTGGAGCTGGAGGTTGGCTTCGTCAGCAGGTACAAACTCCTGGCTCCTCTAACATCCTGCATGGCTTCCATGAGCTCTGGGAGGGAGTGATCTGACATAACTTCCTCCCAGCGCTGCCGCACAGGGGACAAGAGGGGGCAGACAGTGCGGTCTATTAATGGGTCTGGTCTCCAGAAGTACCGCAATGCTGTCTATGTGGGTTCCTTACATGAGTAATGGCCGTCAGCTCCTGATGGCGGCTCATCCAAAATAAAATAAAAACTTTCTAAAGTACAATTGGCTTTATTTGTGGGCAAGTTAATGCTGTTGGACCAGTCTGCAAACATTTCTAGTGGACTCTGCTCATACAAAACGATTTTCTAAGAGTCCTACCTACAGTCCCACACTGTTACAAGGCTATGAAATGTAGGACATATATTTCTTTTCCGACTTGTGTTTTGTATAGTGAACAGTGTCCTTTATTACAAAAGTAGAAAACTCTGGGTCAACTCTGTCTTTGGATTGATTACGTAGTCTGTAACATATTTCGAGCTGCCTACCTGACTATTTAAAAATAAATAAATAAAATTACATATCCCAAATTCATATGCAAGTTTTAAATAACGGGAAGTTTTTATAATCACTCCAATGGCAATTAAAGTGTAAGCTCATCTGCCACATTAAGGTAAAACCCGCTAGAAGGTAAAATCTCTGAGAGCGGGAAGAATAATTTTCTGAATTCCCTATATAATTATTAACCCTTAATAGGGAACGCATGGGTTGCGCGGCAGCACTGTAACATGGCTGTATAATACAAAAGCAAATTCATCATGCTCCCTGTTCGTAAAACCGGCTAAAAAGAGGAATGCTTTGAGCATCACCATCGCCCCTACCCAGCATCTCTCCCAGAATTCTGTTCTGAAGATTTTGAGAAAGCGGATGTGGAGGAGGCAGAAAGAAACCATGCTGGAGAGGAAACTTTGCAGTTACTCCATTCGTGGACGGATTAAGCCCTAAAGGTAAGTCTGCACCATAACAACTTAATTAATTTGAAGTTGTTATGGTGCCCAAACTGTTCATTTAACTCTTTTGTCCAGAAACGTGAAATTCACTGTGAATTGCTAACCATTCACACCTTTAGTGTAAAACTCTGTGAGAAAAAAAAAAAAAAAAAGCTTACCTGCCAACATTTCAATTGGACAGAGGGACACTTTAAAGGGAAACTTTATGCTAGGATTACAAAAATGTAATTCCTAGCACTATAGAACCCCTGAATCCCCTCGTCAACTTTGGGATCCTAATGCGCATGCATGGCGAGCACCACAATTGCATTAGGACACCCCCACAGGAAACATTGAATCAATGCTTTTTCTACGAGGTTTAACCGGACACTGGATGTCCTCGTGCATAGTGTGAGCTAGTCCAAAAGCGCCATGAGTGGCTGCCACCTGGTAGGTTTGGAGTGAACCATGTAAGGAAATTATTGCGGTCTATCAATATCTGCAATAATCACAAACGCAGGGTTAAATTGACAGGAACACTGCACCCAGACCACTTCAATGAGCTGAAGTGGTCTGGGTGCCTGTAGTGTCCCTTTAATTTTAGTGGTGGTAGTGGAGTGTGAGTGGAGCTGTTCTAATAAATTTAAGGTGACTTATAACAATTTATTGCAAATAAACTAATTTAGAACCAGAACAATATGTCCTATTTACCCAGACTGATTTCTAAACACATTTAGTGTAGTTTAAAGACACATTACTGGGACTCATATTGCTGTGGAGCTCTGTTATACACCCAGATACACCAACAATATGGAGCTCCTGGACAGTGGGATTTGGTAAAAACATTGGGACTGTTTTTATATAAACAGGGACCCTTGGTAGCTATGATTGATCTATAGCCCCTGCAGTGATTGTATTAGTGAGCTCCCTGCTCCATGATAAAGGCTGGGAGCTAATTCTATTAATTTGCACAGTATTGAGAGTAAGAGCCCTGCCGGTCCAGGCAGTGTATGGCAGGAGGGAGTCCCCCCCGCAGTAAGCACACACCGAGCTGTCTGTCTGACTCCGGCCCCGGCTCGGCTCTCACCGCCCGCACACCGGCACCCCCTGCTCCCCATCACCGGACAGCCTGGCCCCTCTGACGGCGCTGGGCCTGGGATAGTCCGCGGTCTGGGCCTAGGTTGGAGCTCGCGCTGTCCCCGGGCTGGAAGCAGGAGAGCCCGCTGGTGAGTAGGCCGCACTGACCTCCAGCCACATCCAGCGCCGGGGGATCAGCGTATACTGCGGGCAGGGAGCCAGTTAGCCAGCCAGCCATACCCCGGGGGGATTGGGAGGGTTTTACACCCCAGCTAAGACAATGGAGGCACGCTTACTGAGCGGAGATATACATAATATAATATATATAGATATACACTGACTGAGTGAGAGTGCAATCACTGGAGATATACATACACACTGAAAGTGCAATGAATTGGGATATATATATATATACACACACACTGAGAGTGCAATGAAGGGATATATACACACACACTGAGAGTGCAATGAAGGGATATATATATATATACACACACACTGAGAGTGCAATGAAGGGATATATACACACACACTGAGAGTGCAATGAAGGGATATATATATATATACACACACACTGAGAGTGCAATGAAGGGATATATATATATATACACATACACTGAGAGTGCAATGAATGGGGATATATATACACAGAGTGCAATGAATGGAGATATATACACAGAGTGCAATGAATGGAGATATATACACAGAGTGCAATGAATGGAGATATATATACACAGAGTGCAATGAATGGAGATATATATACACAGAGTGCAATGAATGGAGATATATACACAGAGTGCAATGAATGGAGATATATACACAGAGTGCAATGAATGGAGATATATACACAGAGTGCAATGAATGGAGATATATACACAGAGTGCAATGAATGGAGATATATACACAGAGTGCAATGAATGGAGATATATACACAGAGTGCAATGAATGGAGATATATACACACAGAGTGCAATGAATGGAGATATATACACAGAGTGCAATGAATGGAGATATATATACACAGAGTGCAATGAATGGAGATATATACACAGAGTGCAATGAATGGAGATATATACACAGAGTGCAATGAATGGAGATATATACACAGAGTGCAATGAATGGAGATATATACACAGAGTGCAATGAATGGAGATATATACACAGAGTGCAATGAATGGAGATATATACACACAGAGTGCAATGAATGGAGATATATACACACAGAGTGCAATGAATGGAGATATATACACAGAGTGCAATGAATGGAGATATATACACAGAGTGCAATGAATGGAGATATATGCACTCTGTGTATATATCTCCATTCATTGCACTCTGTGTATATATCTCCATTCATTGCACTCTGTGTGTATATATCTCCATTCATTGCACTCTGTGTATATATCTCCAATGAATGGAGATATATACACACAGAGTGCAATGAATGGATATATATACACACAGAGTGCAATGAATGGATATATATATATATATATATATATATATATATATATTTACTTTCTTAACCCATAAAACACCTTCACCTGCTCTTGATATTCCAATTATCTCCAATTTTTATTTTTCAATGATCTGTTTTCTCCTCCTCTTTATTTCCTCAGTCTCCCTCAGTATAAAAATCAATCCTTACACCCACTTCACTCATCCCCCCCCATCCACATTTACATATGCCCTTCTCTCATCTCATGCCTTACACTCATTTTTCTACTCTCTCACTCCAACCCACAATCGATCTCATCCTAGACCCCATGCATACAAAACCCATTCACACCTCCTGTCACTTTCTCTCTTCCTACTTCTAGCAGCTGGTGATGTCTCTCCCAATCCAGGGCCCTTCACCTTCTCTACACACACTAAGACAACCAGAAACCCCACAAACCTCATCACAATACCCTGCCCTTTACCCTCACCAAAATTAATTGTGCACTCTGGAATGCCCGCTCCATCTGCAGTAATTTTAAAATCAACAACCATACACGACCTTTTTCATCTCAAACTCACTCACACTGCTTGCACTTACAGAGACCTGGCTGTCCCCCTCTGATAGCGCTACTCCTGCCTCTTTATGTTTTGGTGGGCTACAATTCTCTCACACTCCGAGACTCCACTGTAAAGGAGGCGGCGTAGGCATCCTTCTCTCCCCTCAATGTACCTTTCAACCAATCATAACTCCCCATTCCCTATCCTTTTCTTCTTTTGAAGTTCACACTGTCCGCCTATTTAAACCCACTCCTTTAAGAATTGCTATAATCTACCGCCCCCCGGTTATCCTAGACTATTCATTGAGCACTTTTCTTTCTGGCTTCCCCACTTCCTGTCATCTAGCACTCCTTCCCTTACACTTGGGGATTTCAATAACCCAATCAATAACCTCAATTGCACTGATGCCTCTCGTCTGCTCTCTGTAACCTCCTCCTTTGCCCTTACGCAATGATCCAATTTAGCAACCCATACAGCAGGAAACACTCTTGATCTTGCCTTCACCATCCTCTGTACTGCCTCTAATCTTTCCAATATTCTTTCTCCTCTATCTGACCACCATCTGCTGACTTTTGACATTGGCATACCTAAGACCCAATTGACACCACCGTCTGAACATCACTCTCACAGAAACCTCCATCATGGCACCTTGTACATTAAGACCCCGCAGGCCCCCCCCCAACAACAACCCTGGCCCACCAAGCTCACTCGATATCTCCAAAAATGCTCCAGAACTGCTGAATGCTGTTGGAGAAAGTCTCACTGTGCATCTGACTTTCTCCACTATAAATTTATGCTGAGCTCATACAGCTTGGCTCTTTCCTCTGCAAAAGTTAATTAATTCAATACCCTCATAACCACACTATCCCGCGAACCCAAACGACTATTTCACACACTTAACTCTCTTCTGCGCCCTGCTGTTCCTCCTCCACCTACTAACTTGACCGCCTCAGACTTTGCAACTAACTTCACTGACAAGATCTCTATAATCAGAGAAGAGATCTCTCATCTTTCTTCTTCCCCTTACAATACTTCCCCTAACTTCACTGCCTCTGCTGCTCTATGTTCATTCGCACCCGCTACATTGGAAGAGGTTTCTGCTCTGCTCCAGTCCTCCCGCCCCACCACCTGCTCCCTAGATCCAATTCCCTCACATCTCATCCGTACTCTGTCTTCTTCTCTTTCTCCACCTCTCACTAAAATTCTCAATCTCTCTCTCTCCTCTGGTATATTTCCATTGCCCTTCAAACATGCAATTGTAACCCCAATTCTAAAGAAGCCTAATCTTGACCCTAACTCCCCATCCAACTATCGTCCTATCTCGCTTCTGCCTTTTGCATCCAAGATCCTTGAAAAAATTGTGTATGCGAGATTGACAGACTTCGAGTCCAACTCTCTGCTGGACCCGCTTCAGTCTGGTTTCCGTGCTAAGCACTCTGTGGAAACGGCACTGACCAAAGTATCCAATGATCTACTCGCTGCAAAATCTCGTGGTCAGTACTCCTAATTCTCCTTGACCTGTCTGCGGCTTTTGACACTGTTGATCATCAACAGCTTCTTCTCATCCTCCGCAACATTGGTCTACAAGATATTGCTCTCTCCTGGTGCTCCTGCTACCTCTCCCAGCGCTCTTTCAGTGTTTCTTTCTCTAGCTCTGCTTCTTCTCCCCAACTCCTCTCTGTTGGCATCCCCCAAGGTTCAGTCCTTGGTCCCCTACTGTTCTCCATCTATACTGCCTCCTTTGGTAAACTCATTAGCTCCTCTGGCTTCCAATATCATTTCTATGCAGATGACACACAAATCTACCTATCCTCTCCTGATCTCTCCCCGTCCCTGTTGACTAGTGTCTCTGACTGCTTCTCTGCTGTTTCTAACTGGATGGCTGCCCACTTCCTTAAACTGAAATTCTGGTCTTTCCTCCCTCAAGTGTTGTTACTCCTGTGTCTGTCTCCCTTCAAGTCAACGGTGCTACCATCAGCTCCACCACGCAGGCTCGCTGCCTAGGTGTTCTCTTTGACTCCAACCTCTCCTTCAAGCCTCATGTTCAATCTATCGCCAAATCCGGTCATTTACATCTCAAAAACATTTGCCGCATCCGCCCCTACTTACCGCCAGATGCGACTAAGGTGTTGGTCCATTCCACTGTCATTTCTCGCCTTGATTACTGTAATCCACTTCTCAGTGGTCTTACATGCTCCCAACTTGCGCCGTTACTGTCCATAATGAATGCGGCGGCGAGGCCCATCTTCCTGTCTGCCCGCACCTCCCATGCTTCACCCCTCTGTCAGACCCTACATTGGCTTCCTATAAAATATAGAGCTCAAATTAAAATTCTGGTTCTTGCTTTCAAATCTCTACATAATGCTGCTCCCACCTATCTATCCTCCCTTATACGCAAGTATGTCCCGTCTAGGCCCTTACGATTACGTCTATTTTCTGTCCGTACTCCCACCTCTGATGCTCGCCTTCAAGATTTCTCGAGGGCTGCACCGTTCCTGTGGAACTCGCTTCCCTCCTCCGTTAGATGCTCACCCAGTCTCCACTCCTTAAAAAAATCGTTAAAAACCCACTTCTTCATAAAAGCGTATCAATTAAACTGTTAATAGCTCCTGACTGATTCCTCTTCTGCAACTGTCACTAGTCTAATACTATCCTTACCTTTTTTGTGTCATTTTACCCCACTCCCTCTAGCATGTAAGCTCATTGAGCAGGGCCCTCAACCCCTCTGTTCCTGTGTGTCCAACTTGTCTGGTTACAACTACATGTCTGTTCGTCCACCCATTGTAAAGTGCTGCAGAATTTGACGGCGCTCTATAAATATCATAATAATAATAATAGTGTGTGTGTATGTATGTATGTATGTGTGTGTATATATATAATTTTCTCCATTCATTGCACTCTCTGTGTGTGTGTGTGTGTGTGTGTGTGTACGTACTACTAAGAGTGCAATGAATGGAGATGTACAACCGATCAGTGTTTATAAATCATTTAATCCATATAAGCATATCCTAGAATTCACATATATATTTTTACTATTAATATTTATATATATATATAAAAAATAGTCTATCGACGTGTGTATATATTCTACTAATTTAGTGTACAACAAATAGGTAACATACAATTTTATGAGTGCATCATGTTTGGTGTGTCTTTTTCTTCCTCTTCATTCTGCATAATTATTGAACTCTTGGTTTTAGTTCCAATGTTTCCCTAGCAAATCGTATCATTTAGGCAAAAAAAAACAGGTTAATTGGAGTATTTTAGCAGTACAGCTGTTGAGCATTTTTCAACTCATATGTATTTTTTTTGTTTTTTTTGTTTTGTGTCTCTTCCCCTTTTTGTTTAACACAATTCTGTGTTTTTTTGTTGTTGTTTTTTTTGTTTTTTTTTTTATATTCTACAATTGCAGGACATAAAACTGCACAGATAAATTCTGTGTATCTATCTATATTTTATGTTCGAGCCTCCTCCCATTCTATGTCTGCGTGTACAATTTGTGTGTATGCGCATGCGTTACTACCATGGTTACTATTAAATAATGCAAATATGTGTTTGATTTATTACTCATAGCTGTATGTGACTCTTCTCTTTCCAGTATGTGTTGTATATCTGGGTACAATATTCAATGTATATTTTAGACCTCTAAATCATCAGGTTTGGGAATCACTATTACTTCTGTGGAGGTTTGAATTAGTATTTTTTTTTTTTTTTTTTTTTTCCATACAGACTAGCTTAAGAAATAATATGCAAGAAACATTATTACAATGACAACCGTTAGACAGCGAAAGCGGGTAAACTCCTCCGATCCAAGTCACCAGGGACTTCAGGCTGAGAAACACACCAGGCAACATGTGAAGGGACATTCCGGTAAGGAGTTGGTGCGATGCTGACACAATCTCAGACATTATGTCTATACAGAGAGCATTGCCACAAGTTCAATTATCTAATATTCAAAGGCCCACCTATATAAGACAGACCATGGCACCACACATACTCCTTAAAGGACCACTATAGGCACCCAGAACACTTAAGCTCAATGAAGTGATCTGGGTGCCAGGTCCCTGTAGTTTTAACCCTGCAGCTGAAAACATAGCCGTTTCAGAGAAACGGCTATGTTTCCATTGCAGGGTTAATCCAGCCTCTAGTGGCTGTCTCCCTGACAGCCACTAGAGGCCACTTCCACGAATCTCACTGTAAAAATCACATTGAACTCACGCAGCGTGAGTTCAGATCCCCATAGGAAAGCATTGAGTAATTCTTTCCAGTGGGCGGTTTAAAAAGCGTGCGGCTCTGCCGCGCATGGGCATTCAGCTTTACTCGGGAACTGATGTCGGCAGGGGGAGGAGAGGTCACTAGCACTGGATTAAGGTAAGTGGCGGAATGGGATTCAGCTCAGCGGGAGGGGGGCCACGAGGAAGAGCGGGACCTAATAAACACTATAGTGCTCCTTTAACTACAATTTCTATGATCCTCATACAAATTCTAAACTGGCAAAACGTCATGGGAAGTTGTGTTAAGCGATATCTGGCTTTCCAAGACCATCTACCACTAGAATAGATATTACACAAGGAGTATACTGTCAAGAATTTCCACATCTGGAGTGGAAGTACATCTCCCTCAGTACTTTGGCAGGCTATTTGTTGGCAAACCCTGCGTTACTGTATCACTGGCGACATTTTAAAAGGGGAAGTCACAGCAAACCTCTACAAAGCATTCATTTAATCCCATTGTACAGCGCTACAGAATTTGCTGGTGCTATATAAATAATAATAATTCGGATTCCACTAAAATCCATGTATTACACTATATATCACTGTTATACGAATCCATCAACAGACCTGGTGTCAGGCTGTTCTTCCTAGTGGATGGGTATCTCAGTGTAATCTCTGAGTAGCTGACCTGTATTAAGCAGGGATATCTTGAAATCTGCTGGTATTCGTGAGCCCTGAGGACAGACCTGGTAAACATTGATATACTAGTCATTAGTATTTTTCACGTGTGAACTTGCAGTTGTTGCCATGTGGCTTATAGTAATATCTTTTTTTTTTTTTTTTTACTTTTTGCTTGTAAGCACTCTTTCTATACTAGCCGCTCATGAATACAAAACAATACATACAATAAAATAAAAGTTAAGAAAGGGCAGTTTGCTGCACGTTTTTCTTGTAGTAGTTGTTTTTCTATAGTTTATGCTCTTGTTCCGTGCCTGACTGCACACCAAGAAGCACTTTAAGGAACAGGGACTGACTATGGAGTTTGGCAAATGGTTGGATAGTGGTTTTGGTATAGTTAAACAGTGAGTCATAGCCGTAACCACACTTTATTAACAGAGCTGAATCATGAGAAACAGCACATTTAAATGTAGGCAGATCTCTGAGAAAATCACACAAAGGCAGTATTACAGTTAATGCACACTGTTTATTTATAGTTTTACTGCTCAAATATTTTTTTTTCCCTCTCCCAGTGTTGTGAATCTTGCTCCTAGTTCCCTCATAGAACAATACCTTCAACCACACATAGTTAAAATCCATTATTCTTGACAGTAGATTTAAATCAAACAAACAAAACACAATTGCATAGTTTACCCTAAGGATGAGTCCACCCTTCAAGCAATTGTTTTATTTTCAAAAAAATCAATCAAATTTTCTGAACCAGGTTTTCTGTTTTTGTTTCTGTTTTGTCATGTTTGTGATTTAAGACTTAGTACTGTATTTTATTTTTCCATTTTTATTTACAGGTACGACAGCATGGTGGATTTTAACTCAAGTAATTTTAGGGACCCCTGGATTGGGCCTTGGGCTGGTAACCACTTTCTATGTGGCTACCCTCCATGAAAATGATCTGTGGTTCTCAAGTATAAAGGTAAAAGGCATAGCATGTTAGTTTATGGGGTATAAAACCTTTTACAGGGTTTGAATGGTAGATTTTTGCAATTGAGTTTTCTGTCAGATTAGAACCATTGCTCTCTCATGTCCATTTTATTAAATTGCAGAAGGATTCTCGATTATTGTGTCTCACATTGGTTCCCTGAGTTTTGGACTGGTGCGGATCTTTGACTGATTTGAATTGCAATGTTCTAGATCACGGGTGTGCAACCTTCGGCACTTCAAATGTTGTGGACTACATCTGCCCTGATGCTTTGCCAGCATTATGGGAGATGTAGTCCGCCTCATCTAGAGTGCTGAAGGTTGCCTACCCCTCTTCTAGATCAGGCATAGGCAACCTTCAGCACTCCAGATGTTTTGGACTACATCTCCCAGGATGCTTTTGCCAGCATTATGGTGGATGTAGTCCACAACATCTGGAGTGCCGAAGGTTGCCTACCCCTGTTCTGGATCATGGGTTAAGTTTTAACAGAGGTTGTAAATATATTGGAAGCAGACATAGAGTGCTGTTGCATATCTTGTGGCTCTAAAAGTAAGTTATATTTATAGCAACAATACGCAACTGTGGACATATGTGATAACTATACACTTTGGTATAGTGATGGGATGTGCATGCATATTTAAAGATAGATTGTAGAATGGCCTGTGCACCTTACTGTAGCTGGCATAGGTATGATCTGATAGTTCTTTCTCAGGTTTTTCAGCAGTAGACTCAAGATCTTGTTGCCTGGCAAAATCTGAATAGTCACATAGCCACTTGTGTTACATTGTTTTGTTTCAACCCCATTGTACAATTCCATCCTCTGCCCTTTCAGGAAGTGGAGCGGGAGATCTCCTTCAGAACAGAGTGCGGCCTGTACTATTCATACTATAAGCAGATGCTCCATGCCCCGTCAATCAAACAAGGTATAATATCTGCAAGACGTCGAGCTATATTTACTGTGCAGGAAAATACTAAACCATTTCCCACTGTTTCACCCTGTGGAGCTGAAATATTTTGTTAATAATCTCTACGCTGGATTTTTTTTTTTTTAAATCTTTCTTTTTATTGTACGGCATTAAACAGATGTACATAGCAGGGATACATTGCAGTGGTGCCATCTATCATGGAATACAATTACTTTCCAATGCTTGACGCAGGACGAGATAATTTTTATTCAGAGGACAAGAACTGTGATTATTTCCGAATGATATTGAATGAATGGGAACGCTGTGTTCTGTTACATAGACGAGTTTGCTTACGTTGCATATTATGACAACAGACATGTTATTACGTATCCATATATATAAAAAAATAATTTCTATTAAAAGAACTGTATTTTAAGAAGTAGTGAGGCAGGGAGCCAATCACGCAAACCCTGCCGGGTACAATTTGAAGAACATAACATATGTTGAGCATGCAGAATTGCCTTCTGAATTCTAAATTGGGTGGGATACTCTGTCTTTGGCCAACTGCATTAAACAATGGGGGGAGGAAAGGACTTCAAAGTCACAGTGTAAAGTCCAGACCTTGTCTACTGTCCTGCTGTTCTCTCAGTTTATCCATTCCATCAATGAAGTTGTAGAAATAAATAAAAAAATGCATGATGATGGAAACCAGTCGTAAATTCCTGAAAAGGTGTTCTTAACAATTAATCAAAAGGACCCTGCCACAATCGGCCAGATAGTCCAGAATAATTTCAAGGCCAGAAAATGAGTGGGCTCCTGAATGAAATCCATTTGAGCAAATAACAGATCGCTGATGAATTGACACCCATCATAAACATTCCTATGTAAAAAATACCCCCTGTCATTGTATACAGTGGCAGGACGTTCTTCTAGATCTATTGAAATTCTTATTAAACGAGGCATGGTAGTTGCAACATGTACATAAATGGTGTTATTTATTAAACTGGACATTATGAATAATAAACAAAGGAAATACAAGATTTTACCTATATAGACAAGTTGAAATAGCTAAATTGGACATTTTTATTCCAGTTTGTCTCCGTAATCCTAAAATGTAGAATTTCCTTGTCGGTTCTCCAAAATAGACATTTTAGTAAAAAAACTAAAAAAGGCGCCACTTTCTCTATTTGATCCCTCTGTCCGCATGAGTGGCTGCCTAATGTACTGGAGTTTAATGTCTAACCGGGATCACTAGACTGAGTTAAGGACGCGGGCCTCTGTGCTACGAAGGCTACAGATATGCACATAGTTAGATTTGATTCATTAACTCCCTGTCTTGTGCTTTGATTATTCCGCTGTCAGATATTAAGTGCTGTCTTGAAGGGTAGCCCTTTGGTTACAGGGTACAGGGATTGTAAGTGCGATGCTGCATTACAATGAAATGCTACAAAACACGGCTCATAAATCAGGAACCCTTTGTCTAACTCTAAGCATTGCATCTGTGTTTTATCATTAACCCTAGGTATCACTGACTTAATGTATGACAATCGGACAGAATCCATGAGAACCATTAATATTCTGGCTCGAATGAACGTGTACCAAGAAGTTCTCCTAGCTGTACTGTACAGGAGTTTGCCATTTTGGGTATGTAGCGTTAGCCTCCTTTTTATGGTTTTGTTCATATTATTATTATTATTATTATTATTATTATTATTATTATTATTATTATTAATTTATTTATATATATAATTTTTATTTATTTATTTTTATTTATTTATTTTTTTACCTGGGCTCCTCTGGTTCTGGGCAGCCAATTATTTCAAATTAATGCCATTAGAAAATGGGAATGTTTTGAGCAGTTAAAATCCCAAACCATAAATAGTCTACTGGCTGTGTGATAAGTTATTGTCTTCATAATCCTCTGTGTTCTACTCCATTTCTTCTCTTCTCTTGTTCTTGCCCCCCCCCCCCTTTTTTTTCCTTTGGTATTAATGTTATATTATAAAACAAAGAAGGAAAGGATATCATTCTCGAGTGATGAATCCACAGTGATTCTGTATAGTGGTGTTCTGATATGTTTTTAAATAAATCACAGTTCTACAACTGAATGATAATAGTGGGGCAGTCGTATAACCAATGTGAGTTCTAGCCAGTCTCCAAAGTGCTCTGATTGACATTAACACCATGCACCTTCCTCTAGGCTTGTAAGTGTTTGAGTTAAATACACTCCACTGCATATCCACTGCATATACAACTTATACCAAATGATTTTGCAGGTACTGTTTCTGATGTTAATCAGTTATTCTGGAAAGCAGAGTTTGGTATACTGAAGGGAACAGGTGCTGTGAGATCTATACTAAACAGATCAGGACCAATAATGAGAGGATGGGTTCTAGAAGGGAACCGGCTTTGTGAATAGGATGTCTGGGAGTGGGGGGTGTTACTGCAGGCAGAGAGCATGCTGGGTGGATATATGGTGACGGCATAGTGCGTCCTAGGATTGATTTAACATTAGAATTATTTAGATCAGAGATGACTCTATTATTAAATAATGTAGATAATGCATTAAAGTGTGAAAGAACACCTAAAAATATAACATTTCAAAATAAATATTCTGTCATCTGCCGCAAATCGTGGGGATTTGTAACTGCTATAGTGATCTCAACCAAGAACTCGGTGTCCTAAAAGATGTCAGCCAATCCTAGCACTGCCATTATGTTCATCTCCTAATCTGTTCTTCTCCCCTCCACACCCCCCCCACACACCCCGATCTTCTTTTGCTCTAAATAAGTACAGCATGCACCCTCACTGAGCCTGGCTTTTACCATAATTCTGGCACTTCTCAGACCGGATAATAACTGTCTAGTATGATGTTACATTTACTAAGCCATGACTGCAAATACAGTTAATTAGCATTCAATGTAACATGACCCACCTTTGCTGCTGCTTTTTGGTTTTCTCAATTTCTTTTATAAACTCCCCTTTCATGTGGTATATTCGTATTTTGTCTTCATTATAGTAATATGGTAGCACATGATCTTATATTTGACAGATTTACTTTTATATATTTCAAATTGTTATAAAAGATGTACATCCTTGCTTTCCCTACCATTTTCTATTTTATTTTCCCTGAAACCGTAGTGGCTCATAAATAGGTCATAATAAATAATGGAATCCATAGAATATCCTATAAATAGTCAGCTTGTCAGTCCTGGGCTGCAATCCTGGGCCCAAGTTAATTTAATGGGCACACTGTTACCTAATAAGAGCTCAGTTTCCTAAATATCAACCTTGAACAATATATACTAAGTTGGCAAATAGAATCCACCTTACCTCCGTGAATTATTTACTGTCTATAACAAGGCACTTTTTTATTTTTTCATGCACCTCCTTAGAAAGCACCATTTTTTTTTTTTTTTTTTTTTTATTATTATTTTTTTCCTTTTGGTTTTTCTGTATTTTTGTCATTTTCTGCCCAGCTGCCTAAAATTTATTTATTTTTATGGGCTGAAAAAAATGTATTTTGCAGACCTATTTGGAACCGGTTTATTTCTACATATACACGCTTTTTGGACTCCAGACCGTATATGTAATGGCCCTGTACATTAGCAGCTGGCTGCTCAGCGGTACCTGGGTTTCAGGAGTATTAGCGGCTTTATGGTACATTGTGAACAGGTACGTTTTAAACCGCTGTTAAATTCCGCATAATTATCTTTGATTCATAAATAATGGCCCAGTTATTTCTGTAAAGATCTGGATAGATGCCATGCGTATGCAAGAATGGGGACCGCGCTTACTGTATATTTCACATCTCGATCTATATCCACACAGCATTATATTAAAAAAAAATCTATATAATTAAGGGCCCCTAAGTCTAAAAATGTAATCGAGATTTGGGGAGAAGAAACCTGGAGTTAATAAACGGAAACTATGATTCGCAGTATATATTACGGTAATCTAACTTTGACGTAACTGTTTAATACAGCGCGGTATAAAATCTAGATTTCGAGTTGGTGAAGAACTACAACTCCTATGATGCTTTGATAGATTTAAGCCTTAAGCATCCTTGTTTTAATAAAGTACCCAGTTTGTCTTTATATATGTGCCCACAGACACTATTGAAAGCTCTACTCTTTTGTTAGGCCACCTGTCTATATACCCCAGGTTCATTTTGACTACAACTCCCAAGAGACTTTGTGTCTGTCTATGTGAATGGCAAACGTCATTCCAACCCTCCCTGACAATGGGCAGATGTGAGGCCATGGGAGTGAAGGGACAAGGCTCCGTACCCTTTATACATATCTTTGACAAATATGACCTTGATATGAACCAGTACAAGACCAGGGCAAGATAATCCCCTTATCCAGCAGTACTTCTGACTGTTTATGGTAAAAAGTGAATTATAACATTTTAATTATAAAAGTATTGTCAGACGTGTAATTGAGTATATTCCTCACTAGACCTTATTTGTATTGTACAGAATTGACACTACAAGAGTTGAATTCACCATTCCACTGAGAGAAAACTGGGCGCTGCCATTTTTTGCTCTCCAAATAGCAGGAATTACTTGTTTTCTTAGACCGAATTTATCATCTTTTAGGCAGGTAAGACTGAACAGCTAATGGGTTGATTTATGTGAAGCCTGGAATATATGACTATCTCAATGTGTAACTACCCCTGTGCTTTAAACCGAGTGGTTGGTTTATTCTGGTTGACCGCACACTCACATGACTCTGCTCGGAGCGATGCCAAGGTGGCATGGCTGTTAGGGTTTGTAAATCAAAGCTTTAGCCAAAAACCGAGCACACACCACTCACAGCTAATATTTGGCCTTCAGGAATAGATGATTAAAGGTCGTCTACGTTATCTGATCATCTGTAGAGAGGCCAGGACTTGGGTGCTGGAGAATGACCCATTTTCTTTTTTTCTTCAGATCACTAAAACAGTTCCACAGAAAATGGGGGTTGGCACCCATTACCTCTTGCACCATAAACATTACAATAAGCTTTAGTGGTTATGGTGCACAGAGGTCACTAGCTGGATTATTAATCAAACTCCGAGCTGTACATAATTATTAAAATAGTCACAGTGTGGCTATTTTAGCCTACATTTTATCATTTGTATTTTGTTTCAATACAATGCAGTTCTGTAATTTAACCCTGTAGATTTGTTTGAAACTTTATTTAAATCCTCTTGCACTAAATTCACATTCTACTTTATTTCATCTTTGTTTCAGAGAGTATCCCTGTTCGTGGTTTTTCTCTCGACGTTCATATTCAGTCTTACCTGGCAGTTTAATCAGTTTATTCTGCTTATACAAGCTATTGGGATTTTTATTCTGGACTGCTTGGACCTTGTGCCTTCCTCTAAAGTAAGTGTAGGCTTCGAATGGCATCCATCATAACTGTAACTGTTTTAGTATAACTTAAATTTTGCAACCTTTATGTGAAGGAAGGGTAGGCAGAGGAAGATCTTGATCTTTATCCGATGCAATAGACGTACTGTGTGAAAATAAAATTTTTATATATAGAACTTTATTTAAAATATTGTTTTGATATGGCTTTGAAATTATATAGAATGGAGGCTTGATGAATGTTGGCTGATCTGGTGTCCTAAAGATGGGGGCAACTAGGAAGAAAAGTTTTAACTCAATACAGCAATGACTGGAATAGACACATTATGTTCATAACCCTCAAACTATATTCTTCATATGTAATGTTTCAATGTATGTATAATTTTTGTTTTTTTATTATTCAAATATGATACAAGACTTTTTGGTACCTACAAGACCGAAGGTAAAATTAGGAATGTAACCATTGCCCCCTCTATCTAGAAGGGCTATGTTTTGGCAGAGTAAAATAGCCAAAACTCCAGTTTGTATTAGGTTTATTCACTTGGCTCAAAGTTGTCTAGTTTACATTGACTGTAACTTATGTAAATTATTCTGTCTTCTAGGTGACAAAACTATACATGACACAGGTCCTTTCACTCTTCCTGGTCTGTGTGCTGCAATTTTTGAATACCATGATTCTGGGATCCTTGCTACTTAGCTTCATTATGGCTGCAGTTATAGCAAGGAAAGTGCAGGTAAACAATCTCATGGAGTTTATTTAACAGACCTAACTATTCATAGTATTTCAGAAGGGATATTGCATAGATAAAAATACCCTGCCTTGATATTAAGGTCATGCCATATTCTGTAGAATTATTTTTGTGTTGCTTCGATGAAGAATGTTGAGATTGCTCTGCCAAATCCAGGGCAGGTAAGAGGTATGCAGAAACAAACAAACAATGTTCGGCAGGGAACGGAGCCTGCCTGGGACATTCATGGTAATCTGCTTAAATAGACATATCTCTTCATGCCATTGACTTTTCTATGAAATGGGAAAAATCTAATCTTTTATTTATTTAAATGTTTTTGCTTTGTTGGAAGAACATCCTTAAGTAGTGTAGTGTTATTTTTAGTTTGATTGGCACACATTTATTTTCTTTCTTTCATTCCCCTGTAACTGGCAGTTATATGGACACAGAGTAACATGTGACTTTCCCCCCCTGTATTCAGAGAGGCCTTAAAACTGGAGATCTTCTAAGAAGAATTCTGAATCTCTGCCTCCATGGGATCCTTGTTCTGTTTCTGACCGGCATCATAAATAAGGCGATTAAGGTATGTGGACGTTAAAGTTAGATATTGGAAGGTCAGCATACCTTTTACTATGCTTCCTTCTGTTCTGCACTACATACGGTGCAACCGTTTAAGAACTCACATTATGCTTAAAAATACATTTCATTAATTACAAATGCCTTGCATGTAATCAATCGCCAGGTCAGTCCCCTCACAGAGTGTGGATTTATGGAATATTCCCAGCATTCCTATTGAAAATAGGAGCACCAGGATTGGCTGTAATGCTCACAGCAGAAGCTGCAAATCCAAGGGCTTTGCAGCAAATAGTAGACCAGCAAAATTGAGTGTCCTTATTGCATAATCTTCAAAATGCATCCAAAAGCAGTTGTCAAGACCCACTTTGAGTTGTGTGTCACTGGGAGATACTGTTTCTTTTCAAAAATTTTTACAAAAAATGGCTTAACTTACTAATTAAAGGTTAAAAAAATATTTTTTTAACTAGACCTGGCTTATAAATATGTGGCAGATGTATTTAAACTAAAAATTGCAGTATTCCCTCACATCTCTGCCAGCCCACTCCTATGATTTGGTTTTCACAGGCTTAGTGGAACAATATTTCAATAATATCTGGAGTTCTGTTCTGTCTCTCCAATATGTATGATAATGTCACATGGATGCCATCACTCGTGGGTCCAACTTTATGGAATTTTTAAAGGGCAGGTGATAAATATTATTTTTTGTAACTGTGACTGTAATTCTGTGCATTTTCTTTCATTCTTTGTGATGTGTTGTTTTCCCAGAAAATCCTCAATTTACAAGCAGATGAACACATTTTTAAATTCATTCAAGCGAAGCTGGGATTTGGATCGAGGTAAATTCCAGTATTGTTTGTCTTGGATGTATAGTGTTTTTTTTTTTTTTTCACACAATACATATGTTTGGGCCCCAGAATCTTAGAAAATGACATTATTTTGGAAAGTACAATATAGATTTTAAACACAATAGAATTTTCTGTGGGTGTAAACCAAATGAGTGAATATGACGGAATATGTGGGATCTAATTTTTAATTAAAGAAATGCATGGAGACTGGTAGCTATTGTAAAAATAAAGAGGCAAGCAATGGCAGAATATTTTAATATATTGGACAGGGGACTTGTGGTAGAACAGGTGGAGTGCAGATACGTTCCAGATCATTACTTCTAAGATCTCACGTTGCATGTCACATCCATTACTGGAGACCTTAACTTTGATAGACGCTAATCAACTAGAGAGAAGCCAAATACACGTTACTAGACTGGTGTGCCTTATAATGATACATACCTTGAACATGGCCAGATATGTGAAACACCCATAGCTCCAATGCATTTTAACTTTCTTTATGTGCCGTCTGAATGTCTGGAGTACAAAGGCAAGTAGTCCAGTCATACTAGCAGAATTTCAAGTAATCCAGAGAAATGTCCTCCGTTTCTGTGACATCAAAGAGCGAAATACTTGTGAAAGGTGGCGTTATTTTAATTCCTCTTCACTAATTCATTCCACCCTGTAGTAGAAGCTTGTATGTCCTGGCAGCATGAGAAGGAGGATCTAGAAGGAAAGGGGTCATCTCAATATGGGTGGAGGGGCACTAATTTTGGAGGTTTTGTCATACACAATCCAGCTCTGTTTAGATTATAAAAAAAAAAAAAAAAAACTAAAACAGCAGATGTTGGTGAACTATATTTCCTGGTAGGATCAGCTCGTCTTCCATACCAAGGAAATCCCAAATTGATCTAGACTGGTCCTAAAGAGTTCCAGGTCCCGTGTCCTAGGTAATGGATAGTGGTTAGTTGTAATGATAACATTGTTCAACTGTCAGTATTCCTACCAGCTCTCACATGACTGACTTGGTTAACTTGTAAACTAAAGCAACAATAATTGTATCCATGGTGATCAAGCAACCTTGTGTCACACATTGAATAATGTTTCTTGTGGATACTAAGTCCTGCAGCCCATTAGGCAAAATGGGCCAAATCGTAATATTCTCTCCAAGCTGCAGATTAACGTGGAAAAACTCTTCTCTCTCTGTCCTCAGGGATTTCGATGCCAGTCTGTATCTGTGTGAAGAACCGTTCCGCCTGCTTCCTTTTGATACGTTTCAAAGGCTCTCTGATACTCTGATGTTCTACCCTTATATTTTTGCTCTCTTCATCCTTACGATCACTGCCACAATTACAGTGTTTCACAACCTCAGGTAACTGGATCCACCATTAGTCATTCAGCTGTCTCGTTGTGATTAATGTATCTGTTCACTTGAATTACTAACTAGCTCACGGTTTAGATTTAGTAAGGTCAAGTTCTTGGAAGTACGTGTCACAAACTAGTTTTTTACTGGGTCACAACCCTCAAGCATGCTGTATGATGACTGTAGTGCACGTAGAGCAAAGCTGATGATGTGCATAAGATTTAGTCATTGCGTGGTAGGCTTTACACCGATATTGCTGTAAGGGATAATGACTGTTGCTGATGTTGGTAATATGTTACTGCAGTCACAATCTCTATCCATGTGTTTGCTAGCAATGATTACTGGGAGTAACTCTTGGCCTGCCGTCGTGTTGCTGGTATGTTTATTGACCTAGTTAAAAATATCAGGCCTGTATGCCCCAACAGTCCCAGGTGCTGCTACCTCTACTCAACAAATCCAGTTCCCTTTACTCAACAAATCCAGTTCCCTTTAAAGGTTTTGAAATGTTAAGGAAATCTGGTTTAATAAGACATATTTTACTTTTTGAGTATAATACACACAAGTAATATTTGCAATAAAACAATGTTGTAGTGAAATCCTTAAACCTGGCCGTCCTCCCTGCTGCTATTTCGGGCAGTATTGTTTGCGGTTTGTGGATGTGTCTGTGGAAGATCCCACACACAGTCTCCCATGTCAATATGTAGATGCCATTGGTATATGCTGTTTTTGGCAATATCACCAGCTGTCATAAATAGTTCTGCTTATTACTGCCACGGTAAGCGGCACCAGAAAGAGATTTATTTCCTGAAAAGTAAATAGCACTGCATGGATATATCGTAAAGCATAAAACAATATGGGGATTATCCACAAAGCACCACATTTTAGTGAACTGAAAACCAAATTGTAAAATGTTAGATTAAATTCCCAAGCAGAATAGCAACTGTGAATGGAGAAATGTCTCCAAATCTGCTATATTTTCCAATGAGTTACAATTCGCTACCTTTCAGTGTTTAGTAAATAAACCCTAATGTCCCATACTACTTTGTTTGGTTTTTTTTGACACCGTATGACTAAAATGAAAGATCTTCTAATTTTATTTCTCTTTTAGCAGTTCATCAAATGGGAAACGCAAGGAAAAAAAGACAAATTATCTGAAGCCAGATATTTCATACAATTTGATGCATACGCTTCTGTTTGGATGCTTGGGCCTTAGCACAATGAGGTATTAAAACATTTATAATATAAATATTAAAGGGAAACTATAGTGCTAGAAAAAAGTTGGTTTTTCCTAGAACTATAGAGCCGACAGGGGGGACCTAATGCACATGTGCGATAATCGCTTCAGTCACATTAGGACTTGCCACATAGGAAAGTACTGTATAATGCTTTCCTATGGGGTTTTAAGTGACGCTGGATGTCCTCATACAGGGGGCGAGGACGTCCAGCGTCAGTTAGATGACTAAAACTCGCCTAACTACCTGGAAGTCCCTCTAGTGTCTGTATGGTAGACAACCACTATAGGTGGAGTTAACCCTGCAAGGCAATTATTGCAATTTGTCAACTCTAGCATGCAAGGTCATTGAGCAGGGCCCTCAACACCATCTGTTCCTGTGCGTCCATTTGTCTGGTTACAATTCCGTGTCTGTTGGTCCACCCATTTTACAACGCTACGGAATTTGCTGGCGCTATATAAATAATAATTGCAATTGCAGGGTAAGGGGCCTGGGACACTGCACCCAGACCACATCAATAAGCTGAAGTGGTCTGGGTGCCTATAGTGTCCTTTTAACATGGAGTCATATGGGTAATACAGGGTTAAAGGAATGTCATGATTTATTGTGAATAAAAGAACATTTCCTATTAATGATAAGTGTTGTCCTTTCAGGATGAAGTACCTTTGGACATCTCATATGTGCAGTTTTGCTTCTTTCGGACTCATTAGTTCAGAAGTTTGGGGACCCGTGTTGAAGTGTTTTAGACTTTACACCCCACAGAGGGTTTGTATCCTTCAGACAAAATATTTCTATCAGAAGTTAATCTGCGTTACTCCTGGGTAGCAGTGGTTGTAACAATGAATTGTGTAGAACTATAGCATAGAGTGACAAGTGGCAGAATGGCTACTTGCCTATCTATTTAGACATATTTTAAGATTTTTTGTTTTTCGTAGAGCTGGAGTGCTGTGAAAGGGGCACCATAACCATGTTATCTCATTGAATTGGCTATAATGCTTCCTCATTAAACTGAGCAAAAAAAGGTTGAACTGCTGGGAACTCTCGTATAGCACTGAAACATAAACCGTTTAACACTGAATGGAGAGATGGCATCAGGTGGCTTTTTAGACATTTCTCCCAGCGCTATAAAAAAAAAAAAAGAAAAGAAAAATGATTTCACCAGGTGCAGACAGAGCAGACAAATTAAGGTTTGAGAGATCAAGAACCCTGTGCTGAACTTTGATTCATTAAACCACAAATCGTACAGCAAACATTGTCCACTGTATTTATATAGCTGGTATTGCTGTGCCAAATTCGCCATATTGATTGTGTGTCCATTTCTGTTAACCCCTGCAGTCCTTTATCCTAGAAACAGGACATTTATGGAAAAGAAACTAAATATCAGGATTCTGCAGAGATACATGGGAACATTCAACACTAGATTAAACAGCTAGCCATGCTCCCACCCAGACCAGCAATAATGAGGGTTTCTAAAAGTGATAGAAATGGAGTAGAGAACACTGACCGTTGGCTTTAATCTATCAGTATATTTAATTAATTATCCCACAGTCTGTAACGAAATCTAATGATTAGTTACTGCATTTGGAAAGAACTTCGGATAACGCAATAGAACAGTAAAGGAGAGCAGGGCTGGCCAAATGGTAGATATCTAAATGTTGTAGCGCTACAGTTGCCATGGTTCTTTCACAGCTTTTACAATGGCATTCCATCATGGAAGTTACAGATTTACAACATGTGTGGATCTACCATTCGCCCTCTCCCCTACATTGGATGCTCTGCATTCTTCTATAACCTGTAATGAGGCAAAATGTGATACTTTGTTGAACTAATTTACATATGCCCACCCAGAATCCTTTGCAGTAGTAACGTCACTGCAAATTTGTGATTTCTGTGGGAAAAGCAAGTCTTAAAGCTTGACTGGTGGGCAGATCTTTGTATGTATTTCCAAAATTGGTCACTAGATGGCAGCATCACTGCTCTACATTTAAGACCACCGTTTTTTGATGCATCAAAATATATTCATGAGTAAGACATGTTAGGATAGATTAAACATGCAGAAAATATATTTTATACAGTCAGGCTCATTTTTATATAAAGTGACCTACTATTGTGTGATATTAGAGTCTTACTGTGTCTCGGGTTTGATCATTTGTAGCCCTAAGTATTTGATAAATTTACCTGTCTCAAGAGTCAAACACTGGGGACATGGAACCCTGCCTAGCAAGGGGAGAGCCACGGGCCTTGGATTTCTTTAGATTGCACTGCCAGGAGATTCTCTCGCACTGCTGCCATTGACCCATCAGCAGAGCGTGAATGGAACATCTTTAATGGAGATATCTCTCTATTTAACTATATACACCTGCGCTGGACTAGTACTCTAGTTACCGCATGGCGCCTGTGTGGATAGATGTGCGCGTGCTTTTGTTTACATATTCACATATATTTCTAATATTGCAAATTTAAGAGTTCATTTTACTTGGAGGGAATTATTTAGATTTGTGTAATAGAATTGTTAGTATGTATGTATGTAGGTATTTAAATAACTTGCTATTTTTTTTTCTTTTCCAGACAAATGTGATTAGATATTGTGTGTCCATCATGCTAATAATATATTTAATATTTAAGGTGGGTAATGTGCCCTTATGGTAATTGACAATCCTGTTTTTAATAGTTTGTATAATTAATTTTTTAGATAGAACTGCTGCAGATGACAATGTTACTTTGACAGCCGATCACAGGTGACAATGTTACTGTGACAGCCAATCACAGGTGACAATGTTACTTTGACAGCCAATCACAGGTGACAGTGTTACTTTGAAAGCCGATCACAGGTGACAATGTTACTTTGACAGCCAATCACAGGTGACAGTGTTACTTTGAAAGCCGATCACAGGTGACAATGTTACTGTGACAGACGATCACAGGTGACAATGTTACTGTGACAGCCGATCACAGGTGACAATGTTACTGTGACAGCCGATCACAGGTGACAATGTTACTGTGACAGCCGATCACAGGTGACAATGTTACTGTGACAGCCGATCACAGGTGACAATGTTACTGTGACAGCCGATCACAGGTGACAATGTTACTGTGACAGCTGATCACAGGTGACAATGTTACTGTGACAGCCGATCACAGGTGACCGTGTTACTGTGAAAGCCGATCACAGGTGACCGTGTTACTTTGACAGCCGATCACAGGTGACAATGTTACTGTGACAGCTGATCACAGGTGACAGTGTTACTGTGACAGCCGATCACAGGTGACAATGTTGGCCTATTCAGAAAATGAAACTCTATTTTTGTTTTTTCTAGTTTTGGCCTCGGCTATCGGAGGAGCTTTCTGAACTGAGAGAATTCCATGATCCGGATACTGTGCAGTTAATGAGCTGGATCAAGTAAGCAAGTTTTAATTATTTTGCAGTTGTCTTTTTCAAAATGTGGGTTTTACATGAACTATAAAGAACACTAACCCCTCTCACCCCCCACCCCAAACATACACAAGACATTTAAACCATACGATGCTTAGGTCACAAAATATTTTGTGTAAGAGTTTGTATTTTTGTAAGAGTTTGTATTTAGGAAACGTTTGTGCACATTAAAATTGTGCTTTAATAACCGGGTTATTAACTAAAGTGAGGATTCAAAGTGATTATCCCACCCTGACTTCACCCGGCACTCGTGTGGACAAATCACTGGCTTCTCATGGCGAAGCCCGTGATTGGACCACTTCGCCAGATCACATGTGCGTGCTCCGGGTAGGAAGAGGGAGGATTTCTCCCAAGTTTTTGAACTGCAGTAGGCAGCACCCACAGAGAGAGGGAAGAGCTGGCTTCCCCTTGCCGGTGCTCTTGTTAAATTTGTTGGACGAGTGCTGTGCTCATTATTTTATGCACAGAATGTATATGCAGAAACACTACCACCATGACGACTTCAAATCACTGTGGTCATGGTGGTTGGAGTAACACTTTAATTATACTTATTATGTGAATATAGCAGAGACATACAAGTTGCATAGTCGTATTTTTATTTTTTCGATTTAGCTCATTTGTATTGTTCAGTTTAGCTATTATTTTTCATGATGCTGGCGTACAAGTTAAGATGAGAAGTTGGGCTGTCACATTGCATGTACCGATCTATTTCCTCCCATAAGCCTAGACACTGGCTCGTGGCTCACTAAACCTTTGCAGTGGGTGACTGCATGTATCTGCTTGTATACCCTGGGCAATAAAACACCAGTCACATAATTTCTTTAAATCTATTTTTTAGTGATCTAAAAAGCACAATGTACAGGTTAAACGTAGTTACAATGTAGTCTGAAAATGACTTTGCTATCCTCCATTTTTGTTGATGAAATCTCTAACTGTATAATTTAAAAAGGAAAAAAAAAAAAACAACCTCTCTGTAATAATAAATAAATCTGAGCTTTTTTCTCCTTCATTTGGTTTCCGATGCGTATTAATTATTACCCAAATCTAGCTCTTAGTCATCCATATTATTGACTTTTTATTGTCTGATAAACGTTCAATGCTTGGCATAGTACAACGTTATGTGTGCATTAAAGCATTTTAATATTTTATGTATCTGATCTCATGAGAGTAGTCATTGGCTTGTTTTATCTCTACGCAACCCATATAAAACTGAAAATATCTCAGTCTTTCTGGAGAAATACAAAACAAACATTATTAAGTCATCCATGTGTTTGCGCTGGCGATTGGATGTGAGGTTAATTACGGAGATTTGTCTTTGGAATGTGCTGCATTGTCAGTGATTAATAACATCCATAACAAATGTATATATTTTATAGGAGCTCCACTTCAAATTGATTTTTTTTTTTTTTATATCTTTATTTTTTTTTTATTAGATTCACTTATTTATTCTAACTATATTCCACTCACTCAGTATGATGACTTGAATGGTTAATCCAAAGGGATTAATTTACAAATAAACATAAACTGGTGATTCTGGAAAAGTGACAGTGTAAATGTAAAGTTTAGGCCAATATAGCAAAATTGGGCGCATTTTCTTTTTCCTGTTTTGCTGTTCCTGGTTTGTTTGTTTTTTGGAGTATTTGTTATTTCTTTTTTTTTTTTTTTTTTTTTCCTGCAAAGAGTTTGTAGAATTTTAATGATGGAAACCAAAAATCCAAAATGACACCAACGCACATACAAGTCTGGCTATTCAATACCCTTTTGTGATATAAATATAATTATTTATTTAAATTGTTAGTTATATTCACTTCGTTATGATTGGACTTAATGATATTGCCATGACTGATTATATATTCATTGCCTAAGAAATATCAAACATTAAAATGAATTCTATATTCTATTGCTTTGGTAAATTATAAATTAAATACTTTACCTCCTCTCCAGCACTGTCACTTCTGCCATGATTCAGAGTTTGTTGGTATAACGCTATTATAACAGCCAGCCTCTATTTTATCTCTTCTAACATACAGACCGATGCACTGGATTCATTGCCTGTGCATCATTCTCCGAACATGTCTGATGGGGAATAATGTGATCTTCAGTCGGGTCACAGCGTACATGCAATGCTGTCATTCGAATGTATGCCTGTATTTTTTATTATTGTATATCCACTAGCAATTCTACTATCACAATGTATAGATGAAATGTTATATACAATTTCAGTTGCTGTGCTTTGGAGCACTGAATGCCTAGTGTGCCACTGCAAACTGTGCCATTGGGGGCACTAAGACCTAGTGGGGGAGGAGGTAATAAATCTCTCCCTCTGCCACCCACTGTTTACAGAATAGGCACCCAGGGTGCCTTTTAACCCCTTAAGGACATGTGACTTGTCATGATTCCCTTTTATTCCAGAAGTTTGGTCCTTAAGGGGTTAATAACCAGCATTTAGATGGCAGGTGGTATCCCCAGGCTCTTCCTGCCGAAGGATTGGAAGGCAGAGCTGACCAGTACTGAGGGGGTAAATCCTCTAGGCAGTATTGTGCAGCTTACCTCACAGTATACTAGCTGGGTGAGGAGAGACCAGACCCTGCATTATTATGGGGGGCTTGCTGTGGATTACCATTACCCAGAGAAGGGGCTTTGCCAACCTCAACACATTGAGTACATTATGACTGCAAAAACGACAATTTAAGGGGACGGGGCCTGACCGCCAACCGAGCAGGACACACATATTAAAATATATCTATTTGTTTTATTGGGGAACTTATGTATTAATATAGATGGCCATCTACATCAGCAGACATTTAATTTTAGATAAGGGTGTGTGTGAAAATATACTAATCAATATTACAAATTTAAGCACTTCAAAGAGGGAAGCAACAGTAATCCTAAAAAAATGTTTTTAAAAAAAAATGTCATAAGACACTGTAACACAGTTTGACGGAGCTCCTGTACTCCAACAGCGTACCTCCACTTTCTAGTTGCTGGCCGGGACCATGGAGCACTCTTTAATCTCAGTTGCTGATGCTCAACTGGGGTCTTTCTGAAGCTTTTCCAGCCAACCAGGCTGCAGCTCTCCTTCCAAGCAGGTATCGTCACCTCTGCAGCCCTTCTTCCAGGCAGGTATCGTCACCTCTGCAGCCCTTCTTCCAGGCAGGTATTGTCCCCTCTGCCTATACCTCTGCAGCCCTTCTACCAGGCGGGTATCGTCCCCTCTGCCTACACCTCTGCAGCCCTTCTCCCAGGCGGGTATCGTCCCCTCTGCCTACACCTCTGCAGCCTTTCTTCCAGGCGGGTATCGTCCCCTCTGCCTACACCTCTGCAGCCTTTCTTCCAGGCGGGTATCGTCCCTTCTGCCTACACCTCTGCAGCCTTTCTTCCAGTCAGGTATCGTCCCCTCTGCCTACACCTCTGCAGCCCTTCTTCCAGACGGGTATTGTCTCCCCTGCCTACACCTCTGCAGCCCTTCTTCCAGGCGGGTATCGTCCCCTCTGCAGCCCTTCTTCCAGGCGGGTATCGTCCCCTCTGCCTACACCTCTGCAGCCCTTCTTCAAGGCTGGTATCGTCCCCTCTGCAGCCCTTCTTCCAGGCGGGTATTGTCCCCTCTGCAGCCCTTCTTCCAGGCGGGTATCATCCCCTCTGCCTATACCTCTGCAGCCCTTCTTCCAGGCGGGTATTCACCTCTGCCTGCAATGTGATTACTCTTGTCATTACAAAGGCACTTGTGGCTGTCAGGCATAGCTCTCTTTGATTTGTCCCCAAGGCTAGAGGAAACATGCATCCAACCTACAGGTACAACAACTCTGTGACTGGGATCTCTATAAATCCACACAGGGCACACATTTCCAAAAGGAAAACTAATACACAGCTTTATTTTTACTTGGGACTAGCCCATATACTTATTACATCTAGATTGTGGTGACAAACTTAAATACAAATAACCAAAACATGTCAGACAACATACAGGGAATCATAATAACATTATTAATAAAGGATTGGGGAAGACTATATTTAACACACGATATCTCTTCTGCCTGTAGAATTTATAATCTGCAAATCAACCTGAATATGCAAATTACAAGCCTTGCTATTCAGGTAGTGCATATAGCTGGTGCTACCAAGAGATGGCACTATACAGGCTCCATAGCCAAATACACTTACTTGGTAACAAGCATCAGCAGGACAGGAGAGCACACATTTAACCACAACCATATTATACACACCCTGCACCTGTAATGGACACATGGTGACTAAAACATAAGAACAAATCAGTGAAGTGTCCTTCTGCTCCCCGTGATGGTGACTAGCCTCACACACTGTATCATAACACACTGTTGTTGTTGTGGTTTTTTTTTTTTTCTTGTACAAGTAGGCACTTACAATTATTTTTATTTTCTAATGTTAACTTTTTTATTTATTTATTTTTTTTTAAAGACTGTCATGAAAGTTCTCTTTTAAAAATAAATTTTAATATTTTTACATTTATTTTAAGGTCTAACACTCCAAGGAATGCAGTGTTTGCAGGAAGCATGCAGCTTCTGGCTGGGGTCAAGCTGTGCACAGGGAGAATTCTAACCAATCACCCCCATTATGAAGACAAGAGTCTCCGCGATCGGACAAAGCAGGTGAGGTCACAGAGAGAGCCATCTGTTTCACAGCACTCTCCATCAGAGGCTCATTGTAGTGAATCCTCAATTAATACAGCACTTATGAAGCAATGCAACCTATTACTACAGAGCAACAGTGGAGCTAGCTAACTAACTCGTCTAGGTCTGTCAGAAAAGCAAAATGTCCGCTCCCAGTAACTCTGATCTGCATATTGTTGAAGGGTGTTAGACTGCAAAGGGACAGATGGATTTATAATCCACACGCGATATTATAATATGTCTATTTCAAAGCCGGTGGGCTGGTTCCTGCAGGTCTGGCTGCAGACAGATGGCACTAACGTTACATTAATTCTGTTATCTGATGTCTCAGGTGTACCAGATCTATGCAAAGAGATCCCCCGAAGAGGTTCACAGTATACTAAGGTCGTTCAGAACGGATTATATGATTCTGGAGGACAGTATATGTTATGAAAGGCGCCATGGGCGGGGCTGTCGTTTACGGGACCTACTCGATGTCGACAATGGACATGTAAGAACAATACAGAAAATATTGAATGCCTCTATATTGTAAATTGACACCTTCACTTTCTGGCTGTAGATAATATATTGGCTGTGTGTAGTATGAATGAAGACTGAAAGATGGATATATATATATCCCCAAACAAACTGTCAAAGGTCCTTTTTATAGGTAACCCCAAAAGACTAGTGTAGGTTTTCTTTATACCCAATGACCAGTGTCAAAGGTCCTCTTATGACTATAACGGAAGAAGCAGAACCATCTACTTTTGCTGCCACTTAAAGGGCACATTGGGTTAATTGAAGTAATAGTAGTGGCTTAGCAAGATAACATTTATATTTTTAGGTAACCTCCAGTCCTTCTAAATGTATCCCTTTTCCCCCTCGCCTATGCTTACTTACACTATGGGTGAGACGGTCTTTGGTCGCTGATTTTTTATTTTTTTTCTCCAAATCTCTTTACAGATCATGGATGGACCTGGTGACAATGATCCTGATTTAAAGCCATCCCCGTCTCCTCGTTTCTGCGATGAGATAAAGAGAGACAACCCATCCTATACCAATTACTTCACCAGGGTCTTTAAAAACAAAACCTTCCATGTCTACAGACTGGCAAAAAAGTCTAGCGGTAAATAGCTTGTGCCAACAAAGCGGAGTCTGTGATGAATGTGATATCTGGGGAAACTCAATCAGTTCTCCTCGGGAGGTAAACAGACTTTCGGCTTTTTTTCCTTTACAAGAACTGACCGAATAACTTTGGAGAAACCTGGGACAGTAACATTTCTTCTATACAGTGGCCAAATCTTTTCATTTCAATGTGCTCTTTAGTGTAGTATTTGTGTAGTCTGAGAGATGGCTGTATACACTGATTTTGGTGTATGTGAAGAATTGGGCTCTGTCAATTTATTTTCTTTTTCACTTTTCATAGAATTTTAGGTCATGTTTATTCAGTCCAGAGTCCATTTTCAAATGTAATTTTTTTGTTTTACTTGTATGTGCCAAACCTTTTATTTTTTTTATTTTGTAGTTACTGAACAAAGTACTGTAAATGGGACCATTATGTGTTTTCTATGGTACATTACATTTGGTGTACAGAACTTGTGAACACGCTGCTAGTGTTAAATCTTGCACAGAGGAATGATCCACTGATCAGAGGCTTACCTAATGCTGTAAAAAAGGTAATGAAATGAAATGCATTGGCTGTGGGTAAATCAGGAATAGTGTTTTTCATTTGAAGGGTGAATTTTGAATTTTAGGACACAACAGCTGAACTTGAAAATTCTCAATGTTCGCTAAGTTTTCATTTGGGCTATTTTGACTTCTTCATATTTGCAATTCACTTTGAATCCCTTCTATTCAGTATTTTGTGAATAATCATGCAAAACTCTAAGTTTGTAACGCTCTCTAAAGTGTGATTTGTTTACAGGTGAAATGGCCAAAATTTAGGTATCTCATAGGCATCATGATTTATAAGTTTATCTTTGACTACAGATCCTCTGTGCTTGTGCAGAGGGGAAGCTCCAATCAGCCAGACACTGGCTATTGGTAAAGAGGGGAGCGATAATCATGACAAAGGTAGGGTTTTGTGTTACACAAGTGGGAGTTTGCATATATTGGTACTTACAATTTGTAATGCACATTTACATAGGGGCCCTCAGATGTGGCACTGAGGGGTGAAGGCAAGATATTCTTACCTGAAGTTCTGCTTCCTCAAAACCTACCTTCTTGTTCGCTTCTCCCGCCAGGAACTGAAGAAATCACAAACTGGGTCTTTATATTCTTGCACAAGTGTAAACTACAGTACAAAGCAGGGATTGCATGGTACTTCACAATCATCTTGCACACTGCCCTAGGCCAGGGGCGGGCAAACTTTAGCATTCCAGATGGTGTGGGCTACACTTGCCCTTATGCTTTGCCAGAACTATGGCTATAACTACATCATTGTGGATGGAGTCCCCAACATCTGGAGTGCCGAAGGTTGTCTGCAATGCTTTACTTGCGTTGGATGTTCTCATGCAGAATGTGAGGACATCCAGCGTCAAGCGACCAAAAGTCGCCTGGCAAGCAGGAAGTGCCTCTTGCGCCTGTGGAGGTGGAGTTAGCCCTGCAATGTAATTATTGCAGTTTCTCAGAAACTGCAATAATTAGCATTGCAGGGCTAAGGGGACATTGCACCCAGACCACTTCAATGAGCCTATAATGTCCCTATAATTACAATTCCAAGGCTACATGGAGGCAGGTTTACAATGTGCTATAGGAGTGATAGGGCTCTGGTGCCCGCCCAGGGTATGAAGGACGCTCCATTTGCTCCCCAGAGCTAAGCCCTGCAACCTCTTGCAAACAGTTTTTGACTACTTAACCCCTTAAGGACGCATGATGGAAATATTCCATCATGATTCCCTTTTATTTCAGAAGTTGTGTCCTTAAGGGGTTAATCTGGGTGCCAGCATGCAGTAGTTATTGTGCTTGAAGTTTTCCTGTAAACCAGCTCTGTCACCCCCAAAAACATTATGAGCATTTATTATAAAGATTTTATCTTGATGAAATGCTAAAAAGACTGTTTTGGTATTTCATTGAAATTTCAACGCAGACCAAAGTTATAAGAAAAAGTAGGGATTGCTTTATCATGGTAAATCCTCCACCTGACAAAAGGAATAGCTTCCTCCATCACATTTTTGTCACTTTCCCCAGCCGTCACTGGTGGCATTACCTTGCTTCTTGCGATATTGTGTATGAATGGCTCTGGCAGGATCCTGGCAGATGAAGCTGTAGGAGATGAAGATGGTGGCGCCCACAAGGGACAACATCCGGTAAGCATAACGCACCTGCACTGCACACAGCCACAGTGTCACCATACGGGATCTTTGCAAAATATGCAGAGACCTCAGAAGATGACAGATCCACTTTAAGTTCCATGGATGTACACCTTGCTGAATTCCATGTTCTGCTGAACGGTAGAAATGCACAATATTTATAACCAGCGGTTTTTTTGTTTTTTTTTTTACATTCTCTCTTTTGTGTATACTAAAGATGTGCAGTAGCCAATAGCACTATAGCTGTGCTTCAACCCCTACTATCCTCTACTTGCATTTGTTTGACACAGCCTGGATGTGGATCATAGACTTGTAGTTTATGAAACTGCAAAAATGTTACCTGATGTAAATATAGAAATGTTAGTGTTTTATGTGCATTGTTTTTTTTACTTTATTTTTATAACTATGGGTTAACACTGTGCTTTTCCACCTCTACGACTGTGCCATTTGAAAGTCATCAATGGGAAGTAATATGTAACTGCGTGGCATATTCCAATCCATGGCAACAAAGGTATATTTTGGGATTAATGCTGCAAATTTAAGACACTGTGCATGAGGACAGGGGACAAAATGCCACGCTGTGTCAGTCAGCACCTCCTCTATGGGGAGTGTACAAAGTCTCCATGCAGAGCGGGGAGATGCTGTACGCCAGTGCAGCACGGATACAAGAAGCACCTCTAGTGGCCGTCTGAGTGACTGCCACTAAAGGTGTTCCTAGGCGATAATGTAAACACTGCCTTTTCTCTGTAAATGCAGTGTTTTTATATTAAAAAGCCTGCAGGGACATTAAGCTGTAGTGGTTTTGGTGACTATGGTATCCCTAAAAATACACATTCAAAGGACTATATACATGAAATCATTAACTAAATGTCATACGGGTTCATTCACAAAACCCTGCTACAGCTAACACTGCTATTTTGTGCTGAATTTTGAATTTACAGATTTACTAATTTGTAAAGAAATCCTCATTTGCCAGTTTTTTTTGGTTGAACAATGATGACGTTTTCTGGTAGAGGCAGAGAGTCGGAGACAGGGTGCACTAAAACCATTGATGCTCTTTTAGGTTAACTTGTGCTGTGTAACAAGTCATTTTAACAAATTGTGAAAAAAAAATTGTATGATCAAACGTTTGATACAAGGAATATGGGATTCCAGAAATGATTTAACATTCTAAATGTAATATTTTGGGGTGAAAGTGGTGCTTCGTTGATAAACTTGCATATGACCATGTTTTAGCTACTAATGAACCATCCTCACATTTTTTGTGTTTCAACAAACTGTGCTAATAAAACTCTTAATCATTTAAATAAAAATGTGTGTAAGTTTGTTTTAAGTAATGAAAGGAAAATATGCACCTTGCCACTGTAATCAGTTGTAAAAATATAACAAACCTTGATAGCCACCATAACCACTACAGCTTGCTGTGATGGTTATGGTGCCAGTGTCTGACTACTTACTGTGGGATGGTACCAAACAGTTTTTAGTATGGTTTGACTACTTGCCTGGATCCCGTCAGGCGTCCACTACTACAGCCCTGGCAGGACTATGCTCATGTAAATGCTGTCTGAGTGCAGCCCTGTATCAGCTGCATTTTATTCTAGCGACTTCTAACTCCTCCTACAGGAAATGACTGGGTGTAATGTGTATACAGGGGACCAAGGTAAATTGTCAAATCATGCTAAAACAGTTTGACTACTTACAGTGGGAATGGCGCCAGAGCACTTCTCGCACCATAACTTCTACAGCGGACTGTATTTTTTATTTTTTCTGGTGCTTCGAGTTATCCTTTTTCCTCCAGTTGTGGTTATCTCCACTATTAGGGAGAAGTTTGAGGGGAAGAAGAGGTTCACTGTCCTGCAGCAAGGACAATGCTGGACACCCCCCATCCCATCTCAGTCACATCACCCACAATGTAAACTGCATTTCAGTATAGAAATAGGGTCACAGTGGTCAGAGGGTGCTTACAATTACACAAATAATGAGCCTTAAGGTCACGAAGGAGAGGGGGGGTGGAAGGCTTTTCTCTTAAAACGGATTTAAAATACATTGCTTGGTACTGGATTTTGTCATACCCTAAAGTTATCAATCTTCTCTTTAAATTTATTTCTAACAGTGCTGTCATTTTAAAGTCTAATCAGAAAACCTATTTGTGCTTGCACTTTTTCCATCACAGACCATGCCTGCTATCAGTGAATTAGTAACCCCCTCTGCTGGAAACCATACTGCCAAGCAGATAAGATAATAGTGTAAGTCTTTCTGCTGTTTTTAAGGTAGGTACCGATATCAAATCTTACCTGCAGGGACACTGAAACTACCTGTGCACTGGGTGGCTTAATATTCATCCCTCTCTCCTGGATTTACCTTAAACATCCCTAATTATAGGGCTAAACAATAACTATCTATGGCCATTAACTAGAAGTCTTGTAGCTTAATTAGCTAGTGGACTGCATGATACAGCACTTAACATTCTTATCTGACTTCTGTAAAGATACAAATTCAACCTTCAGGTAAAAGAGTGGTAGGTCATTTTATTGGTCAAACAGAGTTTGAACTACATGGGGTTTGGCACAAGCTAATACATGCAGATGTGTAAGGCACATAAACACAGTATTGTACGGATGTGCGAGAGACCACAGCACCGTCCGCAAACACAGGAGGACCAGATTACAGTACGGCACAGATCCTGGGATAAAATAATTCACATTGTAAAAATGTTAACCTTGCCTAAACGTCTTCAGACGGGTTAAAATAAATTCATGACCTTCTACAGCATAAAACAAATTCTTAAAAGGGCCAGTAACTTTTTAATATAAATGGCCTCCATGTAATAGAGCACTGAGACAAGTTCACTGTATGTATGTAAAAGCTATGGGACTTGCCTGTAATACATTTTTGTGCTATAAGAATCTCAGCCCAATCGTAGCAGGTAAAGGGGGGAAATGTAGATAACATTTAAGGTGACTCTCTGGGATTTACAAACTGATCAGTGAATTGAAAGTCTGCTTATAAAATATGCTTGTTAATGGAATTGGAAAGGTTTTATATCTCTCTAAATTTTCTTCATCAGTCTAAATTTAGTAATATGGTTTTACAGCTAAATAATATAAAACTCTTTTCAGCCAATCAATCAAAATGCAGCTAGAATTGAAATCTGGTTAGTGACCAGACAGTGCATAGATAGGAATAGTCCATTTTCCTGTATAAAATGACGGCTTCAATATTAGTGACCCGTGAACCATGTCCCACAACTTCACATACTGCCATTTATAGAAACGAAAGTCTATTTCGTCTAAAAGTCTATGAAGCATTACTGTCTCATTGATGTTTAATGCTAGGTTTTAATAACCATAATCTTCTCAAGACCCAGTAGGTGACATTTAGTATCTCGAAGGCCAGGTGCATTTACTTCCATTGCATTGAGAAGGGTCTCTGGCAATTGAAGTGTTAAGACAAGTTGCTAGTCTGCTTTCTTAATATAAACCTAAATCTACTGAACTCTACAGACACACGCACAACTATAAAAGAAGTCTGCTCCGGTTAGGAGAGTTCTCTCACAAAGTGAGATTGACATAAAAGTTCCTGAAGATTTGGGTGAGGTTACTATTTACACATTTCCCTTGGCTGCGAGGGAATCCACCTAAACAGAGTGTAAGTTCTTTGGTACGTCATCCCTTTAACTTGTTCAATCACCATCTGAGTTGCTTACTCCCGGGACATCATTTTGCAAACATGCGTTATGTTAATTAAATACCATAATCTGTAATACACAGCAGGTGTTGTGCGTTGATTTTACTTGGCCATGAATCCACATGTTCTCTCTCTTGCTAGGAGCTCTGGATCTCACTGCAGCTCATCCTCCTCTGTATAAGAGTAAAGTTTACAGAGATTCACAAACTTTGGCCCCCAGTGTTTCAGCTCTTCTTCGTACTCCATGTCGTCTCCTAGGCCAGATGATGCCAGTGTGCTAAGGCTTCCAGCCAAAGATCCATCTCCTTCCAGATTATATACCTTTAAGCTGTCGCAGGACAGTGCCCTTTGGATGTAGGCCGCATCTTGAAAGACATCATAGAAATATTGGCTGAAATCTCCACTGGTAAAAGAACAGCTCAGTTCTGATGCTGGCAGTTGTGACGGCTCCTTCTGGCTGACAGACGTATCATAATCACAGCTTAAGGGACCATTTATATGCCGCTCTCTTGTCTTCCTGCGGAGCGTGTGCATGGGGCTGCTCCGAAGAGACAGCTGGAGTTCTGTCATGTTGAACGCGTCCTGCAGAGAACAATAACTCTAATTAGACCTGATTGGCAAGTCACTTACTTTTACTTTTGAGAAGAATGGGGAAGGAACAATCATCCTCCGTTAACCCTTTAGGAATTAAATCCGTGCCCGCTTCTGTGGCATTTTGGTCTGAAAGAGAATAATCTCGTGAAATGCATATCAATCTTTACTTGAGATGACATTTCTCTTTAAATACAAATAAAACTTTAGTATATTTATCTTTTGAGATTTTCGTCAGTACACAGATTCCATCCTGTGCAAATTACAAATCGTACATCAAAATAGCACGAAATTAACTATTTCTACTAGTTGGATGTAACATTTGCAACTCATTTGAGTGTTCTCCAGTTTAGTGAATACATTCCTATATAAATGCAAATCACAGATAAATTCCCAAAGTAGTGAATAAACTGCCGTTTGGAATACTATGGGCAGTGGACATTCCGCTGTCTGAAAGCAGAGGGATTTATTTACTAAACACCGAATCGTAGCAAATTTCACAATGCACAAAAAACTAGTCAGGCTTTTACAATACAGTAGCTGAATTGGAGAAACTGTCCAGATAAGCACTTTTTGCCGCAATTTGGTTTTCAGTTCACTACAATATAAATTCTTTAAATTGACTGAAATTAGTGAGATTTGAAGAACGGCCCCTTTAATAGAAACAACATGGATGCAGTATTCTGGACGAGTTGTACGACTTACATGATCTTCCTTTCCTCCTCCTTCCTCATTATAATGGAACATATTCTGCCTGGTATCTTCCACCTCTCGACCGTGTGCCGACACATGATAAACTCCCCGATTTAACCGTTTCTTCCGTTTACAGTGAGACCACATAAGGACTCCAGCCATTAGAACTGCAAATGGATAAAAGATGTTCCATTCTTATTGAGACATTTTCCCACACGTATATGGAAATTTAATTCTGCACACAGGCTTATCAATTTGTTTTGGGGTTCAACATGTAGCCCTTAATCATAGGGAGGGAGAAAGAAAATATATATATATATGTATGTATGTATGTACGTACAGGATTATCCGCTAAAGTGAATTGTTGCCATAAATTCTAAGTAAATTTCAAATGAAATGCAAGACTAACCAAGAGAGAGAATTTTTCTAGTTTGCTTATATTGGCAATAAAGCAGCTCTGTCAACCCCCCTCAAATTTGGAGTTTGACTTTTTTGCAGGGGGACTAAACACCTCTGAAAGAAGTAATGTTGGTAAATGGTGTGGCTGGAAGGTACTCCCATTGCACTTAATATAAATATATATATATATATAATATATATATATATATATAATTAAACTGTGTACCATTTCATATGAGAGTGCATAAGAAATTGCATATTACCGATGAGTGACAGGAAGCATGTAGAGATGATGTATATAGTACTGAACCATAGTCCTGGTCCAAAAGCTTCCAGTGGGATGTGGCAAATATTCCCAACATAGCCCTCGGCACAGTGGCAGGTAAATTCAGTTGGCGAGAGTGGAATGCAGGTGCCATGCCTACAGGGAAGCTTGGCACACATTGTGTACATACAGTGCGGGTCTGTAGTATTTTCAATCGGTAGGTAACCTGCTGGGCAGCTGCGGGGTTAAAGAAAGGGTTAAAGACTGTTTAAAAAAATGAAACTAAAGGAAAGGGCAAACTCCCACAAGCCCATGCAGCTGGCCTAGTAGTAGATATGCATACACAATACATCATGGGAGCACTCATAACCTGATGGTGCATTGGAGGTGTATATGTATGTACCTCCAGTGTGTCAGGATTACACAGTAAACATTTTAGTAGTGAGTACAGAGAAGTCATAAAAACAATTTATTGTTGATACAAATGGAAAACGGCTGATGCTGCTCTCTATGATTTAGTAAACGTTCAGCTCATCTGTCTTCTGTACTCATTTAAGGCAGCCATTTTGAATTGAGTTGAGATGATCGAACATTTGACACAGTTTAAGGATGTTCTACTCTTTTAAACCTGTCAGATAGTGATAAAAATCCATGTTGAGCACATTTATCTCAGGTTACAGATATATCTGTGATGAATACCACCATCATCTACTTCTCCCAAGATAGAGCCTATTATTGAACTTTCCTCAATGGTCAGAAGAGTTGAAATAAAGCTATCGCTGCATATTTTAGTAATTTATGATCTTGGTTGGATTCGCTTTTAGCAAACCAAACTCAAAACACTATTTCCAAATGCATCTACCCAGTGCGGCAATCATCATAATCTTAACCTCTGATTCCTACAGCAAACAAACAAAATGTTAAACTCATTCATGCCTCCATTATCAGGCAAGCCAAACACAACTTTAGGTACATCTCAGGCAAGTCTTTGATTTGCGTGAAGGGGAATCCATCACCTTACAGTACATTCAGTGATTGATCCACCTGTTCTGCTGGTACCGTGACCTGTTCAGGAATGTATATTCATAACACAACAAACATAGGCTAGGTTCAAGGTTCTACCTGCATTCGTGTTTCATCCACAAGTCAGTGCAGATAAATCCGTGACTACAAGGGTTGCTTTTGCAGGCCTCGGAAAAGCAGCCCTCACTCACTCCCTTTTTATTGATGATAAACAATGGAGCGGTAGTCTGGTTTTCCATTGGAAGTCTGTAGTTATTCAATTTTGCATCCCTCAAACAACCTAACAATAAAAACAAAAAACAATAATACAGTAAAATTTAATATTACCTTCAATCACTAGAGAAGGACTAACATTTAATGGTTGAGTAACAATTTGAACTCCCAAAAGTCATGTTCAATGTTTACTACTTTAAAATTAAGTTCTTTATTGATAGAAAGACATACAGAGCAGGATTAACCGTAAGGGGGACTTTAGACAGCTGCCTATGACCCAAGAGTCAGACAGGGGTTCATAGAATAGTGAATTCGCTTGGACCCATTAACCATTACTGTTTGAGGAATAAAGCCCCTAACTGGCAACCTGCCCCAGGCCCGGTGAGATCTTAATCCGTCTGCGTGTGCATCGCTTTATCCATAGCTCTGTATTTCTATCTGTCTCTATAAATCAATATCAGACACCCATTGGCATAGTATATATCCCAACAATTATTATCGTTCATCTGTTTTGTTACCTTGATAACTTTGTTTGTTGAAGTTGTTACTTCCAAGTATTATATTGCTCGGATGGACTTTAATTTCTTTGTATGTTCCATGCCCTTCTGTTATTTCGCGGTGTCCACCTCCTCCATTTACACGAAGTGTGAATTCATTGTGCACTCTCTCCATACTGATTTCATTCCACTCTCCTGTGTCAATCTTGTGGTCAGGAAGTTTTACCGTGTTATCACCATCACCAATGTTGTATGAGACCTTCAGGAGTCCCTCCGCCACCTTGTCAAACAGAAGGAGACATACCTCTATAAAAAGTCTAGGAAACTGAGGGTCATCCAGCAGTTCTCCAACTTGATCACCTAGTGCGGGAGAAGTCAACCAGGTGTTCTCCTAAGCTAGCATTGCCAATACCACCATATTTTCCTGGACATAAATCTACAAATTGATTAGCAGCCCTAGAAAATGTGCGGAATTCAAACGCTGTTGATAAGAAATAAAAGTAGTTGATGGACAAAGACTCTTTTAGCTTATGAATTCCCCATAGTGTACTGCCCATCAACATGAACAATTTCCAGGAAGTCGTGGTGAATCTGGAAACTTATCTCCAGCTGTCCCAAAACTACATTTTCCACGAACCCACATTATTGTAGCCTTGTTTGGTATCATAAAATTATATATCGGTTAGAGAGTTAAAAAGGTTAACTACTTCAGAACTAGCTTGCAGTGTAGGACTGAAATAGGGTATAATTTTATGATATTTCAGTTACTTTGTACCTGTAGGTGAATGTATTCTGTTTGGTCTTTTGAAAACAGGCTCAGGATTGTGCCGTCAGCATGTCGTGTTCTTAATCTGGTCTGAAAATATGTCCTTTGTGGATTAAGTGCATGAGGAAACTGGTAACGGATATAGCTGCCTGAATGAAAGTAGTGTTCCTTCGCAACTGGAAAGGAAAAGTAAATGGGCTTACTCAGATTAGATACTTAGCAAGGGTTACTGCCAGAAAACTCCTGCAGCTGTTTGTAGGTCATGAGGTGGGCAAGAACATCGGTTCCCAGAAGATACCTTCATCCTGAACCTTGGAGGCTCAGAATATGAATATAGGTGGATCTGTCAGACAGAGACATCATTTACACCACCTGTGCTCATGTTTGAAGATGCTGAGAACCTTGACTGCTGCGAAGTTATACATACATTTAGCATGGATCGAACACATTGACAGCTGCCCAGTTTTGTGGACTATGGGTGAGTAGAGCAAGTTGATAGTTTTGCTGTTGCAGAGATTCCTCCTAAAACATCTGTCTAATCAGAAAGGGTATAAGTCAGTGTTCCTATTTTTCTGGCACTTCTTGTGACCTTTCTGTTATTAGCCAACCTAATAGAACTCCTAGTATCGATCTCAGAAGGACGTTCGTCTAAGCTAACCCTGGCAGGAGTTTACCGTGTGCTACTTAACCTTTAATCACGGGGATAGATCTCCAACAAAATACTTAGATTGACCTTCTCCCCAAGTTCACTGGAAGCCTCTCTTACATAAGTTATGAACACAAAGTATTTCTATTATCCTTTCAAAATTCAGACGCTCTACATGTTCCTATGTAATTGTACAGTGCCACACTTCTGACTTCTACAGTATTATTCGTAAATCAAATAGAAAAGATATGTATATATACTTTCATCACTCACCTCCTCACTTTCCATCAATGTCTCAAAGTGAGACATTCTCAAACGTTGCCTAAATGTGATCTGCTAGACAGCTGTTTAATGTTTCTAGAAATGGAAACCAACGTATAGAGCAAAGAAATAGGAGAATATTGGTTTTAAATCCAATGTCCTTGTGATACTACAATGCAGCCACATATACCATATATCTAAGCTGTATGCTGAGCTACCAGAAGATATCAGAAGGGAGAGGATAAGAATAAGGAAAAGGTAGCTTTACTTTATCTAAATTGCATTTCTTTTAGCACAATGTATAGCCAATATGTATCCATCTAGCTGTTTCATGGAACCACCAGAAGAGGGAGAAGTAGATCACAACAGCTGGGAGGCTGCCTGTTTATTCATGTAGTACAGAATATTCACTATAATGTCTCCCCCAAACATGCATTACTTATGGACATGTTGTATGTTCACTTTTACACGTGAACGCATACAATGTACCTTTTCCACATTCCTGTTCGTTATGGGTAGTCACGCATTCACAGCTGGTCGAGCCGGGATCCCCCGCACATCTGGACAGAGCTTCGCATGACGATGATCCAGATGTTTCACAAATACCACTCTTTTTCTGACAGCCGGGAGAGCTATTTATGGTTTCTATAGGGGCTCCGAGATCATACATCTTTTAAAAGGAAAACACACACGGAACAAAATGTGACCAACATTATCTCAGCAGGTACGGAATTACCTAGTGGCATGGTATTAATGAAATCAGTATTTCTGTAAAGGAAACATATTTTAGAGGTATTGAACATTTTGTGTATTACCTTAAACATCGAATAAATAAATCGATAATCAAGAGTCCTGTGTCGTGGTGATTGATATGAACAGTGATGTTGATTTTTAAAATGCAATATTATCAAAATATGAGAGGTGCGATAAAATTGTTTAATCCGCATTATGCCATTAAGTCTATATTAGAAGTGGTTCTGAGCAGGATTATCTGTAACCTCTTCACACTTCTAACAGTTTTTTTTATTTTCATTTTTTATTGTTTTTTTTTTCCTTTGGTTATAGCACAACAGTAATTGTGCCATGCTGAGGAACTTGTTAGCTCGATACGGTGCAGACACTTTACAAGTGAATAAATTAAAATAGTAAATTTCTACCATTCTGCTTAACTATTTACTGACAGCATTACATTCAGGGTTATTCACCAAAATGACAATTATCAAGAAATCAGAGTTTTTTTTTTATTTAAGGCCAAACTTTTAAAAATCTTCAAGGCAGCTATGCTTCCAGTTTGGCTATTTTAGTCTTACATTTTAAACTCGCTTTTCAGTTTATTGAATAACCCTGTTAGTAACGAACTAAGTGGAAAGTAAGGTTTAACTACGAAATTCTATTCTAATTAAATCAATGGTGGGAAAAGCAGCAGACTGAATGTCAGACAGCAGTTCATTAACTTCTAGAGAAACCGTCGAGATCAAGACGGGAATTTTCATCCGGTTTGTGGCAGGTAACCTGCAAGAAGGTATATTGCTTCCATGGTGGAACGGCTTCATAAAAACGCTGCTGCACCAAATACATTATCATAGAATGAATGTCGTAGAACTGAAATGTTGCCGTCTCAAGATTAAACCAAAAGAGAATGTTTTGGTTTTCACTAGAAATGATTATAATTCCTTGACGAACCTGTAGATCTACATATTTGAATTTAGAAAACTCTAAAATTGCTACAGAATCAGCCAGAGCCAGATTCCCTGTAATGTCCACAAGTTATCCCCCAATGTCATGCAATGTGCAAAACACCACAATGGTGTGGTGTAATAAGACGTGGCTTCTTTAAGTGTTATTAGCTAGGCCGCAGTGCCTCTCACCTGTTTGTTGAGAATGACGTTACGAAGACATCCTTTGAAGTGTTTGTGTGTCAGGAGTGGGTAAGAATGGGAAACTGATGGCTTTACTCCTCCCAGCTGCAGCACCGGATGGGGATCCCAAAATCTTCAAAGAAAGCAATCGCTGTTTAATTATTCAATACCTTTAAAAGACGGACACCAGTTGCACTATCCGTAAATTCAACCCCCTATTGATCAATGAGTATGGCCCCTATCAAAATGCACTAAGCTTTGTATGGCACTGGTCACGAAATGCACAGAGTGACTGTGATTGTGGCCATGTTATACCATAGTCGAACAGGGATTTCCTTACTCTGACTTGCCAATTACAACATTTTTAGAGGGCCATGAATCACATGGTGATATTCCGTCTAACCCTCACTCCATGCTTGGCTAAAATTCCCAATAACCTTACACCCCAATAAAACGAATGGGGAGGGCGAATGAGGATAAAAGGATATTTTAGGCACTCAGCACTCTAGAGGTCATGGACTACATCTCCCTTGATGCTTTCACAGCAAAATGACTGCAATAGCATTACGGGAAATATAGTCCTCAATATCTGGAGTGCCAAATGTTGCTTTACCCCTTTTCTGGAGTTAAGCCCTAGAATTGGATCATCAGATTCACTTCAATGGGTTCTATGCGAATTGCTACTCCAATAGAAAATGTCCTAATGGCCCCACGCACATAATTCCAAATAACCATTTAAATTTCTTATATGACACTCAGATCTACCAGATTGTATTGTACCTTCTGTCCTCTGTGATCAGCCCTCGGATCTCACAGCTTGAGCGATCCTCCGTTAATAGTTTCATCCCAACACCTTCCTTTTCATGGATAAGTGCGGACATGCAGCGGTCCAGAGTCACATTAACTTCCTGCGCAAAAGGATGGTAAACTTTAATTCATCAAACTAACCTTTATTGATTCATACTCGGGGCACTGATCATTAACCCAAGGTGAGCGAGCCTCATAGCTTCGCAGGTTTTGTAATAATAGGAGACAGGGGAATATATCTGCATAATTCAGATGTACAGTGCATTATGGGAAAATAATGGCTTCGGCTTTGCTCGGTTGCATCAAAATGTCAAGGTATTTCTGCTCGATTAGGTAAATGATTGGGAACTGATGTCCGACTAACCTTTCCTTTCATCCTAATGTCAATCCGGTGCCACATCCCATCAGTAACGTTCACACGTTCTGGAAATTGAATTTGGTGGGTGGAACTGTCCTCTCTGATCTTCAGAATTGGCACACCGCTCGTAATTTCTTAAAGGACAAAAAAGGGGGGAAAAAGAACCTTAATTGCTCAATAAGCAGTTCGCGTAGAAGCTAGGTCCTCTGCTCTGTAACACAATCCTGATTTCACTATTTAACTATATGTGTTAGAGATGAATATACAGGTATTTACTGCTTCTAAAAACAAAATCAGATTCTCTTTTTTTTCCCCCCAATATAGAATTTCACTATTCACTTTAAATGATTCACTTTAATTCCGTAAATGGTGTTCAATTCAAAAACTAGCAGTTGCATCACAGTAAATTCACATTTGCCATGACTGCGCCAGATACACCGCTCTGATCCGATGTCATTGTCACACAGTGGGGTATGGCTGGAAATGATGGGAGTCACATTCCACAGCATGCTGGCTTTGTGTTCCTCCTAGACCTAAGCCTCTTTATTACTCTTATAATCTGCGATGTAATGAACCGAGCACTGTTCCAGCTGTGCTCATATTATATTATTCATTAAAAAGGTTCGGTTTTGATAGTGCCCTTTATTTAAAGGCGTTCCGATTGTCACGAATAAAACTCATCACAGTCTCAGAGTATCTACATAAGAGAAACTTTACTAGACAGTTAGGTCATGTAATCCAGAGGGACCAAGCATTATTTAATGATGCCGTACCAATAGCCATGAAATTCTGACCGCTTCCTTGAAGCTGATTGGATAAAGGTCCGCTGTAAATTAAGAGTCCATCTGGTACATCACTTATAAACTCCAGGGACAGATGACTCTCTGAGCAGTGGCTGATGGGAAGGAACCATGCATAGCCATTACCGTGGAAGGATCTCTCTGTCTGCTGGCAGAGTGGCCCGTGGAATGGAGGGAGACAGTGGCACCTAGAAACAGAGATCAAAATAACCACATTACAGGAAAAGCTGCAATTTTTTAACACTATAGGGTCATTAACACAAACATGCATTCCTGGCCCATGTAGTGTTAAAAACACTATCTAGTACCCCCTTTGATCCCCTAAATATAGTAAAATCATACCTTTATTCCAGTCTGCCGCTGTTGGCTTAGCCCCAGATCTGCCTCTTTGGCTGACATCATCAGAAGTGATGATCTCAGCCAATCACTATGCTTTCCCATAGGAAAGCATTGGATTGGCTGAGATTGACAATTCTGATTATCATAGCCAAGGAGGCGGACCTGAATCAATGCATTTCTGAGAGGAAAGTTCAGCGTCTTCATGAAGAGGGTGGAGACACTGAATGTCAGTCACACTGTGCAGCACTGCCCCAGGAAGCACCTTTAGTAGCCATCTGGAGGTATCCATAGGCTGTAATGTAAACACTGTCTTTTCTTTGAAATAACAGTGTTTACTGCAATAGACCTGCAGGGATTCACTATGCTCACTAGAAGAACTACATTAAGTTATAGTTGTTCTGGTACAGTGTCCCTGTAGGAAGTCATACAGAATTTGTGATATTTTACAGTCTCTGCATGGCAATACATTTTAGGACATTTTGGAATCAGGATTAGACATTGTGTGATTGTATACACTGTTCATATCTGGGTGCTCAAAAGGTAAAACCCAGCTGAAGAACTACCACTCCCATGATGCTCGAACAGCCTGAAAGTTGCCAGAGTATTATAGAAGTTGTAGTTTTGCTACAGAAAAGGTTGACATGAGAACAACTGGCCAACCAGACTTCTCAAATGTAAGCAATTTAGCAGTTCTGGAGAGGAAAAAAAAACATGAATGCTTTTGAGTAAGGCATTTTTCCAGAGCGTTTTTTTGTTGTTGTTCTAATCCACATCTGTGACCAAAACAATGAAGCACCAAAAAACAATGAAGCACCGGTGTGGCTATGTCTGTTTAAATAGGGAGATTTAACTCCAAAATGGCAGAGAATTGAGATCTATACACTAGAACCACTTAAAGGGACACTATAGTCACCCAAACCACTTCAGCTCAATGAAGTGGTCTGGGGGCCAGGTCCCTCAGGTTTTAACCATTCAGATGTAAACATAGCAGTTTCAGAGAAATTTGCCTCCAGCGTGCAGAATGTCCATAGGAAAGCATTGAGAAATGCTTTCCTATGGACTGTTTGAATGCGCGCATGGCACTTGCCGCGCATGCGCATTCTGCTCCACTCGGGATCTGACGTCGGTGGGGGAAAAGAGGTCACCAGTGCCGAGGGATTAAGGTAAGCTGCTGAAGGGGTTTTAACCTTCAGCGCCAAGTGAGGGGGACCCTGAGGGTGGGGGCACCCTTAGGGCTCTATAGTGTCAGGAAAATGGGTTTGTTTTCCTGACACTATAGTGATCCTTCAATTAAATAATGTTGATTTGGTGCCTATAGCATTTCTTTTAAAATTCATTGTTTAGCAAATCATCCTGTAATATAAAATCATCCCCTTTTTACTCTAGTAGGGCACCACCAAGGCATGTCTATTTATCCTCTGTAACTGAATAGGTGATTATAATATGTCCTTCCCACATGCTACTCTCTGTAATCCGGTAATCCACTATTTACCAGAGTGTCTCCTATGAGCAGCGATTTTCAAATAAGCATGAAATATAAGAGTTTTAATAATAAAAGCTCTAACCAGATTGTTTTGGGTTTTTTTTGTTTGATTTTTTTCTCCCTTGCAATGAGCAATTTCTTATACTTGTAGCAAAATCGGATTTATGCTGGGATTACAGAAACAATGTCATACATGAAGGGCACTCTGTTAACTTAACACAGACTCCTGTGCCATCTGCCAGGGCCTCTGGTTTAACCCGTTCTGTGCCAGAACGTCTCACTTCACATTTCTCTAAAGCTTGAATTTCACATAATGCAATGAAAAACACAGATCACTTCTCTGGAATTAACACCATTGGATAAAGCAATGGAAATCACTTATAACGTGGGGAAAATAAAACGTTAACACGTGCACACTTTCTTTTAAATGTATATTAAAGTTCAGTGTTGGCACAGCCAGGGCGCAAATTGCTTCAGAGAAGGGAAATTGAAAACAATGTTTCTGTGTCTCTTTCTCTGGGAATGCTCTCTCTATAATGACTGACAGGTGAAAAGATCACAATTTATAGCAATGATGGCTAGGGAGTCAAGATGGCTGCGTTCCGTTCCAGGACAGAGGTGAATATAGTGCTGTGGATTTATACAGATTTTGAAAACTTCATAAACACATATTTGTCAACTATAAGTTATAATTAAATGTAATATAGAAATCTTGGGAAATAACAATTCCCTATTAATTATATATAGTTATTTTAATTATATATAGATATTTTAATAACTATTTTAATCTAAAAGGACTGTGTTGGTTTGGCTGAGTATGATGAGAGTTGCAATACACATCATCCAGACTGCCAGACTCGCTGCTCACTTACCTGTAACCGTCGAGAGTGGTTGTACAGGTGCCCGCATTCAGACAGGGGTTTCGGAGCTGTGAAGAGCACGTCTGGTGGACTCTCTTAATAGCTGGACATTTGCACCCCAAGTTAATATTTGTGAGAACAGAGACAAAGGAGACTCTGCCACTGTCCACGAGTGATGGCAATGCTCTGACTGTGCCACGGGAAGTGCAGCCACTACTATTCTCACAGCTGGCACGAAAACAGAAATCAATCTCGACATGGGATCTATTTGATTTCAGGGCTGCTTGGACCTGTTAAAGATAACCACTCAAGCACTTTATAAGCACTTCTACATTTAGACAAACAATTCAAATAATACATGAAATGAACTGACATAGCAATCAACTAGCTTAGCTGAATCTAGGTATTGCAACAAAAACAAAGGATATGAGAACTCTACGGACTAAAGCATAGAGAAACTCAGTAGCCTGCCCTTCAGTAAATCCCTGTTTAGATCTCAAAAATACTCACTTGTGCCATTACAGAGATAACTTATTCTTTGTTTTTGTTGTAATGCATTAACTTGGCTCTCCCCACGTTAAAAGGATAATCCAGACATGGACCCTCTGCTCACTGTGCCTAGAGGTGTATCAGGTACACCTTGCTGACGAGGCCCAAAGAAGGCCGAAACTGATTGTCTGGGGTTGCTGTATCTCTCGTGCAGAGAGAACTTGCCAGCATTTTGGTTCTGGACTGCCCTTATAGATGGGACCGGTCTGATATGCTTCCAATATGTTCTCTCTGTAATGGAACAAGTAAGCAAATACAATTTTGAGATCTGAGTGGGGATTTCCTGAAAGGGCAAGCTACCGAGCTTCACTAAGCTTTGGTCCATTCTCAGAGTTCTGATATTCTTTGTTTTTCAAGCTAGGTATTCTTTCTGCTGAGGTACTTGGCAAATCCATCAATTAAAATCACATTGTGAGGGTCCCTTTGCCACTGTCTGTAGTCACATTCTGGAAGCTTTTTGAAAATGCAAACTGACAAATTATTCTTTGATGCCGATGTATCGTAATTGGTAAGCAAATTACCTGTAACGGATAAGTGCAAGGTCAGCAGGAAAATTCCAATCTCTAATGATTAAAGGGACTCTCCAGTGCCAGGAAAACAAACCCGTTTCCTGGCACCGGAGAATCCTGCAGTGCCCCCCTCTCTTCCACCCCCCTATCCCATGTTGCTGAAGGAGTTAAAACCCTTTCAGTGACTTACCTGAATCCAGCACCGATGTCTCTCGGCGCTGGGTCAGGCTCAGCCCACTCTCCTCCCCCGCCAGAAGTGGTCTGGGTGCTTGGAGTGTCCCTTTAACGTCTTATTTACCAGCCTTACCTAATCTACAGAATAACTCAATGTACTTAGCATACCCCAACATGGTTATTCAATAATATGTAGCTGTCGCAAGTTTAAAGTGAATTTAAAAAAATTTCACATTTTATATCAAAATAGAGGAATTGGAAAAAATCTCTAAGTCCATTATGTTTTCAGTTTATCAATTTTAGGAAAACATTTGTAATTCACTGTGAATGCCAAGCAATTCAAATTCAATTGTACTGAATCACAAACCAATTTACAACATTTAGGTGAAAACGGACCATTTGTAAAAATTCTCCAACTTGGCCATAGTCACAACTTGCCCGTTATTGCCTAAATATTTCAGTTGAATTTTCAGTTCACTTTCATTCGCTGTTTAGTGAGTAATCCTCTTAGTTAATAGCCATGGAGGGATTTATAGATCTGCAGAGATTGACAGGTCACTGGGAACACATCGGAGCAATCACACGCAGACTGTAGCTACGGTGCACTCTCATCCAATTTAAAGTTTACCTTTTAATTATTATTATTATTTCCAATCATTTAAAAAGTGGCTATAAAAACAAAGTAGTTCAACCTTTGCCCTACCTTATATGCAAACATCAATATGAGGTATTTAATTAATTTCATAGTTTAAGGTGGTCTGAAACCAACATTATATGTGTCATGACTAAGTGCTTATATACCCAAGCAAAACATATACAGTGAGGATTCCTGAAATTGTAGACCCTTTTGCAGAACCTCTCGGGTAGGGGGCACAGTCTCCGCAGGATGGTCCAATCCAATATTCTTTATAGATTGGGGACCTAATGCACAATCAGACTTCCCCACAGGAAGACATTGTATTTAATGCGTGCCAATGGGCGTCCGCGTCACAAACAAATTTTACTCTGTAAGTGCAGTGGGAACTCTTCCAGAGGATGTCAGGAAGACGCAAGTAGAGGTAAAATTAACCCTGTCAAAACTTGCAGGGTTAAAAGGACAGGGTCTGCTCACCCAGACCACTTCATTGAGGGTACATTGTCTGTGTGACTGTAGTGTCCTTTAACATTTTTGATGGTGGAAGCACATAGACATGTTAAGATTCCAGTGATGACCATGCTCGTGGAACACACCTATGGTAGAAGCACGAATAGAGATTTCTTGTTTCATTGCAATTTGTTGGACATTTTAATATTGGAAGGATAAACATTGAAAATTGTTTCAATGAAACCAGCCATGTTGGGATTAATCTGAGGTAGCTAAACCTTCGATTTATATGTCTCTCTATATGATTTAAGTGAGCTGACCACTTACTCTGCTACAGAGAATGGAGATCACATAAAATGTAACCTAAGCAGTGGTTTCAGTATAATTAGTGAGTATTGCATATCAATACAGTAAGTATTGTTGAACCAGTAAATTCTCTTTGGACTGTGGAACAAACTTACCTTGTATCTCTGTGTTCCAATGATGCTCTGTAAGATCTCTGGCTTGTAACAAGAAGAACCACAAACCGCAAATCTGAGGTCGGTCATTTTCCCCTCTGTGGTGGTCAAGCTGAAGATATGTATGTGGCTAGGGTGGACTGCAGCGACGTCTGCCAGGATGGTTTGAAGTCGGCCAAGTTGGCTTACTCCTAATTCATCCTTATCTATCAACTCTTCTGAGGTAACATCTATAAAACAGAATTTAAGAGTTTGTCAAAAAAATTTTAAAACTTCTGATAGAAATAGAGAACTATAGAGAACTTCACGTTCCACACAACTGGAGAAGACTTTGATGCGTATTCACTTACAACAGATTTGTAGTGAAATTAAAAATAAGTTCCAAAATGAAGTGATAATTTTCTTGAATTTTGCAATTGTTTTACGGAAACACCATTTTTGGTCACAGTAACCCTTTCTATGCCTTACCCCTCCCAAAAACCAAACAAAAAGCACCTACACTCCAGCTCAAACTCACCTCCACTCCAGCCCAATCCTTCTTGGCTGACATCATCCCCCTCCCCCCCACTGGTTGTGGACAGATGTCAGGGAGGTCTAGCTGAGGGGAGGACATGGGTGCCATGGATCAGGGTGGCATGCAGCCATTGACCGTCTGTTGCCAACATGCTGTTTGACCTGGTGTTGGAGCCCACATTTTTACAGAAATCACATTAGCAAGCATAGAACTCTTGTTGTCACAGCCAAAAGTGTAGGTACACCACCAGCTTCATGGAAGTGCATAAGATTCTCAATTCACACAATACAATGGACAAGGAATAACCTGTGTTTCTTGCTCAGAGTGGAGCACCGACCATAACTAAGTTTACAGGTTTATATACTAAAGTGAATTATAAATGAATTTCAAATTTAAGACCAAAATTGTGGAATTAAAAATTGAAAGTTTTTCTCACATTAGTGAACCCTGCAGTGCAAAAGTACCCATTATAGTGAGATCTGTGCCTATTACTTACTAGTTATCCTCAGTGACACAGAACTCTGGACAGAATCACTTTGTATCTCGTGTACGTGAATTGTTACAGTAGAGAAGACGTCCGGCCACATCCCATCAGAAACCTTAATCTTGAAGTTGTACGTTCCTTCCGCAGCTTTCTCCATCATCATTAGTGACCCGTTGTTGGGGCTCAGTCGAAATGGCCTAAACATATTTTTTTAAAAAAGAAGATAAATCCAAAATACAGGTAGAACGATGCAAAGAGTAACAAACAGATCTATAAAATACTGCACAGAAAAAAGATCCATTCTAAGATTTACATCTTATTTATATATAGACAGCCCTAATTTAGCATTATCACTCAGAAGATTCCATTGTCAGACCTTTCCATTGATCAGAGTATAAAACTGCATTTTGGGGTATTAACATGGTTTCTAAATGGGATTCTGGTTGCAGGATTCTAAAGGAAAAAACTTAGCATTTGGTGTAAAATGGAAATCACATATTTACCAAAAGCAAATTATGGTCAAATTTGAGATTAACCCAAAGTGGACATATACAATTGATCTCCCTAAAAATATAAATTCAGATGTTTCTAAAATCACACAAAACTGAAAAAAAATGCAAAATATGTCTGCACCAAAATGAAATAATTAATAAATTAGTAGGATGTAAAAGTCAAAGGGTGCATGAAGGAATCAATGTCCTTTAACGACCAAAGAGCAATAAACAACTCATCTTGGTGGGAACATTCCACTTTTGGAATACAATCCCACCTATCTCTTCTGGGGAAACAGATTTAATTCTCTAAAAACTGCATGTGATTAAAGGGACATTATAAAGCAAAAACAACTTTAGCTTAATGAAGCTAAAAAGGCTCCTGCAAGGTTGGGCAAACAGAGCAGGAGAGAAGGCATTCTAAATTAAACCGACTTTTCAATAAAGGAAGTGTAAACATTAGATCTCTCTTTACAGGAAGTGTTTAGGAAAGCTGGGTCAGTCACAGTTAAGAGAGGTATGGCTGTCTGGTGCTGTACCAACAAAGTTATTTAACTCCTAAATGGCAGAGAATTGAGCAGTGAGACTGCAGGGGCATGATCTATATACCAAAACTGCTTCATTAAGCTAAAATTGTTTTAGTGAAAATAGTATTTCTTTAAGGGTGATTGACACTGCATAATCCATTACAGGGAAGTTTTGCTGCACATCTACAATGGGATACATTGTTTTATACAGTGATGCACTTCCAGCTTTTGTCTTGAAGGTTCTTTTTGATCAATACTGAAATAATTGATCTTACAAAGGCATGTGTGGCACAGAGGTAAAGGTTTTCTGGTCCCCATCATCTTCATCTGGAGCAAAGACTTTTCCAACCTCCACTGGTGACTGCGCAGCTGGTAACAAGAAGAGGAGGAGAGGATTAAACCTTGTAACAAAGCTGCTTCTTTATCGACCAGAATAATCGACCTGGAGATTGATTGCCACCTAGCTACTTTGACCTACATTTTACAATTTGGTTGTCAACATCCAAGAACTCAACATTCCGAGAACAAGCCATTATATATGCACCGATTAACTCTCATTGGTCCACCATATAAATCAACATCAATATTTCACAGAGATCATTCTCATATGCTAAGGGACCATCAGATAGAAGTAGTTCTGTTCCCGTCCCTCTTATTTAGCTCAGTTAACCAAGGCGTGCAGATGATGCTGACATACATTAACATTACATTAAGACTTACAATTCGCAGCTCAGTAACTGTTCCCACAGGCGATTTGAGTATATAAACAGACTCTGAAGATTTACAGTGATCTAATAAACATCAGCTCACATATTTTACATGTCATTAGCCTAGTTATGGGATATTTGCACACAAGTAGGTTCATAAAAAGCAGCTTTTTGTTTCCCTCAATTCATTCTAGTTTTATTGTAGGATGAGTCTAGAACGACCAGAATAAAGCCAGGCGGCCATTTCTCCAATAATGACAGTTCCTCGTCCTTCTGTCACCCCAGTGAATGTTACTGAAGTGCGTACTAAGATGAGCAGTGCAGGAGATGCAAGTATTAAACACCAATAAAGGGTTAATCCAATGACCATAACCACTTCAGTGACCTGAAGTGGTCATGGTGCCTGGAGTCGGCATATGAAGCATTACGCTATGAGATGCTGCACATACGAGACCACGTCTCAACACTGCAAAAAAGGTAAGTAGAGGGTCATTAGCGTTACATTTTTAGACAAAGGTCACTCTAATGGCAGGTACCAGGGCAACCTTATAGAAAAAAATAAATAAATAATAAAAATGTTTATTTAAAATTGGTATTTTCTGGACTATAGTTCCCCTTTAATCTCCGTTGCATATTTGGGTCCAGGACACCATCAGCATGACATTTAATGCTCCAGAATTCATTCGTAAGTGCTGCAAACACACATGCACAGACACAGAACTGTAAATTAATATGCATGTTATGCTTTAAATGTGCCGGGCATAAAGCAAATTCAAAAGTAGAAAGGATTAAGATTATTTTTATTCTTTTAAGGAACATGCATCGCTTGACAATTTTTTATTTTTTTTTAAATCCACTTTTTACATTATGTAATAAACGTCTATAAATGTTATCAGATTGCATTACTGGGCATACCCCTTACGCACCCATCACAATCTCAGACCGGTCCACTAATGACAGAAACAGGGCAGCACCAGTAGAGAGAAACCCAATGCCAGTGCCCGCTCTGCATGATCACACTGGTCAGACTCCCTCTCTTCTCCCCATGTCAGTATGTTGCAATGTGAAGAGATTTTCCAATTGCATATTTGTAAATCTTCAGGCATGCCCAATGCAATTTTCCAGCATTCCTAGGGATAGGACACCAATTGGTTAGATCGGTGTCCCCTCTGCAGTGGGTGTGGAAAGCATAAGAACGAAGAAGCAGGTGAATATGAAAATAATCATATTTACCTGCTTTTTTTGGCCTGCAAAGCTTGGAATTGATACAGTTGTCTCAAAGTGATGCCTTTAAGTAGAAAAACCCATAGATGTAAAAAATACACATGAATGTAAAAAGTACACATATATGTATACATGTAAAATAATTAAAAAAGTATCTAACTGCTTTGTGCTGACAGCAACAAAAGAGGATGTTAAACAAAAGTATCTAAAAAAGTTATTTATGGGCAGCATAGTGTTCTAACGTGTTGAAAAGGCTGTTGGGTTCTGTCAAAGTCAGTTATTCATAAAACTGGGAATTCTCAGGAACCGAGAAGGGAATTGCAAAGTTTAGGTTGACAATGCAGAATTGAAAATAAATTCTAAAATTCCCAACAATGTGTTGCTTTTTCAGTTTGGACAATAACCTTTTTTGTTAAGATATATTTATAAGTGGAAATAGTCAGGAGGGGGAGGAATACTACAGTGTACGTCTGCTACTTACCTCCGTGGGTATAAATGTAAATATCTTTATGACCTCCTACATGTGGATTGTCATTTTCATCTCCTATTGTTATTATTAAAATATTTGTGGTGCTTCTGGATGGCTTTCCACTATCTGCAATGATAACTGGAAGAAAATATGTTTTTTCTTGTTCTCGGTCGAACGCTCGGAGAGTTTGAATAGAGGCTGTGTTGTTCCTGTGATCAATTAATCGGAACTCAGAGGAATTTTGATAGTCATTGGGTAATGAAAACGTAAAGGGCGGCCCATTCTCTGCACTATCCGGGTCTACAGCGTATAACAAATCAGATGTCTCATTCATAAGTATGTTCTGAGGCCCATCTGTGTTCTCCCAAACTATGGGTGTATACAACCGTTCCAATGTTGGACCATTGTCATTAACATCCAGCAAATTTAGAAACACCATTGTGCTGCCAGTTTGTGGAGGAGAACCTAGATCAGATGCTAGGATCTCCAGGCTGTATTGGGGAATGGCTTCTCTATCCAGGGATTTTGCTACTTTTAGAAAACCACTTTGGTCAATATAAAATTCTCCTAGAACATCGGAATCTTGTCTAATGCTATAAACAAACTGTCCATTTAGTCCAGAATCAGCATCAAAAGCAGTGACTTGAGTAACAGTAGACCCAACAGATATATTTTCAAACAAAGGGGCCACTGTCAAAACTGATGGAATGAAAACTGGAGAGTGGTCATTGCAATCCTGCAACTCTATCAAACAATGGGAAGTGGTGGAAAAATCACGATCCTCTACTTTAATAGTCAAGTTAAACCTGCGTTCCTGAGGGATCTCATAGTCTAATTTCTTCTTCAGCTTGATTTCTGCCTGCTTGTTCTTTTCATTACTTTCAATGTAGAACACGTGATCTGGGTCTCCTCCAACAATGCTGAAGGTAAGTAGAGCATTCTCCCCAACATCATCATCGATTGCTATCAACTGAAGGACAACTGAGTTGATGTCACTGGTCTCCAAGACCATAGCATTCCAGCTGTGTTGGGTAAATCGTGGGGCATGATCATTGACATCTAAGACATTAATAGTTGCTGTTCCTGTTGTAGTCAATCCACCTCCATCTTTAACTTCAATGAGAAGATAGTAAGTATCATTCTCTTCTCTGTCAAGGTTTCCAAAAGCTGTATAAATAGTGCCAGAGCTTTCATCTATTGCAAACAAACTCTGCCCTAATGGATCCAATGGACTATTAAGGATGGAAAAAGTCAAAATTGCATTGGATTCTTCAGTTTTATCATCTTGGTCTACTGCGCTCATCTCCAAGATGGTAGTGTTTGCTGGTGCATGCTCTAGCACGTTCCCACTGCAGTTCGTAATGGCACAAGTGAACTGAGGAGCATTATCATTGACATCGTCTACATGAATGATAACATCAGCAAACCCAGTGAGTCCATCTCCTTCTTCATCAGTTGCCAATACCACAAATCTCCAAACAGCATGGTCTTCACGGTCCAGGGTTTTTTGTGCAAAAATATTTCCTATCCTTTCATCAATGGTAAATATGTTATTAGCACCATTCCCATGGAGAGAATACTTGATGGTTCCTTGTTCATCATAATCAGGGTCCTTAGCTGAAACCTTAAAGATGGAAACAAAGAATAAAATAGATCATCATCATTTAGGGAGGCCCAACTCTATAGCTGTGATTGGATTAATTGCCCTGTAGACTAGAAGGTAATTATGAAAGCTGAATTCCAAAAACAGCTGGTGAGCTATAGTTTGGCAATAAAGAAGTACAGGGTTCAACTAGAAAATCGAGTAAACAGATATATGCATTTTTTACAACATAATATACACATATACCATAAGTAGACCCTGTTTTGAGTGCATCTCCTGGCTTATTCTCTAGGCCTTCTTTAAGATCTGTTTGGTCAGAAACACTGCTTATCTGACCAAACACAGTGCAGATTGCTTGGTCACAAATCCTGACATCAGTATCTCAAAACCACGTTCAACCAGTTTCAAAATTTTGCACTGCACATGTGTAAAAGGAATTAAAGATGGCTGCCCTCATAGACCAAGGGTAAGCAGTGAAATTAACTGAAAATAGTTATTTACTTACAGAGATATTTATTTACAGAGGTTATAATGCATGTTACTTTTGGTTTCATTAAAAAAAATGTCACAGTTCTCCTTTAAAAAGTTTGGTAATGTTTACTATGTAACAGTATGTCTGTTCATACCTGTACAACGAAAACAGGTAAATCGGACAGTTCCTCCGTTACATGTCCTTGGTACTCATTTAGTGTGAAAACTGGTGCCTCGTCATTCTTATTCAGTACATTGAGGATAACCGTGGCATAATCTTCCCATTTCCCATCTGACGCCAAAACACTAAGTTCATAAACTTGGACCTCCTCGTAATTCAATGGTTGGAAGATGAAGACGGCACCTGTTTCGGGGTCTACATCCAGCACGCCACCTTTATTTCCAGCTGTGATCTGATATCGGATGTTTGCATTCATACCTGAGTTTACACAGAGACATTATTTTACAAATTAAGAGACAACTGCTCGTTAAATCTGAGTTACAGACTCTTGAATATACGGAAAAAATGCCTTATGGGTCCTACAAAGTTCTATTTACAGGAGACATCAGTGTTTAATGAAGGCCCAGTAGTGTAATAATGCCTGTATTAAATCTTCCTGACACTGTTTTTTGTGGGAGACTTGGACGGGAGGGACCATCCAAAAAAAGGCTCTCACCCTTTCACATGCTTCTCCAGTGGAACGTGGGGTTTCCCAGTCATCTGACACCATATTGGTGTTACTAGTTTTTTTTTGTTTGTTTTTTACAGCACCACTGCACATTAAAACATGACTATATTCTGCATTCTATCCTAGGAACAAGAAAGGAGTAATGTGGCTACATATTAGTACACAAATTTGTACCATACAGTTTCCCCCATGATCTACTGATGGCACCTTTCTTGGTCCAGTGTACAAATCTGGTTATTAACCATTTTTTTAATTTTGCTTTTTTAAGGGAGGGATTTTACAGTGTTTCCACCACTGGGACCTCCTGAATCAAAACCTGACCAAGGGCTTTCTTATTTTTAATTGTAGGAGTTCCACTTTAATTTCTCGCCACTTACGAAGACTACATTTATTTTACCTTCATCAGGGTCACTAGCAGTGACGCTAATTACAATGGATCCCACATCCCGATCCTCAGCCACATTAGCATAGTAGGTGCTCTGAGTGAACGCAGGCCGGTTATCGTTGACATCGCTGATGAAAATGCGCACGTACGCGGTGTCTGCAGAGACAAGAGGCAGGAGATTAAAATACTTGTGAGCCACTTCTGTCATCTGCAATTTCTTAAACTGTCGGGCTGCACATTAAATGGAAACTAATATGCAGACAATGTGAGGACAGACCCTGGGGGCTGGGAACAATTTATACAGACACATTATCCCAAAGCTCTTGAAGATGAAATAAATGTCAACAGGAATTTGTTTCAATGGATAACATGGCAATAATTGATGTCTCGTGTCAATGCCATTTTTTTATGTTAGGCGCATTGCCCCAATATTATCTTTTATTGGGGTTAATTTGTCTCCATTGCCATAATCTGTTCTTGTGTTTTTTCCCCCTTTAAACCTCGTACGGAGAATGTTGGGATGATTATAAATTCAAATTCACAATATTATGTGCTTTGCGTAGCCTGCAGCTGCATTCAGAATGGGCTGCATTTGCATTGTTTAGAAGAACATTTTATATATACACACACACGTCCCTCCAAACACATATTCATGAAATATTAAATTTCTAATGTCCTAAATGCATCAGCAAAATGAGCCACGATTGTCCGCAATTGTTATTTTGGGCAAGGTTACAAAAACTATTAATTGGTGTGATACTTTTAGAGGGCTGTTTATCTCTGCAAATCCTTGAATTTACACACTGTGCCAGCAAATATAAAGATTTGCAGATCTAATAATAAGATTCTGTATTTATCCAATCTAATTCTGCACCTCTTATGTCCACTCCAATTGGCTTTGGTGTTTTTTGCCTTCAGGACAGATCACAGAGGACTCCAGGTGAGAAGCGGACTCATGTGGAGGCTTCTTCCTTTTTACCCAGTGATGGAACCAAATGCTGGTAGAGTATGTTCATGACCAGACCACGCACCATTAATGTGTGAAGGGATACGAGAGAAGCAACAGCAATGAGCCTGATCATTCTCTTGGAAGAATCACAAAAGGGGCAATCGAACTCAGAGCTGAATTTATATTCCAGGAGCCCTTTCCTATACCCTAAATATATACTTATTAATTGTGGTGGACAATAGCACATGGACCAATTATTTATCAGCAACAATTTATTTGTATATTGACTGTTAAAGTGTCCAGACTGAATCCTAAGAAATCATTTCTGCACACAATAGTGTATAAGGAAGCAGTTAAAAGGGGCGTTTATGCTCAACGCATTTGTACTGTGTTGGAAGGAAAATATTGCAGAAATGACCATTACATGGTCATAATACATTTGCTCTTGAAAATACACTCCTTGCATTGTTGTTCTTCTGATGGGGCTATGAAATACATACCTGCTAAAACCTACATGGTAATTCATACTTCGTAGCTTTGAGTGGACTTGAGTTTCTCTTCTACTCACCAGAGTTAGGCTGTCCATGTTTTCCTGGCCGAGCAGACTCTGATCCATCTGATGATTTCACTTCCAGGAGATACGAACCCTTTGTCTCTCGGTCAAACACCGCAGCTGTGTATATTGCACCCGTTTGAGAATCAATGTGGAACAGGGCATGGTCCCCACTGCGATCTTCCAAAATAGAATATGTGATCTGGAAAAAAGACAGTTGAGCAACAGTTAGCAGAATCCAGGATGTATCGTAGAAGAAATTTGAATTAATTCTTTGGAAAAAGTTATTCTATCCTCATTAAGAATAAAAAGAGAAAGCTTTCGAACGGTCAATACTTCCTGGGCAATCACACATTAATACTAATACAGTTGCTAGTTCACAACACTTTACAACATCGAATTCGGGTCGAATACCTCTCCATTCAGACCAAGGTCTTGGTCAGATGCAGACACTTGAAGGACGAGTGTTCCCAATTCAGCTCCTTCAGTAACAGTGGCTTCGTAGATAGATGAAGTGAAGAATGGTACATTGTCATTCACATCTGGAAGTTAAAAATAGCAACTCAACAACCCCATACATAAAAACATATGTAACATTTATTTATAGTATCAATATTCTATGTTGATACCTGTAATGTTAATAAGAATTGTAGTGAAAGCAGCAAGAGGTACTGGAGAAACATTCTGTGCGCGAATCTTCAGGATGAAGTTCTTGGTTGTCTCATAGTCCAAGGGCTCTGCTACAAGCACAGATGCCGAACCTTCTTCACGGTTTACAGTCAGGTAGAAACGCACAGGCATGTTACTTTCTGGGACCAAACCTTCCTCTAATGTGTATGTCACACGAGGATCTCCCAGTAGAGAAGAGGCTTTAATGGTCTAAAAGAATAATAAGTAGTCCTATGAATTATTGTTATAAGGAGACACACCAGTAATTGATCCTTAAAGGTAGCAAAAAGCATTTCATATCAAAAGTGTATAAAATCAGAGGGCCTCAGAGGGTTGTTACCAATTTTAGGACTTAATTTCTAGTGATTTTTGTCTTCACCACACCCCGGTTTTGATATTTTGGCAAGTTAAGGGAGAAAATGTTTTCAGACATAATCAAAACAGTTTATAAGAAAATGAAGGGATGAAGAAGGCTTGCCATTGCTGAAATACTTCTTGACACGAGTTGTGATTGGTGGTGGAATTTGGAATTCATGGCAAATATTCCTTCTGTGAACAATCTTCCAAACCTCGGTTCTCCAGTGGCGAACACTAAGCATCTAAATCTATAAACGGTATCCGGGTACCTACTCTCCTTGCTTGTGTGAATCAGTAAAGGATAATAGAACATATAATAGATTAGGCCTTCAATAGCCATATCTGAATAGCTCATGAAGAAAAAGGATACAAGGCTGACTTGCATTCAGTCACAGTTTCACCCTCTGTGAGTGTTAGGGAAAGGTCTCAGAGCAATTTACTGTTATCCAAATCATGGGTTGTAGCGGAGCCATAGTCCTGACTAGGACTCTCCTCTACTGGATCACCAAGAGTATAAATAAGGAACAAGATAATGCCTAGTAAATAGCCCATCTCCTCCCCAGTAACTGGACGACACACACTTCTGGGAGTACAACTGAAGTCTATTCTGACACACACGGCTTTTATGCATTTGCCCTTAGCATGGGGTTTTCATATCAAGAACACAGGGGTTTCTTCCCAAGAGCCTTTGTGTTTGAGAGATAATGGAGCTCAAATTAGGATAACTCAATTATCTCTCAAATACAGAAACTTACATACATATTTTATAATACACCAAAAATACACCAAAGGAATACAGGAACCCCACAAAAATCATATCCCCAAATAGCACTGATATGAGTGCACAACATATTCATCTAGATGGTCGGGAAGTTGAACAGGCAGTGGTAAGAACTCCGCCCGAGTTCACAGTATCGCGTGGCCAAAAATAGTTCCATTCGACCATGTACCGCTGCCTGTGTTTGGGAGACTAAATGGCCATGTGCGCTCGGTTATAGGAATGGCGACCACCCAGGGAAGGCACTCAAACTAATGTGTCAAATCATTCCTTTGTGGTTAACAGCCATGGGAGGTCAGTGTTTGCTGGAGCATAACAAGGGGGACCATACACCAGCCATTCGGTATACGAACAAGGGGGTACGCACAACCGAACACAAGGGAATGGAGTCTGCTACATGGTTGTTGCTGAAATTGTGAACATCTAGGTTGAACACCAAGTAATGTGATTGCAGAAGGTTCTAAGCACCAGAGTATGGGCCATGAACAGCAAATTATAGGTGGCAATCAAGCCATCTCTAAGAAAGCATTTATTCTGAAAACCCATAAAGGAAGTATTAAACTAGACATTAGCCATCAAAATATTCTCTCCTATATTCACTTAACACCACCGTTTTCAGAAAGCTTTCTAGACCTTACTTCATCTAGTTAACATACTGGTCTGTGACCAGACATGACACCCACATGTGAAAAACAACATTTAAACCCAATAGAATGTTGGAAATCTGTAGCTTAATGAAAGGAATGTATCTGAGATGTTATAAACCTAGATTATGGTGCAGTGAGACATTTTTTTGCAACAATGCTTAGGAGCCACATCTTACCACAACAGACGTGTCTCTTAGAGTATTCTCTGGAACCACTAGCTCGTATCGGTCCTTCTCCCATACTGGAGGCTGGTTTTGGGCATCCGTAACTCGAACAATTACTTCAACGCGTGTGCTCCTGTTACCACCATCAGTTGCAATGACCTCTTGAGTTATAACAGACTTCTGCTGGAAGGAGATTACATCAATTGATGTACATTACAGGTGTAAATGAATGAAGTTCTACCTTCCTGCAAAGTGGCACACTTATAGAATTATACACAATTGGATTTATCTGTTGGGAACCTATAATGGGAAAGACGAACAAGGCCCGCTTGTTATTCTTCTCAGAGTCAGATTAAGACTCCATAGGGACCCAGGCTGGTCACCCGTTTAGAGACCCCCGTATTAACCCTTTCACATACACTGTGCTCTCAATTTACACTCTTAGATATGATCACAACAGACATAATGATTGATCCCATACACTGGTCTTTGTAGAAATAAAAAATGTAGTCCTGCAAATTACAAACTTTTTTCAAAAACTCAACAACATCCCTATTCTGGTCCTCTTCTCTGGCTTCATTTTGATTGGCTGTTAGCGTTATAAGATGCTGGTGAGGACAGAACAGCCTCTCCTGTGGCTTCTATTCTAACAAGGTCAGAAATCTTGGTGTTCTGTTGATCTCTTTATTTGAATCATGCCAGTACCTTCCTCACAAATAGGCTGAAACCTCTTCCTCAATCAGGCAACTGAGGACGCAAATGTGTTCTAGGGGAAGGGACTTTTCTGGTTCAAAAATGTTGATTAATAGGAAAAGGAAGAAAACCAAAATGCAACACCATAGTTATTTCATTTAATTAACAGGACATATGGATTTGGGATAGTACACAGATAACATTTTTGCTTTTGTTTTGATTATTTGCGCTGATGAATACTATAGCCATTTCTGAAGGGTACTGAGAGTTTGCGTTCATGGTTAATTTAAGTGACATAAACAATACTTTATTGCTTTGTAGGTCTCATCATCGAAATTTAGGAAAGGGGATCTTTAAAAAGCAAACTTTTTATTTAGCCACAAAGTAACACATTCGGCAGACATTCAGTTTTATCTGCGGATTGTGCTGATAATGTATCACACATCCAGAGATGGTCATTCAGAGCGCATATAGTAACTGTAAAAACCAGGATATAAAACCTTTGGCTGTTTGTGATCAACATTTTTAATCAACCTCAGCAGGACTGAGTTTAATGGGCTTTGCAGCAAAAATATGTTTGTTTGTTTTTAAAATTACTGCAGACGGAGGGGGTGGGGAGAAGTAGGGAGAGAAGAAGAATGAAAAAGAGAGAGAGAGAGATAGATGTTTGACCGACAGATTCACAATTCACCCTATGATACAACAAAATAAGTTTCCAACCACTAATTTAAAAAAAAATTTTTTTTTGAATGCCGGAAGGCTGAACAAGACTGTTTTGTACACCCCTCTGGCGCTCATGGTGTTAATAGCTTGTACTGCACTTGTCCCGATGGATTTCCAGTCTATCACCCAACAAACTTCCCATTACACAGCTGCCCGAGGCGCTCAGCAGAAGCCAGTAGGAAATTCAGCTGGCTATCCGGCAATGGAGTGTCACAATTTAGCAGTTTCCTAAGGGACTTCCACATGCCTTGGAATCTGTGTCCAGATGTCCCTGTCTGGCCGCAGAGACTTTTGATTTCAGGGACAGTGAACATGACAGCTTGACACTGCCTTCAACCTATCCAAAAAGCACCATAATGTCCCTCACTTACAAAGCCACCAGCTGTGATTTCAATGTAAAAATGTATCTATGCAGCATCTGAACTCGCGAGTTAAATAAAAGCTTTTTCCAAGACTGAAGAATTGTGTATGGTTAGTGTACAAATTACATATTTATTATTACACAAAATAAATGATATGGCCGTGCGCAAAATTAGATTTCATAAAATGTATTTATGAAAATTAATATAATCTACGTGTCGAGAAGTCCCATAATTTTTTTTTAAAGTTTTTAGGGTATTAATGTGCATAAAACTCTTACTGTACGACTGATTTTAATATAATTTTTTTACAAATTTTTTATTTGTTAATATAAGTTGTTTTTTCAGGTTTTTTTTTTTAGGCATTGCATACATTATGCATTTGGAAAACAAAACAGGAGTGAACGACAGTCTGGTGAGTCCCTTTAAATCTCAGTTCCTGGTGACCTAGAAATATTTCCAAGAAAGCTGTCCGTTTTCACATTTATTTAAGTGGTTAAAGTGGTAAACGCAGAGAGAGAACACGTATATTACCCGAGGTATTTGCCGGATGACGTAAAGCCACCCTGTAGTACTGTTAATTTGGAAGGTGCTTAGTTCCTCTTCAGCCACTGTGTACGTGATGAGTCCGTTTACACCGTAATCATCATCTCGAGCAGCAACACGAAGAAAACTTGTTCCCACGGTGGTATCTTCTCTCAGGAAATCTAAGGCACAGATAAGATACGTTTTCGAAAGAAAAAACAAACCAATCAATCTCTGGATTTTGCTTTTAACCCCTCAAGGACACATGGCGGAAATACAGTTGCAAGAAAAAGTATGTGAACCCTTTGGAATGATATGGATTTCTGCACAAAGAAAGCGATTCACACCAGCCATCCAAAGAATATTGCTGAACTGAAACAGTTCTGTAAAGAGGAATGGTCAAGAATTACTCCTGACCGTTGTGCACGTCTGATCTGCAACTACAGGAAACGTTTGGTTGAAGTTATTGCTGCTAAAGGAGGTTCAACCAGTTATTAAATCCAAGGGTTCACATACTTTTTCCACCTGCACTGTGAATGTTCAATAAAAACATGGCAACATTTCATTCTTTGTGTGTTATTAGTTTAAGCAGACTGTGATTGTCTATTGTTGTGACTTAGATGATGATCAGATCACATTTTATGACCAATTTGTGCAGAAATCCATATCATTCCAAAGGGTTCACATACTTTTTCTTGCAACTGTATTCCGTCATGATTCCCTTTTATTCCAGAAGTTGGGTCATTAAGGGTTTAAGTTGTACCGTACTGATTTGGAATTTAAAAATCAACGTTTAAAACTGTACATGAAATACTCGAATGCCAAGTGAAAATGTGTCTTTTTTTTGGTGGTGTGAATTTTTTAAAAAAAAACATTTAAAACGCATTCTCCACAAAAATCCCATTATTCGTTTTTCATAGCCCCAACATAAATGGTTTATCCTGAGGAGTAAACAATGATAGCTCCTGCGTACCAGCATTCCGAGCTAAATATTAAGATCTTTTTATATTTGACTTCAGAAAAAAAAGATTACTGCACACAAAATGTATACAGTATAATCTAGCAACCAGGTTTCAATCATCGCCTCTGCTCTTAGCCATACACACGCAATCATCAGTAGAATATCAGAAAGGTTGCTGGGAGGATGGTAGACATAGGCATGACAAACCCCCTCCCACAACTCCAAGCATATCTCCTTTACATGTATCTCTGGTTCCTCTGTAGTAAGCATCAATTACCCACAAAGGTATACACATTTTGGACAGACATTCTAACAAATGTTGATGTCAATGTGTTCCTATCTTAACAACTATAGTTACAATTAGAAGTAGGTAGGCACACACAGTCAAAATTTGATAAGAAAATAACGACACAAATTATTTTAAGTCTGGGTGCCCACTTGAATAAGGTCCTATTCCCAGAGGACCAAATGAGAAGACACAAACATCCAGTCAAGGGGCACAACCAATAATATAGGGGAAAAAAATATTATTGGATAGGTACAAGAAAGAGAAGTATATCACAGATCCAAGCATGATTCACATATTGATAATATAAAGAATATTATCAGAAATTCCATGATAATATCCAAACAGGATATATAGTAAACAAATACTTAAATATCAATGTAATCACTAATTAATAGATATATCAATTCTCAACAACCCATCACAGAAAAATATTATTTATTTGATCTGTTGTGATATGCATCGTGACATATTTATCTTTATTGTACCTATCCAATAATATTCCCCCCCCCCGCCTATTATTGGTTGTGCCCCTTGACTGGATATTTGTCCTAGCTTAACAACTAACAGCAACTGTCAGGAACATGAAGCATTTATTAAAATAAATATTAAATATTAAAAAATATGACACTAGGCATATTTGCATATACAGAGCATGCTGGTGGGTTGAATAGGTTGTCAAATGAAATGAAAACGTTTTTACACACTTATTTGCCATTTCACAAACTCAACTGTATCAAACAGAGTATGCTATGATAAAATGACTATAATAAAACAAAAATTAGGCACATTGCATACTTGTACAAGTTAGAACTTAACTGCAAGATCTCCGTAACTATTTTCCAATGAAAGATTTTTGGTATTCTGTTTTGTTGCAACATATTTATCCAAGGTCGTTTTTTTTTTCCCCTTAATCTTCCCCATAGCATTGAGAAGGGAATCTGTGTTGGTAGACTCGTTCCTGAGAAGATGATCACTTACATTCATAGTGGTTGTTCTCGAAGCTGGGATCATTGTCATTTTCATCCAGGATCTGTATGCTGATTTGGCAGAGTCCAATGAGGGGTTCCGCTGCTTGGTCTGTTGCCTTGATGGTCACAGGGAATTCCTTCTGCTTCTCTCGATCAAATCTCTGAAGGGTGGTAAGAACGCCTGCAAGAGGATAACAAACAGGAAAATCAGAATTATGTCATGTTCAATCAACCAATTTCATTATCGTAATTTTTGTTTTCAAATAGTGTTAGGTGCATTAAAACAACTGAAGGCAAAGAATACAAAAGACCCTCGACACAAGAAAGACGTTTTTCTCATCGGTTCCTTCGTCTCCATAGACCAGCTCACTCTCTCGCCTACCACTGTTCGGTTCTTCCACACACTTATGGCTTATTTCAACACAGGTATCTTATCCACCTCCCCTCTCCGACATGATGCTATTCCTCTGTGCGTCTTTACCCTGTGTAAGCTTGCTTGAGCAGGACTTTCTTCAAATCTTCTCTCTATTATATCCCATATGTAAATTACTTGTTCTCAAATATCCCTATTTTATCATTTCAAAGAGCAGTAGAATATATTGGCGCTAGTTTAGTTTAAGAACGTTCTTCAAAAATAACTTTTTGTACATGATCCCCAAATGTATCTGTTTTAATACAAATGCCAAAATGTTTGGGCTACATTGACGTGAAAAATATATTCTTGTAGATAAACTGGTTACTGATGTTTTGGGTGGGAGGGTATTGAAACAGTTTCTGGATCACCTGTATCTGGATGAATGCTGAAAGCAGGAAGCGAGCCTTCTCGATGGACAATCCCATACTTCACTTGCCCGTTGACTCCGTGATCAGCATCCGTTGCCTCGACCTGCAGCACCACTGTCCCGGGTGGTTGGTTCTCCAGAACAGAAGTATGATGCCGATAGTGAGCACACTACAAAAGTATATTATAAATGTGCAAATTACTATGAAATTATTTTCGTCCAGAGTTCCAAGATCCACAGAAAACCAATGTTTCAAAAAATATATAAAAAGTCAGTAAAAAAAAAATAAGAAACAGACAAATAAAAGAAAAGTTCAGGTTTGCAATTTTACTCAGCTACAGATAAAATTTAATTGTAAAGGCATTGTGATTATTCTGGAAAATGAGAGCCAAACGCTTAGAACGTTTCTACAGAAATTGTCACTTTCATAAATGAGCTTTGTTACACCCCTACCCCCTCCCTCCCTCCCAACAATCAATCAGACAACAGGTCTTGTTACTTCCTGGTTTGGTTAGCTCAGCGGAGCTAAACGCAATAGGAAGCAATTGCCCAGAGCACCTGCCTTGCAAAGACTTCTCACTGAGCTGCATTGGGAAGTCTGTGATTGGACAGCCACAGAAAGTCTGGGCGGGGTTAGAAGGGGAGGGCTTGCAAAGGCTGCAGACAAGAGAGCTACAAGTTTTGCAAGCTGCTTTTAGATCTACAACCAATGAAAAAATGCATGATTAAATGAATGCATGTGTTCATTGGAGATATAGCTATTACATTGTTAAACAAATTCCATTGGCATGTTCTTTTAAAGGGTACCTCTTTCACAATACAATAAAGTCTTTCACCTTATGAAAAACAGGCTTGTTGTGGTTGATGTCATCCACTCGCACAATAACCGTGGTCGTGCCAGTGAGGCTGTGTGGTCCACCAGAGGCATTGTCATCAGTAGCGGTTACATGCAACACATACTCTGCACCATGAAGCTTGGGACGCAGGCTTGAACTAAGTCGGATTATTCCTATGTAAGCAAGAGAATAGCAGTCAGATCACTAATTTAGAGCAGAGTTGGCTGACAGGTAACTTCCTGACTAATCTTTAACCTTGCTCCCATAACTCCACGGAACCAAATCTGGGGTGATGGTGCTGAAGGGCTCCTTGCACCATAACCAGTAGTGAGTCGCTCCACAGCCGAGTGAATAACCAGTTAGGCAAACTTCTTACATTTTACAAACAGGTTCACACGGATCGGCTAAATCCTACCACTGACCATAACCACTACAATTAGCTATTCTGGTTATGGCATGTAGAACCCAACTTTAACAAGGAAAAGAAACTAGCAACCACCCAGCATGGTGTTGAAACAAGAATTTATTTTGGAAATGCCTATTGCGGAGGATGCAGTCAATGTTTGTAAAAACAAAAAAGTCACTTGAGAGCGGCAAAATTATGTTAATGCTAATTATTTAATGCTATTTTTTTTTCTTTGAGAGATCGACCTGAAAATATACACGTAAAGAAAAAATAAATAAAAAAATAAACATTGATCCATAAATTTAAGGTGAGAATTTATTTCGCCCAATTTATAGTATACAAATGACTGATGAAAAATATAGTCTTTCTTAGTATTGCCACAATGAAGAACAAGCTTCATATGGGGTCATTATTGGTGCCTTAAAGAGAGGGAAACAATCTTGTCTATAAAAGGACCTGAATGAATTATAGCTGTGTTTGTAATTATAAAACAGAAGGTTATTTATATCAAACCTGCCCTGCCCCACACTTACATCTTTATCAATTTAAACAATATTAGTTTAGTTCAGGGGTAGGCAACCTTTTGGACTACATCTTCCATGATACTCTCCCATCCATAATCCGGGCAAAGCGTCAGGGGACATGTAGTCCACAGCATTTGGAGTATGGAGGGTGGTCTATCCCTGGTTTAGGTAACAATGGAAAGGTTATAAAGATTATTGCAAGGAATAAAATATCCATAATAATGATTCAATGCCATTATCTGCACCTTGCACCTAAAACTATTTTTCACCGTTGTGAATGTTTTAGTGGTTTTATTTTAGTGAATTATTCACACGTAGCTTCTTACTAGACATTTAGGAAGATACGAATTCTTACACCTCATGGACTTAGCTCTGTCAGTCTAAAAATTGGAGATCTCATAGCTACAGTAATTGTGAAGACAAAGGCATACCCCATTGCATCATAGTAACAAGCATTATTCAGATTACGGACACGTTCTCTAATCACCATTTATTCTATAATGTCAACTGTGAGCTATTTGTTTTGGTTGCTACAGCGCTGTGGAATACATTGGTGATTTATAAAGAAACGAATAAAATATGAGCAGGAGATACATTAAATGTCACATCTAATATGAAACGTCAACATATAACTTGGAACATAGAAAACATCTCCATTCAACATCTCTTGCATGCATTACCTTTTTGAGGATCTATATTAAAATTCCCTTCCCGGTTTCCATCCAGAATGTCATATATCACCTGATCCCCGTCTGGATCGAAGGCATGTACAGTTGCAACCAAAGTGTTGGGTCCGGCATCTTCCGATACAAACGTTCTATATCTGTAAATAAAACCACAACATACACCTATTCACGAGTTACCTTAAGAATTCATCGTAGAGCTTATAGTATGAATGAGTGCAACCATATCAGGTGAGGATTGCCTGGACCAAAGATTAACCAGTTCCAAGCATTTGGCTAGATGCTCCTATGATTGTTGTATCTATTCGAACTCCGTCGGACTTGGATAACTAGAATAATGTAAAAAAAAAAAAAAAAGCCCACCTAGGGACACGCAGGATTTGTGCAAAAAGTTAAACTTATTCAATAAGGGAAAAAAGTAAACGTCACAAAGAAAGTTTGCTAACCCCTTAAGGAAACATGACATGTCATGATTCCATTTTATTCCAGAAGTTTGGTCCTTAAGGGGTTAAGGACAGAGCCAAATGTACAAGTTGTGATCAAAACAAAACGAAACAAAAACTTGAATTTGCGCTATATGTCTGTTCAGGCGTAATTTGGCTGTTTCATATTATGTGCACCCACACTTATTATTTATCATTTTATTCAGGGGAAACAGGGCTTTCATTTAACATCAAATATTTATATTTGTATAAAACATAATTTAATATGAATAAAATGTTAAAAATGGGAGAAAATAAGATTTAAAAAAATGTTTAGTTCTACGTGACATTCTAACTGTGAATGCCATAATACGGTTTGCTTTTACTGCAATAAAGTACACATATTTGTATTCAGCGATGTCTCACGTGTAAAATAGTACCCCCTATGTACAGGTTTTATGGTATTTTGGGAAGTTACAAGGTCAAATATAGATTGGTTACGTTGCCTTTAAGACTGTATGGTAGCCCAGGAATGAGAATAACCCCATGATGGCATACCATTTGCAAAAGTAGACAACTCAAGGTATTGCAAATGGGGTATGCCCAATCTTTTTTAGTAGCCAGTTGGTCACAAACACTGGCCAAAGTTAGTGTTAATATTTGTTTGTGTGTAAAAAATGCAAAAAACTAATTTGAATGCCAATTTTGGCCAGTGTTTGTGATTAAGTGGCTACTAAAAAAGACTGGACATACCCCATTTGCAATACCTTGGGTTGTCTACTTTTGCAAATGGTATGCCATTATGGGGGTAATTCTCATTCCTGGGCTACCGTACGGTCTCAAAGGCAACGTAACCAATCTGGCAAATTTCAATGTGAAAAATCTGAAACACAAGCCTTATATTTGACTCTGTACCTTTTGAAAACACCCTAAAACCTGTACTCGGGAGATTTCGCTGAACACAAATATTAGTGTTTCAAAACAGTTAAACATATCACAACAATTATATCGTCTGTGTAAGTGCTATTTGGGTGTGAAAAATGCAAAAATGTCACTTTCACTGACAATATCGTCGTTGTAATACATGTTACTGTTTTGAAACACTAATATTTATGTTCAGCGAAGTCTTCTGAGTAAAACAGTACCCCCCATGTACAGGTTTGTCTTGGAAAGTTACAGGGTTAAATATAGTGTATATATAGTATAGTCCTTTATGTAATAGTAAAATACTTTAAGATCTTGGTATAGAACTTAAGCACTTACTTTTTATGTTTTTTTATATAAAAGAACCCACTCTAAGCACCAAAAACTCTATGGGCGCCAAAAAAACTAAAAATATGAGAACTCTGAGAATTGAAAAAAGGTTTGAGGAACTGTAAAGGAGGAGATTATATATTAAAAGAAGAACAACTACCACAACAAGAGGACATAGTCTTAAATTAGAGGGACAAAGGTTTAAAAATAATATCAGGAAGTATTACTTTACTGAGAGGGTAGTGGATGCATGGAATTGCCTTCCAGCTGAAGTGGTAGAGGTTAACACAGTAAAGGTGTTTAAGCATTCGTAGGATAGGCATAAGGCTATCCTAACTATAAGATAAGGCCAGGGACTCAAAAGTATTTAGAAAATTGGGCAGACTAGATGGGCCAAATGGTTCTAAACTGCAATCACATTCTATGAACTCAGTAGCTTGCCCTTTGGTAAATCCACGCTCAGGTCTCAAAATAGTTTTTGCTCATTACAGAGAGAACATATTGCGAAGTATATCAGACTGGTCACACCAGTATGGGCAGTCCACAACCGAAATGTTGGCAAGTTCTCTCTGCACGAGAGATACAGCTACCCCAGTTCCAGCCTTCTTTGGGTCTCATCAGTGACACCAGCTGATACCCCTCTAGGCACAGTGAGCACGGGATCCACCTCTGGATTACCCTTTTAACTTGGGAGAGCCAAGTTAATGCATTGCAACAAAAACGGAGAATATTATAACTCCATTTTTTATAAAACGGTTTGGGAGCAGTGTCACAAAAACTGGGGCTCTCGTGAACACACACAGACTTCCCTTTCATCAGACGTATAAAAATACAGAAAAAAAAATGACACCATACCCCTTACACTGAGATATCTCTTTAAGTCATACGTGTGTATAAAAAAAAAAAAAAAAGATACTATGCGTGGGTGCCTGTGGGAGAGATATCAGAAAAGCAATTAATAAATAGCACTATCAAGTTTACTTATGAGGGGGAATGCTAAGTGAACAAAAAGGTCAATGTTTCTGTTACACTGTGTAGCCTTTGTCAAGCACGAGATAAATGCAGCAGAGTGTAGAGGAAATGTTGAAATTTTTTCCAGTAAAAAAACCTTTTATCCCGAAAAAGATCTGACAGCTCGTTGATTGCATTTATGACATATATTATGTTTGTGCAGGAGGAAATATTCTGTGGGTCCCAATGGCTATGGTAAAGGCATCACATCCCATTAAAGCTCAGGTTTGTATGATATCCCCAGTAATGGCTTAACAATTTATAATACATCCCCCAAAGAATAGCAGAAACAAATGTCCTTATTGATATTGGCTTGGCGGAAAAAGAGAGAGAGAATGAGAAAAAAAAAAGAAATAGAATGTATGCAACCACGATAATACTTATAAAATATATAACAGGAAAAAATAAAAGCAACCCCCCCAAAAAAATACATATGACAAAAAGAAAAATTAATAAATGTCATGTAAATTGTAGAATTGCAAATACAAAGAGAATGGAGAGAGGATTATTTTTGAAACTCTAGTTTAATACACCAGGCTTGGGGATGGGGTGGGGTGGGGGGGACGAGAGCTCTGTGATTTAGCTCAGCCACTCAGCAACAAATTATAGCCCCGAGGCCCTGTCTTAGCCTAGAGTCTAACGAGCAAATTGATTTTAGCTTTGACAGTTTTAAAGCCACAAAATGAAGGAGGAGAGAGAGAGAGACGGGAGTTCTGAACACTTCGTGGAATGGTCTCAAAAGACACAGAAGGATTTTTTTTAAAAGGGGGGGAGGTAGAAAGTAGGGCAACGTGAGATCTCTCACAGAATGTGCAAGTTTGTGTTGACAAGGAAGAATGGAAAGGTACCTTTCAGCAATACACTGAGACTAGCACGTTAATGGAGAGGAAAAAGAGGAAGGAAAAAAAAAAAAGCTCCGGGCCCTGCGACGCAGCTCTATAAAAGCCAATCTCAGCCTTATTAAACTGGCTTTCGAGCAGTAGTGAGATAACTATGACAATAAATTCAGTGGATCACATCCAGCGTAGACTAAATGCAATAAATACGACAAAATATACAGCTTTTCATACCCAGGGTAGAATGTGATATCAGAATACAGGGTGAAGTAATGACCTATTCACTGGAAGGGAAGGCTGTAGAGATCGCTTGGATTTAAAGGGAGAGTGACTTTATTTTGTTACCATATTTATCAAGCAACACACGTTATACATAGTACTTAGGAAAAATATGGATCTCAACTTAAATGTAAGACTCCTAATTTTGTGTGTGTGTGTGTGTGTGGCGGCTGTTCCCTATACTGCTTTCACTGAGTTGCCAAATTCAATTTACATCAATTTAACACCCCTACAAAAACATAACCGTCCCCTCTCCTTCCCCCATAGAAACACAAACAAGGTTATTCTATAAATGGGGAATAGTTGAGGAATTTTGTGTAATTTCAGTTTTAACTGAAGAGCTAAATCTTAATTACCCTAAGCTATTTTTCAATTCCATTGGTTTTAGACTAAAATGTAAAGTTCCCCCAGGCGATATGGCATCAAGTCAAAAAAAGTGCTCTCTATTTTCAGCTATTCTGTCCTGAACCCCGTAACTCACCAATCGTGGCAATGACATCAACAAGAAACGGCGCCTTCACTATCTGCAAAGTTTGTGACCTGTACCCCCAAGTAAGAGCTTACTACCTGTATATTTATGAGTAATAATAACCGACTTTGTAATCCCGAAGCCAGAGAGACAGTCTTGTTTTTCATTTTTTTGTTGGAGACATACAATTTCGGAATACATACATTGTTTGAGAGAATTCCGGAGCTTTGTCATTCACATTGGCGATTCGTATCCGCACTGTAGCTGTCCCAGTCTTTGGTTCCTCTCCTTGGTCTATTGCCAGGATTACAAATTCATACAGATGGTTGGGCCTCTCGTAATCTAACTCCCTTGCTGGGCTAATGGTACCCTGTTCGGAGATGCTGAAGTCAGGGCTCAGAGTGTAATAGGAAACCACTCCGTTCAAACCAGAATCACAGTCAGTGGCCATCACTGGGTAGAAAGCACACAGAATGACACAATGCAAACAGAAGGATAATTAAGCATGCACAGCCATACCATACCATTACGGATAAATACAGCTGGCAGCTGAAGGCAGACATATATTATTTTAAGATAATTTTACATTTTTTTTTTGCAGCTCACAGCTATAATTGTGTCCCCATGCATTCTTGTGCCTACTGGACATTTCCAACCCTGTGATTTACGAATAGGATAGAGAGACGGGCAATTTTTGAAATTTAAAGTGAAAGTGCCACTTTGTCCAAAATATTTTGATTATGGTTTTCCTTATTAGCTAAATGCTGCTACACCAGTCTTAAGAAATTGCATTCTTATTATTAAATACTGAGTTTTTAGTACTGTACTGTTCAAATTCCCAGTCCATATTTTTCCCATAGAAATTAAACATGATAAGGACAGTAGTACCTGTTAGATAATAATATCTTGAATGGCCAGTAGAATGTTTCCAAGGACAGAAAGGAAGCTTCTACAGGTGTTGAACATGTTCCCGGGGTATTTACTGAGGTTTTTGGCAAACGTTCAGGCCATATCTTGGGGAGTGGGAGGCCACGTGTATAGAGATGCCCCCACACCATACATTTAATTTAGTCAGACACGGATACCTCCCATACAGCTAATTGTCTACATTCTCACAATCATGTGATAGGGAGCCCAGCAGAATGTATATCTGCATGTTAAATTGTAGCAGCAGTACAATACACCAGTAAGAGTATTGTCTTTTATCTAAGATGGACAGCAAATATTAAAATCTGCATTGCTGCTTGTATTGCATACATGGCAATATCTTTGTATTGGTAATTTCACAAATCTAAAGTCCCATTTCGGCGTACAGGTATATAAAGTATTTACTGTGTTTTATAACTGCTATAAGAAAATATATGTAAGTTTTTCAAAAAGGCATTTCAGACTTATTACTGGTCCTTATTAGGTGGTGTGGACAACACTGGGTGACACCAAATGGGGTAACCCCAGCAGGGTGGGTACTACCTTAAGGAAGCACATGTGGCGACCTTAAGGTGCCTCAACTGGTTGCCCATGCAAAGGGCATTCTGTCTTTTCATGGGCCAGTGAAGGGATCACCTACTTAGTGCATGCACTTCATGGGAGCCAAGAGACCTACTGGTCTTCAACTTCTTCAGATGCAGACCTTGCATATCCCTCTTGTGAGTTCTGGTACTGTTACTGATATTATTGGAGCTTTGCTATGGAAGCACGCAATAATGCTCTGATACTATCAGAGAGCAGGTCCTCACAACAAGAATATAAAAAGTATGCTCCCAGTGAAGGTGCAGACGAGAAGAGATCACAACTGGACCACCCTGGATCTCATATGGTCTGGTACAGAAGGAGGTCCATGGGGAGGGGTGACACCATGAGTCACTGTACTGGGTGACCCAACCCTAGTGACACACTGCTGCTTTCATGATGCATTTTGGTCCAAAAATGTATTTCCAGGAGTTTCCAATGCACTCTCAAGCAGTTGAAGATGTCAGTAGCACACTTCTGCATCACGCAGGGAATGTTGCCATAACAACCCGGAGCGTAAAGCAACATTGATGCTAATCCAACTTCACGGAAGCGAATGGAAAAATTCAAGTAAATAAGTGTTGTGTAACTTTTCAACAAATATGGCCAGTGTGAATGGACTATCCCAGCAATGACTAATAAAACCAAAAATGTGGATGGAAAGCTTTGCGGAGGGTCATAATATTTGTAGACAAGTACCTTGTAAAAGAGAGGCTGACACAGGTACAGTCTCCGGAACATTATCTTTGCTGTAGATTGTCTGTTGGAACTCTGGGGTGCAGTCATTGACATCTGTGATTTCAACCACCACCTGCAAAATATGAACGAAATCTCACAAAAAAAGACACGAAAAACCACAACGAACTAAGTACCTGCAAATACAATGTGCGTCATGGGAACCCCAATGTTTGCTTTAAAAATCCATCTATGCATTGTACAAAAACAATTTCTAGTTAATGTACAGAGAAAAAAAATCAATCAATTCTCTGCATCGTGCTCAGTGCCAACTGCATAGCTCTCTACGGTGATAATGCAGTGGCAGGGACTACAAGTGGTTCTCCTGCTCTGTCACAGCAACTACATTTCCAACCATGCTCAGACGACAGGCAACCCAAATGTTTAGTGGTTTCCTACATTTCCCATGATGCTCAGCCAGTAAAGTTTGGCTCCATGACAGACGTCGTGTCTGGACTATTATAATAATGAATGCTTTAAAAGGCATTATATATAGAATATATATTTTTATATCATCTTTTTCATTAACATACTGCTCAATATTCTCACACATTAGGTGAATTTTTCAAACCTTGCCCCCATACACAACAATTCTGATAAAATGACAACACTTCTAGAGGGGGCATTTTGTGTCTAGAACAATGGATCTTGACCTTGTCCGACAGAGACTTGAATTGCACACATGGCATTATCTTGGTGACATATACTTTATGCCTAGAAGTAGGTTTGGTGATCCATTTAAATATATAGAAAAACAAAACTTCTGCAGAATGGATGTCTTTCCAACATCAGATCTAATTTGCAACGAGGAAGACGAGGTTGATATAGTACATCAGTTATTATGGGTAGTTGCCTAGGGCCTTACCAATATGGGTCCTGAAAAAGAGGTGGAGAACATATCCCCATTTATGTACATGTACTCTGTGCTCACCTCTGTAATACTCTCCAGCTGCTCCAAGGTTTCTGTAGCCGCAACAACCAAGACGAACCGGTGCAGATCACTCTCAAAATCCACAGTTTGGGTTAGTGCCACCTCCCCAGTGACCGGATCAATATGGAATAAACCGTGGGGATTTGCAGACAAACTGTACGTCAAGGTCTTGTTTTGATGTGACAGAGCAGATACAGTCACCAACCTAGACCATGGAGAAAAGGTTATTCAGAACTCAATAGGCAGCTGTTTATAGACACCTCTCTGTTAGAAGGAACCTACCTTGACTACAAATGTGGATCTTCTATTTTTTTACTAAGATGTCATTGGGTAAGGTTTTTTATTTTTATTAATTTGTTGTTATTATTTGCAGGACAGAGTGAGACATATACTTCCAGGCCTGATACTTGTATCCTCCAATCAACAAGCAAGCAAAAGAGAACAATTCAGAATCCAGCCTACAGGTACCTGGCATGTAAATTCCTCTCGGATTGTCCTGAGATACAGACAAACATCCTAAACTTTGCATCCCATCACTGGCAGTTAATAGTCCCATCCTCGTTGAAAAAATATTTTCTCATAAACTAAATGGTTATTTCTTTTAGAGAGAGTAAAAACAAAACAGAGACAGCCTGTTCATGGAATTTACCTGTGTTTTGGTCTTTGTCACATGAACAAACTGGGAAATAGATAGATTAGCAGAACGTAGAATAACATTTCTATCTTATCTTATTTCCAACAGGCTGTACATTTCATATGTTTCTTAGAGAGAATTAATGATCCAGGTTAGATCAGCGGTTCTTAAAACTTATGATATTACCTAGAAGACTGGTTTGAAAAACATTAAGTAAAGAAAAAAACAATATTATTAAAGAGAAACATAATGGATTTAAACCAGCTTGAAGAAAAAAAAAAAAAAAAGAAGAAGGTAATTCTAGTCTACAACACACAAATGCTACACCAGCCGACAAGATCCAAAATAAGTAATGCAGCGAGGACTTACGTGAGCCCAGGTGGGGTCGTTTCTGGCACATGTACAATGTATGAAGCTTGTTTAAACTGGGGAGGTCTGGGACCTGTGAACACAGACACTGTGATTGGGGTACTCCTCATTCCAAATTTATCAGCAGCCTGCACAGTAAGTGTATACTCGTGGTCTTCCACCAGAGTCCCTCCAGTGGTTTGTATCCAACCAGTGTTCTGGTCAACAGAAAATCTACCTTCTCCACCTGCAATGTCAAAACAAACACAGCTTTATTGGAAAATATGGATAATTTGTCACTAAAGAAAACTGGGGCAATGTTCTAAAAGCAGAACTATATATGGGAACATTCTATTTGTTTCCATGGTGATAGCTCAACATTCATCACTTTACCCCAGAAATGTTTTTAATACATTACGCCCATTATACCCCTTGGTGAGAAAGGTTAAGAGTTTGCGATTATAAGAAAGTACTACAATAGTAACAGAAACAGACATATTAATAAAACACTGGGATTAAGCACGTCCCCTACCGCACTGTCCCAAATAGCAAGCTATGAATACTTTTGAAATGATTAAGAAAATTATTTTAAAGAGGATTCAGAAATTCCACAAGAATAAAGATACCAAACTCTATGTCCTACAGAGTCTAAATGTAAAAACAAAAATAGTACATTTTAGAGCTTCTTTAAGATCATTTTGAAAATTGTCCGTATTCTTAATGGCTAAAGTCCAAAACTAATTGTTCCTTTTGGACAAAAAGGTAAAAACCTCTACTTTGGATCTCTGGAGAAAATCACCATCTCGATAAGCTTTATCTCATGGGAGACATTTACAGACATCTAATCAGTCTACAGCCTATTTGTGTTGGTAACCATTTTCTTGGCCTAGTGAAGTTATGTTTTATAAACACCATTTTTCTTTTACCTTGAAGCAAAAAATATTCGATTTCTCCATTTATGCCTTCATCTTTATCAATAGCATGTAGTCTGTACACACGTGTCCTGGGTGGGGATGACGGTAACACCACCGCTAAGAAGGGAGATGGTTCCATTGTCCATTCGGGGTGTTCATCATTAACATCCATTATTGTTAGTGCCAGGTGTATGATGTACGAACCTTTCCCTGGTAGAATGAAGACGGAAAAAATAAAATTTAGCAATGATGAAAAAATGGGACTAATATTCAGTCAAGCAATAGATTCTACAAATGTGGGGCTCACGCGGACTGAGGTGAAGATCTACAGATTCCAGGCTTCTTGAGGCCAAATATTTTAAAAAAGCCTCTGTGTGTTCTTCACTAATTTGAGGATATTGTCTGCACTCATTAGGACAGCGTATATTATGGGGTTTTACAAGGTTCTCATGACCAGCTCAATTTAAAACTCCCTTGATATCTTAATGGTGAAGCGAGTTCTAAAATCAGATTTTGGAGAATAATTGCCCAATTTTCTGGGATGTTTGTGTCACAATATGGTTGACATGGTAAAAACTCTAAATTTGTACTTTTTGCTATCCACAATGGAAACATAAATAGGAATGATTTAACCGAAAATACTGGAAATGTTTTTTTACAATTAATCTGGGGGATGGAGTCACCCATCTCAATCCATATTGTTCATTTTGTGAACCGATCCTGTCTCCTTTCTACCTATTCCACTCCTGTAAAGCCTTTTGCCATTTTTAGCTAATCTGAGGCATTAGCTGTATTGGGTAAAATGTTTTGTTTAAATTGTGATCAGGCAATCGCAGCTCTGAATACCCTAACCTGGTTCAGCTTGTAGTGAAGTTTATCTGTTCTGCACCTTTGAGCGAGTACTTTACAGTGATCAAATTTAAAGGGACACTATAGACACCAAGACCACTTCATCTCATTGAAGTGTCTTTGGTGCAGTCCTCTTAGCCCTACAATATAAAACATTGCAGTTTTAGAGAAAGACTGCCTCTAGTGGCTGTCTACCAGACAGACAGAGGTATTTCTTGGCCTTTTACAGAATTTGACTCAGTGAAATGATGCTGGACGTGCTCAATTTTTGCATGGGGACGTTTAGCATCTTCTAAAGCCCATAGGAACGATTTGATTCAATCCTTTCCTATGGGAAGACCTGATGTGTGCAGTACTCATTGTGCATGCGCTTTGGGTCTTCCCATCAGCTGACGTTGATGGTGGAAGAGCCCAACCCAGCTCTGAGGGACATTGGCGCTGGAAAGAGGTTTTTAACCCTTTACATAGACAAGGGAAAGGACAGAGGGACTCTTTACTGTTAGGAATTTAACTTTTTAATGTAACAATACTCAGACACTTACAATGCATGATTTTAACATTAAGCATTCCCTTTACAAATGTCAACTTCAAAATGTTTAAACATCTGAACAACAATCTGAATAACCCTAAATTCACATGAGGGCAAACTTTGCTTGGCTGATAATATTGGGAATCAGAGTGCAAAACATCTTGGATTCATGTGACCCCCAAAAGGAAAGTAGATCGCCCCTAACCCTAGAAATTATACTAAAAAAAATATCAAGTCTCGGTTACTGGATGTCCCTTGCTGCCCTCAGTACGTTTATGAACATACAAGCGATTATGAAGATCTCTGTGTGAATGCTCTGCTCTTACGAACGTGGCGTCATCACGGCATTTTCATACACAGCACGGATGCCAATGTTTGAATGGAAATTATCAAAAGAACTTACATTTAGCAACTTTTTAATGAATATAAAAAAGCATTATCATTTGCCAGATGGGTTTAAAATCTGCGATTCTTCCCTATTGGCATATAAAGTGTTAATGCAATTACTTTATTGGTCTGTACATGTTCTTTAACTCCAACCCTGAGCTTAAAAACAAAGAGAGCCGTAGAAACAGCAGAGGCTGAAACATGCAGATGGGCTTTTAAAGAAAGCCTCATGCCTAAATCTTTAATAAGTCTATTTGGTGCCTAGGCTCGCCAAATGATTTGTGACGGAACCTTAGGCTATTGTTATTGTTCAGAACAACAGACAAGTTGCATCAGCGCAGCCAAAGTGCGCAAGGCGGCAAAAAGGCTAAAAGCGCGGATGGTATAATGGTGTTGGACTGTGAAGCAGCCTTACGGCTATGGCTCAAACTGCACTGGATTTGTTTGCATAAATTTAGAAATCAAGATTGCTTCTAGTTAAGATGAAGTAGCCTATTCATCTATCGTTTTCTAAACTAGCCATATCTACACAAATATCTGAAGCAGCAGATCACGTTGTGCGTAATCAGAGGGACTGGGGAACTCTGATAAGGGATAAACAACATTCTGTATCACAGGCTGCTCCAAGGAAACATTGTAAAGAATAATTGCATTAAAAAAAAAAAGCTTGTATTAGAATAAATTAAACGTTAACTTTAAAAAAAAAAAAAATTCTAGAAGATTATTTTGTCAAGCAGGGCAATGTATGAAAATGTATTTGTAGAATTTACAGTGGTTTTCGAGGTTTGTTAAATATTCTAAAATATTCCAAATTTTTGTTTCCCATCTAACTGGGTGAAACAGATGTGACATTCTCGACATTCTGTTTTATCTTACATTATAATATAGGTTGGATAACAGACACTGGTCCACCAAACTCAATATTTTGCACCATATTTCTCTTGTTGATCCAAAACAAGGCAAACGTATTAAATACAACTTTCTCTCTAAAAATAAAGTTGCAATCACACTACAAAAAGCTGTCAATATGCTGAATGTTGGCTATTAGATTTGATTTTCTACCTTGCCAAAAAAAAATATTCATATTATATTTATTATTTATAAAGCGCAAGTCTAAAATATTTTCTTGTCTATTGTACTGTCCTGTTCATGAACAGGTCACATTTGCATAATGTTATCACATCTTCTCTGAATATTATACCAATGTGCAAATTCTATCAAACTGACACCCCCGAAGAGGCGGAAGGAAGTGAGAAATTTGTAGAAAAAAGTTACTTCCCTGCCCATTGTTTCTAAATCCTTTCTTTGAGTGAGAAGGTGGTGGGGGGAACAACAAAAACAAACAAAAAAAAACAGTCCAGGTTTTGTGTAGATCTCTGTTTGAATATAACTGGTTAGTCCCCATCTACACAAACTGTTGAGAAAGACGGACTATATTAAAATATATTTAAAAAAATATATCATGTATAAAAAAAAAAAAAAATCAAATAAAAATATTACAAAATCACAGAGATCGCTCGATTATTTTGTCTACATATGCACCATTATTGTTTCTTTTTTGAACCATTACGGTTTTATTTTAGTTTAACTTTTGTGTAACGATCTGGATTTTAGCTCTTACAAGTACCTCCATTGTATTCCGTGTTTAGAGACGCGTCCCATTTCCTGTTGGCATAGGGGATTTCTGGCCCCTTACTTCTCTCCCCCCTCCCCCCACCGTACCCACCGACTACACACTAAGTCACATAACAACCAGCATAGTGGGTAATATCCTCTTTCAGAATCATATTTGATATTAAGAGGCACATTGCCTTTGCTACCGCTAAGCAGCTCACATATATACGGACGATATCCCATGCAGGGGTGGTGGAAGGCTTAGTTCTAGCTTATTATGCCAACTACTACTTTTAATAATGCCTTGCTAGTTTATTAACCTAATGTAACCTAGTCACCTTAGACATATATGCCTAACCGGAGTCTACTACTAAAATATAAAATGAGTGCTGTCATTTTGCAATGTCACACGTCTGTTCTACTATTACGGTTGGTGGGGCATTGAAGGCTTGTATGTTCCTCTTTATTCACTGCAAAAAATAAAGAATTTTAAATATATATATTAATGGTCTTTAAAACTTTTAAATTAAATTAAAAAGGAAATTTGGGAGGACATTTTATGCCAATAAAATAGGTCTCACTGTGTAACAAATAGTTGATTCTCTACCATTATAGTTAACCAATCACTCTCAGATCTCCTCTACATTATATATCTGTCTACAAATGGACTATTTTGTGTCCTCTAGATGTGCAGTTACAAAATGTTCTATCATTTACCTACAAGAGTGCAGGTATTCGTATTGCATAAAATAGATTCATACCAAGCCGAAATGTATTACAAATACTATCTGGATTAAAACACCTGTTTACAATTTCTTTCTTTCTCCATGATCGTGCAATGATCAATTAAAGGGTTACTCCAAGCACCATAACTACTTTAGTGATTTGAAGTGGTTATGGTGCGTGGGGTTGAATACAAGGAGAGGCAGACATTTGCTGCGAAAGGTGTAACTCCACATTCAGCAGTGTCATTAGACAGCCAGTCCCAGAACAAGATTTAGAAGACACCAATGTTAATTCTGTGCATAAAAGGCATTCGTTATCAGTACACATAGCAGGACCATGGCAACATAGCCCCCTTAAAGCGTCGCCCTAAGTCTTCCCTCAGCCCACCCTCTTCATGCAGTGAGGGGGGAGTGTCATCACCAGAACGGAGCAGGGAGAACTTGGTCTTGGCGTTGGATCACATGTGAGTTTTTATCAGCATGGGTTACTCCAAGCAAAAGCAGTGATTTATCAAAACACTATTTTTGGTTTGAGTAACCCTTTAATGCTTTTAGTACTAGAAGGGTTAATTTAATTTTTTTTAAATTAATACATTGCTTTTGTCTATTGCCCTCAAAAAGGTTTAACTTGATACATTTCATAGATCCTCATGGGAACGTGACAAGTCTTATCAATGCCCAGTCTGAATCTGATCAATATGAATATTTGGACGGGATGACTTCGGATCGCTGTTTGAAAATGACAGAAGACGATTCGTAGCTGAAATGTGAAGTGGCAGCATTGAATACTAAGTATACTGGATAAGACATTTCTGCACAAATCCTGACACGTGTTAAGCAGCTCCCCAGAACCGATACTACGCATTATTGCGATTATGGTGTAGTGTGTGAGACGATCAAAAAAAACCTTGGCATTTTGGGGTCACTTTCAATTTTCAATTACCCATAAACATTGTTACACAGCTCATACGCTCTGTGAATCAGGATGGTTTGTGTAAGAACACAAAGAAGGCTAATATATTGCTACATTTAACCCTTGTAATTAATTAGCCATGTGTCTACAGATTGATAATTATTCCTGCTATGTCTAAGAGAGTCTAGAGAACATAAAAAGAAAAATCGATTTAGTGTTTTAACATTTAGATCATGTGTACACTGTATGCAGGTAGTATATGTGCCCGTTCATGTACTCGCTTTTAGCACATGAAATCAAAGAATTATTTTTTTTTGCCATTAATTTAACACTAGACTAGAATATATGATCACACTGGGAAAAGCTATATATTTGTTCATTTACGCATGTTGTCAGATGCATAGAGCAATATTTGATAAATACTGTGCACTTTATACTTTTGCACTGGCTTCCCAGCCCTTTTGTGCGTTTGCAAAAGGCGCAACATATGTACTTGTGCTGGAGTTGCCAGGTCCATGGGTAAAAAAAATAAAAAATAATAAAGAAAAATAACTTTGTGCTCTATGTCCCTAGTGGAGGGACAATCAGGAACCTGGCTAAGGATTGGGATGCCATGAAAAGGAACATGGCTTGCTCACATGTTGGCTTCATGTTAGTTTTTTTTCTTTTTCTGTTTTCTTTAAATTTTTCATATTTGCTTTAATCATTAGATAAACTTCTCCTGACCAGTGATTTATGATGCTGTCTGAGACAGGTTTAACAAAGTTATCACAGCACTGTGCTTAGTTAGTACTGGCTCAGATCACAATATTTGGTTAATCGTTTCTCTCCCCGCCCCCCCCACAGCCCCTTGGTTAGGGGTATCAAAAACGCAATGAGCCTATTGGTGTTGTGGCGCGCCTGGAGAGAGCTGGTGTGTCACGCTCACTCACTGGGCGCCACGTGGTTCTTGGCGTCCAAGGAGTAAGGGACGTCCTTAACTCCCCTCCCGGCAACCAGCCAGATCTGCGGCTCTTCAGTTGCGCGCCGCACTCGCTCCCTGCCTGTTGTCCCTTGCGGTCATTCCACTTGGGTTGCGGCGTGCAGGGGAAGGGAAGCCTTGTCTGTCCTTGTTGTGGTTAACTCTCGTCTGATGGATCCAGTGCTGGACCATGTGGTAAAACATTTGCTTAGCCCGTTTAAGACTTTATATTATTTGCTTCTACCTGAATCATCAACCAAGACTTTATTTTGGTTGCTGGTCCTTTTCTTTGATTTTATACTGGGACTTTTCAGTTTAACCATTTGTCTTATCAATACAAACTTTAAGTTTAGTAACTGTGTTTGTCCACATCTCTGCATGAGCCCTTTCACCACAAACCCGTGACAATTGGTCTGGTTCTCTCTTTATATTTTGCAATTTTCGCTATTAGCTTATAACACAAGCACTCTATTTCAGTGATATCCAAGCTCTCGGCCTTAAAGGATCACTATAGGGTCAGGAACACAAACATGTATTCCTGACCCTATAGTGTTAACACCACCATCTATCCTCTCTGGGCCCCTCATGCCTCTATAAATATAGCAAACTCTTACTGTATTCAAGCCTGAAGCTGTAACTCTGCATGCTGTTAGACTCAGAAAAAAACAAGCAGTCTGCTGACATCATTAGAAGTGGTGGCATAATGCAATCACAATGCTTCCCCATAAGATTGGCTGAGACTGACAAAGAGGCAGATCAGGGGCAGAGCCAGCATGATTCAAACACAGCCCTGGCCAATCAGCATCTCCTCATAGAGATGAATTGAATCAATGAATCTCTATGAGGAAAGTTCGGTGTCTGCATGCAGAGGGAGGAGACACTGAATGTTTGGATACATTTTAGGCAGCCATGACCCAGGAAGGATCACTAACAGCCATCTGAGGAGTGACCATTGAAGTTATCACTAGGCTGTAATGTAAAAACTGCATGTTCTCTGAAAAGACAGTGTTTACAACAAAAAGCCTGATGGTAATGATTCTACTCACCAGAACAAATTCAATAAGCTGTAGTTGTTCTGGTGACTATAGTGTCCCTTTAAATCAGCATTCCATTCTTGAGGGAAAACTACAACACCAGTGAGTGTAACACTCATTACATGTGTCATATCTCTAATGTTCTGTGACTTACTTGATATACTTATTTCATATTGACTTTTTGTGTTTCACCAAAAAATACCCATATTTACACACTTTGGGGATGCATGTTAAATGGCCTGAAAACATGTATTTTTCATAAACCTCTTTAAATCAAATAACAGCCTGGCAGCCAGAAGCTGTAAACTACTTAGTTGTATGAAATGTTTACGCTCAGAAACCTTTTGATCATTTCTTAGAAAATTTTGTACGGTACAATGTTTTGATCAGAAGAAGAAAAAAAACAAAAAAAACCTCACTGACTGTAGAAAACGCCAAGATGGATAACGAGTTTACTTGAATCACTAACAACACTTCACAAAGCAACATCGTGTGTTTGATTTAAACAAATTCCAGAATCAACATCTTTTGTCTAAAGCATTCGTAGGAGGCATGTGGTGCGGTATAAAAGGAGGATGGCTGTTTAATTTGGTATTACTGGAAGCAGCGCAACACGAAATGAAATCTTTCAGCAGAATCTATTATGTTAAAGGGACAGTAAGCATCAAAACACATGTAGCATATATATGAGCTCTACATCTAATTATTTTCAAATAATTCTTGTATATCCAAGATTTAGCTCGCCACTCTTCTCAATAACGGAAATTAATGAGAGAGGAGGGTGAATCTCACATGGCTTATTTACTAAAATGAGAATTCAAAGTAAATTCAAAATGATTTTTAAATTCAGGGCAAAATAGCCAAACTCAAAAAGTTCTCCAAGTCAATTGTGCTTTCAATTCGACTACTCTGGCCTTAAGTTTGAAATTCAACATGGATTCTCACTTAGTGAATAGCCCACCTCTTTCAGGGTAAAAGTGTAAACCGAGTGGACTTTCAAAGTAAATTTCGTAAATGGTCGGCCAAAATTGAGAGATTTCTCCAAGCCAGTTATGTTTGCCGGTGGCCGATTTTCACGTATAACTTGAAATGCACTTTGAATTTCCAAATCAGTTTGGCCAGTTAAATGCAATAAGGAAAATTTGGTAATTTGTTGATAAATCTGATCCAGAGAGGTTGTGATCGATTAAGCTGGACTGCTTGACGCACAGTATAAAGCCTTTTTTAAAGCAAACTGTTAATGCAGAACGTGTTGTCAAAAATCTGATATATAGGATTGTGATCTTGTAAACATTGTTAACCGCTCGTTTGCAGCCATTAACATGTCCATAATTAACAAGTGATGAAAGTTGGCATATTAAATGACATAACCAGAGCCATATTGCCTATAAAGCAGCTTAGGTGACCATCTAGGGCCTGGGCTTAGATAGGAACCTAGAGCTCTGTCCCTGGGTGTAAGGGAACATTCATAAACCTCAGCCCTGCCCCCCCCCCCACCATCATACCACGAGGGAGCTTTGCACCTTGATTGGGTGTAGGTCACTTTAGTATCGCCCTCCCAATAGCCCACCACTTCTCAATGACTGTGTGCTTCAGCCAGTGCTCAGAGTCATTGACTGAGCACCAGAACCCCAAGGATGCTTTTAGAGTGACCTGCAGCCATTAGAGGTGCAGACCACAATGTTTTTTTCTCACCGCCATCAGAAAACCAGGTTTCTGCACAGAATGGACCACTAGTGGTAACCTCCTTACAAAGGGTAGGCAGGAGAGGGGGGAAATCAATAGGACAAAACAAAAACTTCCCTTTCTCAACACACTCAGACACTACACACACACATATACAACTGCTCAACCACACTCAGACACTACATACACACACACACACACAACTGCTCAACCACACTCAGACACTACATACACACACACACACACACAACTGCTCAACCACACTCAGACACCTCACACAAATTTTAGCCACCACACACAACACTCAACCAGTACGTACAGACACAGCTCTCCTACACAACTCTCACAGAACAAAGTCCAGGGCTCTAGGAGGGGGACCCAATCTCACATCCTGCCTAGGACTCTGGGCAACCTTAATCCGGATAATGGCATAACCATTTGTTACATTAATATTACCTGAAAGAAGGGAACTTCTAAACATTTTATGACTTCAGTTTATTAAGTTTCCTGGATAAAAGGTGGTTTTAGTAAAAGATCAGTCAGGGTATTGGGTGTGGAAGCTCCTACAATTAAATCAAGGGAATAATTTATTTGGCAGAGAGAGACAATGAATGGGTTTTCTAAACCTTTGGCTGTTAAGTAGCGTTACGAGAGAGTTAATACAAGATACATTTTCGATATGTATTTGTTACCTGCTCGGAGCATATAAGAGGTTGGTTTGTAATTGCTGACTGTGATCATGTCATGACTTCTAATACATTAACAGATTCCCCTTCAGCTCGTCAGACCACTAAAAGCACAAACAGCTCTGTGCATACGGAAACCAAGGAGATATAAAGAGATATAAAGAGTTCTCAGTGTGAGATCCACACAACATGCTCCTCTTCTCTTTGATTTTAATGAGCAAACCAACACAAATATGATGCAGCTTTAACTGAATTTCCTCCTAATTATTTGTGTGCTTAAAAGAAATAATCTACAGTGGATATTTATTGAATTGCTCTGCATGCAATATATTTGCAATATGTTTCCATTTCGAAGCACAATACAAGTCTACAAGAGGCACGTCAGGTATACTTTGGGACATTAATGGCAATTAAGGTGACGCGACGCATTTTTCACAAAAACCAGGCTACAAAATTTTGTGAAGAGAGAGAGAAAAAAAGAATTTAAATACATTTTAAGCAATGGAAAAAGGAAAAATAAATAAATAACACAAAACCATTAAGGAGCCAGAGTTGAACTGACAACACAGGTCGTTTAATGTGATGTAAAGCAGGCAGAGCCCAAATATTTGCAGTACTTATTATAAACATTATGAACACGCTCTGGCTACATCGATCTCATTTATTCAGCCTAAAGAAAAAGTCCACCCGATTTCAGCGCCCATTTCTTCCATGGAAGTGGGTTTTAGTAGTCTCCCTTAAATGGACACTATAGTCATCCAGACCTCTTCCTTTTAACCCTGCATTGTAAATCATGACAGGTTTCTGTTTGTTTGTTTTTTTGGAAACTGCACCGTTTACATTGCAGGGTTAAAGCCACCTTTAGTGGTTGTCGTCATACTGACAGCCAACATAACTTCACTGCACTAATCGTGTAAAAATGTTTATAAATCAGGTGATGCGGAAGCCCATAGGAAAGCATTGAATACAATGTTTTCTTATCTGGAAGCTTGTATGTAAGTGCGGCATTTGCTGCGCATGATCAGTAGATCCCTAATGCTCCACTGTGAGCAGTATTGTATTGGACCATTGTGGAGGGGACCATTCCGTCACTGGAGGCGGAGAGAGCCGTTCCCGAGGGAGAAGAGTTGCTGGAAAAAGTAATTAAAATGTGGTCTGGGCACACCTGAAGGTTTCTTTGAGAGGCAGTCTTCATTTGGAGTGCAAAATAAAACACAATATTTTGACTCCCTTTAGCCTTTGTCAAGTCTGCTGGTGCTGGAAACAGCAGGCAAAACTTTGCATTTTTGAAAATATTTATTGCGAACAAGGGGAAGACCGATATAGATTAAGTGACAGAGATAGGTTTGCATCGCTAATGCTATAGTGTTCCTTTAAATTACATCTTTGTCTGGGACCCCTTTTAAGGAAATCTAGTTATTATTCAAAACCCAGGACTGCATGATTCAATGAACCATTTTTTATTGAATATATGATACCCCTTTTCCGAGGATCTCCTGACAGACACATTCCAAGACTGCAGCCATGTTTAAGCACTCTTTGTTTAGAAGTACCACTTTAAATTATTTGCAAAAATGAAAACATTTCTTCATGACTCAGAAATGGCAGTCAAATTTCAACTTGAAGTCAATCTCATAGTTTATCTGAGCAGATACACTTAACATGATCTTTCATCCACAGCACCATCAATAATGGGGAAAAAAAAGCATGTAACTTCTCACGGATTAGACAATTTATAGAGTAATGACAGTTCCATTCCAGTGGGGAGTATCCGACTCATTAAAGTCTAGGGACCACCAAGTCTGAGCACGAGAATGTACCTTTATAGCACAGTACAAAAATGGAAAATAGTCATTCTTCCAACAACAAAAGAGTAAAAAAAATTTTAAAAAATTGTTATTCTCAGATTTATACATTATATCCAACTAGTCTTTTATTTTTTTTTTAAGAGAGAGTTTGTCTTTTTTTTTTTTACTTGGAGAAGTATTTTCAATTTATCACCCATGACGTCTTAACGTAACAAGAGAAAGAAAGCTGGCGCCCACCAGAGGGTGACTTTTTTTTATGACCTCACAGGTCGCTCATCCCAAGGATAGGACGCACACGCAGCTAGACTGAATTGCAACTGCCCAACAGGCTTCTTTGAAAATAATTATTAAGGACATAAAAGCCAATGCAGTAAATCCTTTGGCTATTGCCAAATGTCTTGGGAAATTGAACTGTCAAGTACGGTTGTAGAAGTGACATTACAGACAATTCCGGTACAGGAGATGGGACGACGAGTGACAGCTTTATTTCCAAGGAAACATCTGCTCACTTATCAAAGTAAAACATCTTCGAGACATCTTTCTTGATATGCGGTAGAGAATGCATGACCCAACACCAGGAAGTTTAAGCGGCCCTAGAACCTCGCAAAAGTAGATGTCAGCCATCACAAGATTCCAAATAGAATGTTTCCCTTTAAATCCACAAAGAACGATACGGGTGGATTAAAACAGAACCCCCCAGTTCGTGTTTGGGTTTCTGGGACCGGGGGCATTTTTACAAAGCGTTTTCTCAGCTGCCATTAAAAAGAGACTGTGAAAAGATTAATGATTCTGCATCGCCAGTTCCACGCAGCGTTTCAAACTAAAATCATCAATAGAACAACAAACGCAAAACAGAAAAGAAAATACGTCTCCAGCTGAACTTGTAATGAAAAAGCAATTTGCTAACAGAAAACACAAAATGCAATTTTTCTTCTTGTTTTTTGTATTTCTTTAGAGGTTTTTAATGGGAAAACAGAAGGGGGAGGGGGGCTGAGATGCTGTATTTTGTGATCAATATGAGCCCCCATCTTTTAATACACATATATTTATGTTTCTTCATTCATTAGCATACAAGTCAGGGAACGCATAATACAGAAATAATTAAATATAGACTTGGACACGGTTATTGACTAGAGAGGGTTGTCAGGTATTCAAAGTGAATTTAAATTCTAGGCTAAACTGGCAGAACTGTAAACATTTGCAAAGTCAGCTACGTTTTCAATTTTCCTTTTTCACCTTCAATTTGAAATGTATTTTTAATTCCTGAAAACTCACAGTTTAGTAAATAACCCTGCTAGTTCCCTACGTCAATAGGCAATACAAGGCAAATCAATCTCCTGCTGCTTGTTGAGCCAAGAGTTGAAGATGTGATTAAGAGAAATCTAAACTATGCTGTGATCAGCAATTACAAGCCAGACATGGACAGAGTGAATGTTTGTCATTCTTCTTTTCAATGGCGATCGTTCCCTTATTCACTCACTATTTACTGGAATATTGGAAAGTTTTAGACATAATATAGTATCATTTATCTTGCAATCCTTCAGGCACGGTCGAAAATATTAGTGGAGAAGCAGGTATGTTTTTGTAAGATGTAGCGGTGACCAGGGGCAGATCCAGAACCTAGTCTCTGGAGGGGCACTGGTGGGACTGTAGTAGGGTGAATAGAGGGCTATAGTATGGGGATTAGGGGGCTGTAGTGAGCACTGACAGGGGACCTAGTTGGAGCTGATAGGGTCTCTAGTGGGGGGGGTAGAGGTTAAAGTATAAAAAAACAACAACAACAACATTTTTAGGAAACTGGAGGTTGAGGAAAATCTCTGATCTACCCACTGACCGACCATGGAGTCTCCTGTACAGAGGCCAGCCGGGGAGACAGACAGCCTTAACTTGGCTTTTCCAGGAGGAGTACTTGCCTCAGAGGCAAAGAACTACAATATTTTTTTTATTTTTTTAAATAATGCAATAAATCTTTGTGGGTATTTTTAAAGGAGCTTGTATGCATTTCTAGGAATGTAATGTCCTAAAACATTTTTTTTAAAAAGAAGGAAAAAACAGCCACCACAATATAAAAACAATGACTGAATTTGGGTATAACACTTCTATACATTAAGCACAATCACACCGAGAATCTTTGTGCAGCCTGCAAAGAATCCCTACAGTGTGTTTACATTGCGTCCTCTGCCTTACTTCAGTCATGAAGTTTAAACCAAAAAAGCAGCTGAAGAAACTCCACCATTTACAGTTCTTCTGCAGAGATGCAGATAATGGAGCCTGCAGAGAAATGTGTCCTCTGCAGCTTGTGAACTAGTGCTGGAGTAAAGATATGTGCAGCTTAATTGCAGAAAATGTAAGTTAGTATCTGCATACATATTACAGAGAGATATACGATTAAAACATGAAAATATAACATCTACGAATATCAGTTCCTGTTACATTTATTAGCTCTTGAAAACCAGCACAGCTTCCAAGAGATCACATTATCAAATAACATTCCAGACGCAAGCCAAAGATTCTGACACATGAACAGTTTAAAAAATAAAAAATAAAAAAATAAAGAATAAAATGTGTGGATGCTAAGGTTTTAGGAATTAAATCTTAGCCCGATAAGGTTTGTTTAATATAGAACGCAGGCTACAAAACTTGAGTCTGCCCGGAACGTTTAGAGATGTGCAGGAAAAGAAGATTATCGAGACACAATATCAGCTGAAATCTGTTGATCCAAAAGTGTTAGTCATAATCCGCCAAGAACCAATATTACCGCACTAATCCAGATCAACCAGAGGAAGTCGGCCTTAAAGCTGTGTTAATTACATTGTATCAGACTATCATTCAAATGTTCTATAATCACATTTATAGTGAAATATGCCCTCATTAATTGGAGTGCAACATCTTGTTTTATCTTCCAACTTCCATAAAACTCCATTATGTACAATGAATTTCTTTTTTTTCCGGATTAGTTCTTGGTTTGCCAAGTACTTCTAGGCTCCCTTTACTGTGCTGCAAATCTATAAATTAAACATGATTAGCATACAATTATTATTTTGCTCTCATCGCCCCAAACATCTAATACCTCCACTGCCTTCTGATCTTTCAACCCCAGTTACCAGCTTCACACTTAAACACTTATCAGCAACAACATTAAAACCATTGATGGGTGAAGTGAATAAAATTAAATATATCATTACAATTGTTGTGGCGCCTCCTCTATACCACCAACTGGTGCATGACTCAACATATAACTCCCTTAAAGGAGCTTGATCCCAACCCTGACATTTCCCTGTACCCTCCATGCTCATGTAGCATAGAGCGCTCACTTTCCATCCCTGGGACTGCTCTAGGGTACCGGGGCAGCCGCAACCCTTTCAGTGGGATCAAGTGCAACCACCTCGAACGCTAACTAGGCTAAGTGCCAGGAGCCTGCCCGGTGCAACTTCGGATTGTTCCTGTTACCCAAAAGAGCACTTTTTGGACGAACCATCAATGCTCACTGAGATCCAGGTGGAGCCTCTTCTCCAGAGCCAGAGAATCCTTTTTTCGAGCCTGACTCTTATCCGTGACAGCCTGGAACTCTGTGCAGGATCGGGAAATAGCCACAGTCTGGTTAAACTTCACTCACCAATTTCTCAGGCTCTGTACATTAACCCTGTCTGGGGATGCATAACTTGTTCATGTATGGTTATGAAAATTTATTATTTTTTTTAATGTATTAATAAAGTCAGTGCTAGATCATTGAATTAACTCTTAGACACAGGGGTGCGAGGGAAGTAACCTATTTTCCCAGTTGATGACTCCCAGTTGTGATTGTCCCTATAAATATGCATGCTTGGTGACAATAAATATTACTGTTGTATCCTTCACAAAGAGTCATCTAACAGAGGTACTCAGCCAGAGTACTGGGCTTCGATGCAACAATGGCACCTGTCAGGGGGTGGCATATATTAGGCTGTGTTGGAAGCAGAAAAAAAATAGGCAAGCAAAAAGATCTGAGGGACTTTGACAAGGGTCATATAGTGATGGCTAGACGACTGTGTTAGAGCATCTCCAAAACTGCAAGTCTTGTGGGGTGTGCCAGTATGCAGTGGTTAGTACCTACCAAAAAAGAGATGCGAGGAAGGGCGCAATGGGCACCCAATGCTCATTGAAGCACATATGGAGGAAAGGCTAGCAGGTCTGGTTCGAACTTCCACAGCTCAAATTGCTGAAAAACTTAATATTGGCCATGATAAAAAGATGTCAGAACACACAGCGCATCTCAGTTTTACGCATATGGGGCTGCATAGCTACAGACCTGTCAGAGTGGCCATGATGACCATTGGCCACCACCAAAAACATTCCAGACAGAACTGGACCTGAAAGCATTGGAAGATGGTTGCCTTGTCCAATGAATCGTGTATTTTTGTAAATCAGGTGGATGGCCAGGTGCGTGTGCGTCGTTTACCTGGGGAAGAGATGGCAGCAGGATGAACTATGGGAACAAGGCAGGCCGGTGGAGGCAGTGTAAGGCTCTGGGCCTGCTGGGAAACCTTGAGTCCGGTCACTCATGTGGATGTTACTTTGACACGTACCACCTACCTAGTTGCAAACTGTGTACACCCCTTCATGGCAATGGTGTTCCCTGATGGCAGTGGCCTCTTTCGGCAGGATAATGGCACCTTACCACACTGCAAAAATATTAAACATAAAAAGTTCAAGGTGTTGCTTTGGCCTCTAAATTACCCAGATCTCAATCCAACTGAGCACCTGCGGGATGTGCTGGAACAACATATCTGGTCCATGGAGGCCCCACCTTGCAACTTGCAGGACTTAAAGGATCTGCTGCTAATGTATAACATAGGACACATTCAGGTCTTGTGGAGCCCATGCCTTGACGCCTCAGAGCAATTTTGGCAACACAAGGGGGAGCTACATGATATTAGGCAGGTGGTTTTAATGCTGTGGCTGATCAGTGTATACTTGTGAGGTGTGAAAAAACAAAATGTAGAAATCCATGTCTTTTTGAGCTACAACTAGAAGCCTCCATCTTGCCTCCCTGTTAGTCTTTGTTATTAACTATGTCCTTTGCACCTGGCAGTCAGCATAGGGAAAGTATAGAGAGTAGAGGAAATATGAAACAAGTTTCCTGTTTCTCCCCCTCATTTGCATTATGTGCCCTGGCATAAATAAGGTGATAATCAATGCTTTATTTTTGAAATTTAATTTTAAGAGGGGTGATGCTTCCTCGTTAGGGGAGGAATGGATACTCCACTGCCCAAACACAAAATAAATATCAGTGTTTACTAGACGTGCCCCAAATGAAAATGTTCATATGTTTAATTATGCATTTTTCTCATTGAGGTACATCTAAATACAGCTTGCAAGAGTTGCAGTTTGGTCTTTGCAAGCCCTCCCCTTCTACCGCCACACAGACTTTCTGTGACTGTCCAATCACAGACTTCCTAATTCAGGTCAATGAGAAGTCTTTGCAAGGCAGGTGCTCTGGGCAATTGCTGACTCTTGAATTTGGCTCCACTGAGTGCAAACCAGGAAGTAACAGGACCTGTTGTCTGCTTGAAAGCCAGAAGAGTTGGAACCAGGTTAATTCATAAATCTGTCAATTTCTACTGAAATCTGAACTTTTTGCAAAATGGAATAAATAGGACACACTCTTTAAACATGAAGCTTTTCAAAAAGCTACAGTGCTTTACGGGTCTGGAGTGTCACTTTAAGTAATATTTATAGAAACAAGGAGGAGAGCTAACAAGTGATCATCTCGCGCATGGGCAATATGTTATCAAATGCATCTATTACGCTTTTTGCAAGAATCAGCACCTTACAATATTGATATGGCTGGGTGCGGTGGTGGAAACTCTATTCTTTGCTGCCTTAGACAAACATCTGGTCCTACATGAGATGATAAAAAACCAAAAGCAGCCAATAGCTTTTAAAACCAATCTACCTCAAAGTGACAGTGCCATTGTAACGTCACCACCTGCACACTTGATATTGTTCTCGTGCATCTTGACACCAGTTTCAAATCCACTTCTTCAACATCTCTTCCCTACCTGCACATTCCCGGCTTTCTACAGGAAAACTCTATTATTTTGCCCTCTGCCCCTCTAATTACTGGATTACTTGTAAACGTGACTATATTGCAACAACCTATTTTATATCATAATAGCTCACTTTCACCCCATGCTATCTGGGTTCTTTAACAGAATGATCTGAGAAGGAAGATATATTTAAAGAAATACTCCAAACACCATAACCACTACAGAGCGCTGTACTGGTTTATGTTGGCAGGGGTGCCCCGGTGCCCCTTCACTGCAGCCAGAAGCTCCCCAGTTCTTGCAGTGCAGGCGTAGCTCATTGGCTGAGTGTAATCAGCTGACATTCTCCGCTAATGAGCCGGCCCCGAAGCAGAGTTTAACTCCAGAGAGCTATTGGTAGCTCCTGAGCTGAAGCTTCTGGTTCACCTGGAGGATACAGAGAGTGGCGTTTGGCAGAACCCAGGTAAGAAGTCAAGCCATTCTAAAACAGTCTGACCACTTAAATTGCAGGGGTCGCCACGGGGCTACTGGAAGCATAACCCCTTAAGTGAGCTGTTGTTGTGGTTATGGTATTGTTATGGTATTTGGAGTGTTCCTTTAAGTCTAATGGGGGTAGGTAAGTCTTGTTACAAAACAGACACCAGGGGAGAACAAGAGGTACAGCTTTGACTTAAGGATTAGTGCCACAACTTACCCACAATGCCCATCAGGCCATAGCTGAACCTCATGCACGCAATTAAATGCAGACGCCAAAATAAACCAATAGACCTTCATTCACTTCAGCTGCTAATCATTTTTTCAAATATATAAATTTTTAAAGCCACAGCCTTTACAGCCTGTGCTGGAAGGCTGTTCCATATATCCACTACCTTGCTTTCAATTACTTTCTCAAACAGCCCCTGAATTAATGTCGAGCTACACTGGGTGTTTCTCTCTCCATCATGTATAACAAGCAGACAATATTTTTGTAAGGATGGGAGTTCCTGAAATGTTATGATTTAGGGTACAAAAACAGGCCCATAAGATACAGTGAAAGCATTATATAAGAGGGGATTATTGTACTAACGCTATGGATGAAAATGGGTCAAGCAAAACGAGCCTTATGTGGGATTAGACAAAAACCACAATCTTTTTAGACACTTGGTGCAAACAGAGAGCCAAGGGACATTTTCTTCTTAAAATTAAAAACAAACTTAATCTTCTGCTGGTTACAGAAATACAATTTATCAATCTCTTTTGCCTTGCAGTTACATGTTAAAATATTCCAGCAAAAGTGAGATTTTGTTAAAAAAAAAATCTGCTAGGGTTAAAGAAAAGTCTGCAAAATGACCTTGTGCTTTTCATTTGCATATTCTGACCAGATTGAAAGACAGTTGTTCAGGCAGAAACATCTGTCAGTCCTCTGGTTAGAATGACAGAATTTGGTTATTCCGTTAACTCGTTGTACTATGTGCAATATCAGCAGAGAGATCTCCCTGGAAAAGATTAACAAGCAAAATGCCATTTTATTAAAGGTCATCAGTTAATCTTCATTGGGACAGAGGCAAACCAGGTGTCGCGTGCTGCCATACCCAACCCAGTCATCTTGGCACACCACACGATTTAGATAACTCATAATTTAGCTCCTTTAAGGATACTGTTAAAACCTGAATTCCTTGAGGTCAGGATTGGGAAAACTGGTCTAGGGTAAAGTAGGGTTATTAATAAGGCCAAACCAGGAGTAGAAAAAAAAAGTGGAGCAGTGGGTAGGGAGATTCTCTTGGTTTCCATGATGACTGTGCCACTTTAAAACTTTCTGAAGAAGGCCAATGTCCACCTTTGCATACAGATCATACTGGGCAGATCAGGATTGGGTGTTTTGAACATTGAGGGAGGGCTGGCATCTGTTAGCTATGGGGTAATTACAAATTAATTGTGCCAGTCCAGACCTCGAGAGCATTGAGGTCTAACATTGAGATGTTAGCCCAGGAACCCATACACACAACCCACACAATGCAGGGCTGGCAAATGCCCTACACAATTCCTAGTTGCCCCTCTAGTCCTGCAGTGCTGTGCCAATAGAGATCATAAAATTGATTATAAATATTATAGAATGGTGCGGAGAAACAGAGGTCCACAACCCTTGTATTTGCCATTGCTCCCCTGCCCAGCCCTTCCCTGCTGCTGAGGCATGAGGGCAGAAATAGACATTGTTATATTTTGTCATTTGTTTGGTTTTAACCTTGAGTTTGCCATAAAAGTGAGACTGTTTTGTGAGAAATGTTTCATACAGAACAGGAAGTATCCACAAATTAAGTATCCAGAATCAAGCTAAGACTGGCATACTGGCACACTCTATGGCAACAAAGCTTTCCAATTAATATATTATATCTCACATCACATCCCACAATATGTGCACCCTGTGCTGGCAAGCTCAAAGAGCCAACACATTCTACAAAATATAGTATAAATGTTAGTGGCTTTCCTTATTTTACCTACGCAAATACAAAATCCTTCTAGCAGCACCCAGCAACAAAAAAAGGAAGCCATTTTGCTTTTCTAGCAGACATCTTAACATATTACTTTTTTGTAACTCTGGTGTAAAGTATGGTAAAACCTGTGAAATAATTACTTAGCCTCTTTTTCTGCGTCTCATCGCTTTTTAGGTCACACACACAAAAAAAGTGTGTTGCGGTTTTAAAGGTTGTAGTCTATTAAAAAAGTTGTAGTCTATTAAAAAAGTAAAAGTAATCTTGTCTGTTCCCACAATACTTTGATTTTACCTTTGACTATTCTTAAAGCATATATACTCGCGTTGATACCAAGACAGCATATACAAACACAAAGACAACATATTTAAACATACAGAGATAAAATTATATATATATATATTTATGCAAATTAACCACTGATACCTACTTGCTATTACTAACAACACTTATCTTCATTCCTGATACAAACTGATTAACTGTTAAGGTCAAGGGATTATTACATTAACATTTGAAAGCCAATAAAATATTTTAGGATTAATTGCTTGCTTTTAAATTAACATGATTAAATGACCACAAGGGCACAGCATCTTATTAAAAATGCTTAAAATTTCATTCAGTTCCTTAAATACCAGCAGGAAGTAGTCTAGAAGCCATAAAACATTGTACAAGCACTGTCTGCATTCTTACCAATTCTGTCCAACACTTTGATGAGACACTCATAGCTTGCTGTGCGTTCTCTGTCCAGGGTCCTGAACACTGTAACCTCTCCAGTCTCTCTGTTCACTGCAATAGGAGAATCCCCAGGACTTGTGGAAAGCAGTTCAAAAACTGATAAATTGTATTCTCTGGGGATCAACGTTGTGACCAAGGAGCCCACAGGGGCATCTTCAGGTATGGAGATGGCATAGTAAGAATCAGCTGTTGACCTCTTGATTTTAAAATGTCCATGATATGCATCCCCTTTGCTGGGCAAAGAAAACTTCTTCATCTTGGGACAGATCTGCACTTCTAGAGGAGCACTCACCAATGGTGGTTGGCCATGGTCTCTGGCAAAGATGGTTAAGTTAATGTTCTTCTTGAGGTCCAGAATGGACTTCACCAAGACCACCTGACCTGTCTTGGGGATGACAAAGAAGTAGCTGCTGGTGGGATCTGCAAAGTAGACCAGGTCTGCGTTGGAGCCATGGTCAGGGTCATAAGCACTCACCTTGTGGACCACAGACTTGAGCCCTGTGGTTTCATCTAGGCTTATCTTGGAGAGGTTGAGGCTGGTGGGAGTAAACTGAGGAGCGTTGTCATTCATATCCAACACGTGTATGGTCACCACAGCCAATTCTGTGACAATGTTCTCCTGGGAGATACATAGTTTGCAACATAGACCCAATTTAAAGAGATACCTGGACCTCTCCTCTCTATCCAAGACCTGTGTGGTCTTTAGAGACAGTTGAGTAGACCTGTGATGAAAGTAGACCTCAAAACGAGACTTCTCCTCCCCCAGGAGTTGCAGGTGGAGTTTGCGTCCTGCTACATTGGAGCACCAGGGTTCGGGGTTAATCCTGTTCAGATGGATGTTCAAACCATTGACTTTGGTGCCAACTGGCCAGTTCTCCAGCACTGATCCAGAAAAGACAGGTATTCTGAGTTTTGTTCCTTTACTCCAAGAAGAAGCTGGGGACAAGATGAATGCCTGTGTCCAGTGTAAGATGCAGCACAGCAAACTGACTCTATCCATCATTAGATGCATCATTCCCCAGGGAGAAGATAGAGAAATGTATTGGCAAATCAGAGCATCTTTTATCCAAGCATTTCAGCGCATCTGTTTGCCTCTCTGCACAGAAGAGTGTGTGAGCCGGCTACAGTTTAATGCAGAAAGCTAGAGATTTGGTCAAGTTGCTGGGTTGAAGTGCCCCTCCTATGGGTGGAGAAATATACTGTCTGTAGCCCAGACATGAAAAGGGGGCTGTAGGTTCCAGGGAGAGGGGGTTAACATGCCTCATTAAATAGAAGAGGAGCATTTGATTCACTGATCTGTTAATTCATGGAGGTAGGGATTTTTTTTAACCGTATTATTCCAAAGCAGAAACTATTCAGCTCCCCCCACATTCTCCAATCCCTCTAGGTATAAATTAATGCATATTTCTCAGTCCTGAATATTTTTAAATTTGTATCATATATTAAGCAGTAAATGGCAGTTAGAGAGTACAAAAATTAAATAAAAACATATTAACCTTTGCAGTACCAAAGTTAGTCTTTGTGGTACTCAACAGGTTAAAAACATAATTACAATTTGACAATCTAAATTAAATGGAAATAATGTATTTGTGAATCTATCCATATAACGAGGAGGGAATCAAAAATACAGAATTATAAAATACAGCATGAGGTGTATTCGCTAAACCTGTGGTGCCCAAAAGGTAGATCCCCATAGAAGAACTACAAATCCCATGATGCTTTGCATGCCTTTAGAATGACAGCACATCTGGGGGTCTACCTTTCAGGTACCCCTGCACTAAACATTTTTGATGAGAGTCAACTGAATATGAGAACAAATCTAAGATAGATACAGTGAGGCTTATTCACTAAACTCTGGGTCGAAAATTGAAATCCCAATGGCAAGTTTTCAGGGGTAGGGAGCCTTTCGCACTCCAGCTGTTGTGGACTACACCTCCCATAATGCACTTACAGCCATAGTGCTGACAAGGCATTAAGGGTGATGTAGTCCACAACATCTGGAGTTCAAATGGTTGCCTACCCCTACTTTAGACTCAAATAGCCCATCAGGTATAATCAGACCTTCATTATTTTAACGTCATTGTTGTCATTTAGATTTTAGTTTGCTGCATTCTGGATTTTAAGGAACAAAACCAACGTTTGGCTCAGGCTCAGCCAGGGTATATGGTTTTGGCCCACATTTAACGAGTTTGCCATTCCGCTGTTTAGTGGATAGACCCCCAATGTTTAAAAAAAAATTTGGGTTTAAAAAAAAAAAAAAATACAAAAACAAACTGGCAGCTGTAGCTGTTATCTGTGTCCATACTCTGAGACAAAGGGGTATAAGCACAAACTGTATAGGAGGTAAAATCAAAAATACTAAATTAATATTAAAAACAGTAAAATCTCAAACTCTGCTAAAATCATAACTCGGCATTTCTACACTCCGCTTTGTATTATACAATAAAACAAAAAAAAATGAACTCCATGTCAACTGGCAACAAACTAAATTAAACTAAATAGTATCGTCGATTTAAGACTTTTTTTTTGTAGACAATATAAAAAAAAATAAAAAATATATAGCGTGTATAATTTTGGCCCAACGGATAAAAGCCATAGATATGTCTTGTTATATGCCGTCAAATGCAGAAACATAAATAAGACTTAAGGACGCAACCTTTTCTCCATTCTTCACATCACCTATTATTTCCTGTCTCCGTTAACCAAAATGACGTTATTGATTTCCCATCACGTTTGGCGCACTGTGTTTGCGATTTGAGTTGCAACAAAACCCATTCACCCATTCATCCAACCCATGTTACCCTATTAAATGTAATTAAAATGTTCATAACCGTGACGCAGGTCATCGTTCATTACAAAAAAAAAAAAATTAACCTTTTTTGTTTTGGTGTATATATTTTCAATTTTTTTAATGTCATTTTCTTTTTTTTAATTTCCCTCAATCCATTTGTATACCGGTAACATTTCATTCTCCTTCTGACCTTTGAAAACATTAGTATATATATTAGTGTAGATTTCCACACATAAACCTAATGGACACAACATTTTTCTATTAAAATTATCGAACAGAAGATCTGAGTTAGCGCTCTTAAACCTGTCAGTATGACAAATACAGCGGCTGAATGACATTTCCCATCTGTTTCTATAGGAGCTTAACAAGATCTGTAAGCGTTCAGCTAAATAATGTGTGGCAAACGTAATTACTCGTAGAGCTATAAGCCGCTTACAGTGTAATTTGTACAATGCAGTTTTTTGGTGAATGATACTCAAGAGAGTTATTTTCAAGTACTATTTATGGAGGTACATTACAGTTTATTACCTCTCAGAATGGGCTATAGCCGGAGACTGACTGCTAGCTTTTAGACCACATATCAGGATTAAGATAACCCTCATCTTTCCACTGTGTGTGTGTATAGCTCGTATATTGAAACATTGCAGTCTGCATTCCTGCACATCAAGATCAATTGATGGTCCCTAGAAGGTCTGGGATGATTTTGAATGAAGCACAGATGTCCATCAAAAACCTTCTCTGTCCTCTTTCTAAGGAAGACAGATAAAGGACATGATAAAATAAAATAGTTTAGACAGGTCTTTAAGGTCCATCAACAACCCCGAATTTATTACTATACCCGCATGGTTTGGGACAAGATAATCTCTAAAGTGCTGAACCATAGATGGTCCTTGGAGACCGTTTTGTGGGTCTTCCTAAACCCACCTCTCCCCCACTCCTAATGATCTCCAACAGATTCTATATACCCTCACATTTTCAGTAATTAAAAATAATTCCAAACCATACTGATACAATAAGAGCTAAACACTCAACAGTTTATGGTCTTGTACAGGGGTAGGCAACCTTTTACACTCCTGGTGTTGTGGACTACATCTCCCTTGATGCTTTGCCAGCATTATGGGTGAAATAACATTATAGGAGAAAGAGTCCACAATATGTGAAGTGTCGGAGGTTGCCTACTCTTGGTCGAGTACAATCCACCTTCACACATTGATCCAAAAAAGATTGAAGATCTGATTAGAAAGCCTCCTCCATGAACTCACACTCGACAAGCCATCACTGGGAGAATAGACACACAATGTGGAAAATGATGGAATATTTAAAAAGTGCTCCTGGTGAAGTGATCTGTGAGATACTTTGAAAAAAGGGTACTGTTAACTGCTGGAGGTGTGCTGATGGGGACTGGTGGCAAGTGGTAACAGGCAGTGACTCCAAGGGTGGATACACGTTGTAGAAGAGGGGGTTTTTTTATGCTTTGGTAAAGACATTAATGTTTAGGATTTATTTGAAGAAAAAAAAAAACGGAGGACTTAGCAAGATGTTATGAAGGAGTTTAAATGGAAAGGATTGCTTTGGTGAAGAAGTTACGGGGACACTCCAGACCCCTAAAGCAGTTTAGCTTGTTGAAGTGCTTTAGGTGTGAAGAATGTGTCCTCTTTTTTAATTTTACTAAAGTGCAGATTTCAATATAAAATTGCACTTTTATAAGTTAACCTTGTTACACCTCGCTGGCTGTCAGACAACCAGTCCTGTAACTTTCTGGTTGTTTAGCTCAGTGGAGATAATTGCACAAAGCACCTGCCTTGCAAATAGTTCTCATTGAGCTGCATTGAGAACTCTGTGATTGGACAGTCACAGAAAGTCTGGGCGGGGTTAGGAGGGGAGGGCTTGCCAATGCTGCAGATAAGAATCTACAGCCTTTGTAAGATGTTTTTAGATATATCCCTAATGAATATAGCGTAATTAAATGCATGCATGTTTTCATTGCGGGTTTATCTACTAAACAGTGATATTGTATTTGAGCAATGGAGTGTCGGTTTTCGGTACAGGATTTAAAAAAGGAAGCAGGTGTCATATAAAGGAGACATAAATAATGATGAAAGATTAGAGAGCACAGGGATAGCGAGAGCACTGCTTAGTGAAAAGATCTAAAATAGCTATGGACTAAATGCCCTACTCTCTACATTTGACTAGTGATGTCCTAAATTAGCAAGCACCAATACCAGGGCCGGATTAACATAGGGGCTGATGGATCTGCAGTTCTAGGCCCATGCCCATGGAATAGGCCCATTGATTTAAAAAAAAAAAAAAAATAATAAACTTATTTAAAACATTTAAAAAAAATAAAAATTTTTACACACTCATCTTAGGGTCGTCACCTGGCCGGTATTTATTTGAGGCTGCCTGGCTGGTGCCGATATTGCAGTAATGCCGGTATTTTTCGCAGTGTAAACAGATTACTCTGCAATAACAGCACCGGCCAGTAGGGGTCACTGTGTGTGGAGAGAGGCAGGGATAGGAAGTTACAGAATATACCTACAACACTCTACTCACTAAACGCGGAGGAGCAGCTACACAGCACAGAGAGTCCAGGCAGCAGCTCCGAGTCTGCAGAGACAGCCTAGAGCTCAAGTGAGGGATGGGGTATAGGCTGCAGGGAAACATGCCGACTTTGGTCTCTCTAACACTGTGGCATGTCCCCTTTCTTCTACACTCACTACATACAGCTTTTCTCTGTCTCAGACTATATACCAAGAGCTTTTGCCTGCTAGTAAGAAGGTAAGGAGACAAGGGGACAGTCCTTCGAAAGCATGGAGCAAGCACATCATTAGATGCATTTATGCCAAGCTCAGGATGCTGTTGGCCAGCATGCATTAATGCCAGGCTAGCCTTCCAATTCTTTGTGCAGACACGCCACCTTTTTGGGCACCTTCAGCCCTTTCAGGAGTTCTGGTTACATGATCTGCATCAGTGGATCACCCTTTTACATCACATTGACTTCCTGCTTCACTGGACACTGCTGTTAGGGGGTATGGATTTACTTGATAGATGAAAGCATGAATTAGAAAGAGATTAGCATATGTTAAGAGAATCTGAGTTTTCTTATAGCTGCATCCTAAGAGTTTCCCTCCGGCAACATCTCCACCAGATACATAACGCTTGAGAGGTATCACTGTTTTAGTGTTTTTGGTCGATAAGATTCTAAACTTAGGCCCCTCATAATTGTCAGCACTAGGCCCACTGGGCTCTTAATCTGGTCCTGACCAATACTATTTAAAATCTACTACAGGTGCCTGCTCCCCATCTCCGGAGCAGTTTGAGATTTC